TTTGAAACTTCCGCCACCGCCATGTGCGGCACTACTGGTACACGATGTTCGTACTACAACCCCCACTGAGTTCCAAACAAATCCGAGCCGTGTTGCATGTTGACATTATTTTGATTTGGGTACCCAGAAGTGCCCAGTATCTTGACATCAACTTGACATCAAGTCTCTTGGACTGACAGGCTTGGCTCATCCCATCCCGGGGTGCCAACTCCTGTTCCGCATGGCTTGTTCCATGGGACCGACATCCTTCCGTCGGGCTGAGATTTCGCGCAGGGGGGGCACTAAAAAGGTCGGGCTGCGGCGCGCAAGGCATTGGACCCTTGCAAGGCTGGTAGTAGTTTGTGGTTTGTATACATCTCTTTTGACGAAGCAATATTGTAATATGCCAAAGTACAAACAAGCCAATAAACAAAAAAAGAAGCCAAAGAAGTAAACAAACAGACAAACAAACGGTTGTCATCATTTATCCGCACACGCTAAGGTTCAGTCTCTCTACAGTTTCTTGGAATCAGAACATGGTCTCTCTCTCCAAATGTTCACGCACACACACACACATGTATGCATATATATATATAATATTCCGTAAATATAAAATTTTAGATATATTTAGATAGTACCAACAATAAATATCATGAATCTATTCTATGTTATCTAGAATGCTTAAGTATACCTTACATGGTCAACAGCACGATATCTGCTGTAGCTGCTTGGCTCCCCGGCGCCGCAAGGGACGTGCGAGCCACCCTTCCAAGTAGAGATGGGATACCTAGAGACCTAGAGGAAGCCTGAGAAAAGATAGGATTTGAGGTAACATATGGTAAACTATGGTAAACTCCAACTAGAATGCAGTTTCTCCTTGGGCGGGACAACTCGCAAGAATGAGGATATACACATATATATATATATAGGATATATCACGATATATCTGTCAAGCAAAAGGTTGGTTTATTGAGGGAACTACCAACGGCTAAACTGTGTACAATTTACATCTCAAGTCGGTAAACCACCGTGCCTCAACTAACTGGGCATAATCATTCCACCCGATAGCTGTTTGGTGCTTTGGGCTCCTGTGGTTAGGCTTTGTGGGTGCCCTAGAATGACAATTCGTTTCACAAGTGAATTCTTGGATACAAAGCCACCTGCCCAAACATGCCCAAACATGCCAAACCAACAAGTTGTTGTCAAATTCCAGGATTAAAGCCCGGTGGAAACAAATACGCGACATCAAGACTCATCAAATACGGATCGCTTAAATTCTAGTACTGTAACAGAGCCACAGAAAGTGCATGGTGAATTCAAACAATGACTAGTCCATCTGTGCCGTTTAAGACGTCGGACCCATCCTCAACCCTCCTCCAACCCCTGATGCCTGACCGGGGGCTGAAACACCATTGCGCACACCGAGTGGATGTCAGGAAGGTTTGGTGAATCACAATCCCAAAGTTTACACAATTTGGGTGTCTGAAAATGGAGTACCCCAAATCCACAGCTTCAGAAACTCATTTTCCCTTGGACTTGGAGGCTTAAATCCACAACTTTTTGGACATGCTTAAGCTAACAACCTAAAAGTTTGGAATCATGGATCCTCATCCGGGACCGCTTGAGCCAAGGCGATGTTACCAGAATTTGGTGTGTTACCATCCCAAAAAGGAGGTCAACCAGATTGGGATTGGATTGGTTTAAGGGAACATGAAACCTTATTTGATGGTATAGATTTTCCCTTAAACCAATCCAATGAGATTGGGATTAACCCCATTAAATAATCTTTTTGGTAAATGAACTTGGCAATGGAAAGCTTTGAATTTGGCAGCTTTAATTGCTGATAGTCAGGTCAGAGTCACTGTGGCCCGGCACCCGGCACATTGCGGCAAATTCACGATATGATTTTGACCGTGACCATGCAAGAAAATCAAAGTATACAATCTATTGAATATTGTCTCCAAAATTCGTTTTATAATGGGATGACTCTCCCAAACCTGTGGTTGTTTCAAAAACATGGCTTAGTTCGATGATTTTCCCCGTAAAACTCTGCATGTCGTTCGGGGATTTCCCAGCTAGCGATGTTTGATGAGGTTTGCCACTGAGGTCTGGCTACACACCGAACGACCCACCGTCACCCGGCACCTCGCCTGATCGCCGCTTCCAAAGGCCTGGAGGGGTAAGTCCAATGATATGATTTCTGGCTATCGGTCAACAGGTAGGAGCCCTTGGGAACTATCAATTTAAGCGCAATATCTCCATATTTTATGTGGATTGCTATCCATTTATATCATATATATATATATCATCTATATGTTGGGGGTTGCTATCCATCTATGTAATTATGATGTGCGGAATTCGACGAATCCATGGCAATGGCAAGAGGGATCTTGTGCCCAAACCTGGTCCTGTGTCTATCGATCCATCTATCAATCCATCGATCTATCCCTATGTCTATCGATCTATCTCATATATCTAAATCTAGTCTATCTGATCTATCTAATCTATCTAATCTTTCTATTCTATCTATATAATCTATTCTATCTGCTCTGATCTGGTCTCATCTAATCTATCTATATATATATCTATATAGAGAGAGAGAGAGATATGTGTATGCCATCCCGGCACTGTAGGATGGCCTTGGCCTTGTCCCATTAGAGGGACAAATTACTCCAAGGATACTCCAAGGCATCACCAGTTGTTTTACCAGGCTTTACTCACATTTTGATGATGGAATTAATGTGTTTCCTGGTTGAATCTTTATCTTTGATCAATACACAGAACTTCTGCTTGATGTTTAAGGTTCAACCCAAATGCGTCTTGCTTAAATCAAAACTGCTGTTGCTTAGACCCAGATTCTGCTTGATGTTCACCTTCAACCCAACTGTTTCTTGCTTAAACAATAGTCTATAGGTGATTAAACATAGTTTTTGTTTGATTTTAAGTTTCAGTCATCAGTCCCACTTTTTGTGGCTTAAAAAGACATTGTAAATAGTTAAACCCAAGTTCTGATTGATTTTAAGATTGTTCAAAAATCTTAAATCCACATTTTGGCCGTTGCTGAAATCCAGTTGTTCTTGTTTCCTTTACATGGTTTGAAGCCTTGTGCAACCCAACACTTTTTTGGTGGTTTAACCTGAATACTCCGCATCATCACAAAGAGTCCAAGCGGTACCCCCCAGTTCCAGATTGGTTTATAAGCCCATTAACGTGAACTATATATATATATAAAGTATAGATAAATCTTAGATAAACCTATTTTTACTGATTCTATGAATATTAACATATAGTAAGTATACCCTATGGATCCAAACACTTCCCTAGAACCTACTTGTTTGTCTTCAACCCCCAGTTCGTAGCTACTAAGTAGCGAAATATTATCTGGATCCATATGGATTATAACATATTATAACACTGATATCTTCAGCTTTCAGCAACAAATCCAGCATTTTTTTTTCGCAGCTGGGCCATCCCAACGGGAGTCCCGAAGCTCACAGCACTCTCCGAGCCCGAGTCGTAGCACCAGGTCACTGGACCCCCAGCAGTGTCGCCGCCTGAGACACGTCGTTTAATGCTTTCTCCAAGCCAAAAACATCCAAAATCTATGGGTTTTCTATGTTTTTTGCAATCCAAAAAGATATGGGCCCGGTGTTTTGGAAGGACTAATGGGAAAAAACTAATGATTAATTATATAGAACTTATTTATACTCTATATGTATATATTATTAGATATTTATATATATATATGTATATTATAAAAAACTGAGAAACTGTTTAATCAACATTGAACTATATGGTCTTTACAAGCCAAACACATCCGAAAAACATGGAATGTTAATGGCTTCCTTTACAAGCCAAACATAGCCAAACACATGATGTTTAATGGCCTTTAGTTGATGTTTTGGTGTATTTTATTGAATGTCTTGATGGATTTTATTTTTCCCAACGAGTTCTTACTGGATTTCAATGGAGTTGACCAAAGGAAGACTGGGTTGCTTCAGGATGGTTCCGTTTTTAAGCCTAGAAAATTGGGTCCTTTCAAACATGTGGAGTTCATCAGCGCAAAGTGAATTTTAGGAGGTTGAGGCCAGCACGACACGGGGTACACAAAAATATGCGTTAAATAGTTTTGGCAGGAAACCTGTCAACCTGTGATGTAACCATCCATACATAGGTGACCATAGGGACATTCTACATAAAAAGAAACAAAACATCGGTAACGAAAACATTGCGCTTTGAACAGTTCGGATTCAATGAACAAACATGCCGAGTAGACAAAGCAAACATGCGGATCATTCCACCATAGCACAACATCGTTCATCATGCATCATTACTATTGAAGCTTTGAGGCTCGCGTGAGTTTGACCCGGACCCCGAAGTTGGCTACAGGAGTTGTACCCGGCACTTGGGCGACATTTTCAGCTCAGGTTGGGTCACATGATCTAAAACCCTGGTTTGTTCCGATTCAATTGGAATAAACAGACATGAATAAATTATCAGGGAGTGGTTTTTTTTGGGTCCTCCAATGGAGCAAGAGCCACTGATGGCCATGGATTCGAGAGATTTACATAGATGTGGTGCCTTACGTCCCCTGGCAACAAAGGTTGGCACATGTTGGTACAACATCCATGCAGTCTGATCAAATCTTGATGCCCAGCCTAGGCCAGGCTGCATTCTGGACATGATGCAAACATCTACAGCAGCCTTGATGTTTTGATCGTCTATTGAATCCATTCAAATGCAACTGCGACACACACACACACAAAATATACTGTATTATTATTCTATGGCAAAGGGGTCCCTAAAAAGAGAGACACGTATTTCCAGGATAGTATAGATGACGTTTTCCCACTTGGGGGGTGTCCATGTACAGTGGTGTATGCAATGCACCGACTGCACATCTCATGACATCACTGTCCCTACTTTGGGATCTTTGGTTATTACATCTTCAATTCGTACTGAAATCCCCATCTGGAACATTCGGTCTTGGGTGTCCACGTCCAATTTTGGGACTTGACACAAAGTTCCCCATCCAAAACGAGGTCCCAAACAGCCACTGAAGGGCAGCAGCCTTAGTGTGCCGATTGATCTAATTTGTGTTTCTTTCATATAGTTCATCTATCCCAACAAGATGAGTTATGGAGGGGTTGAGTTAATCTTCGGAAACCGGAAACCCCCAATTTCATCTAGTCAAAAAAATATCAATGCCATCCCTGCTATCCTGCTATCCACTTTCTATTCTATTAATTCCATGAGGGAGGGGGGAAAAAAAAAGTGGATTTCCCAGCCAACCAGATATTTTGAGTCGCCGGACCAAGCCCGTTGTTCCAGTCTGAGGCTGCTGTTAGCTCAGAAAGATCCCATGGTGAGATTAGTCTATTCAGGGCTTCAGGGGTGAGAATTTCAAAAGCATTGTATCAAACTATCGTAGCAAACTTAGCAAACCTTTATGCATGTCCATTTCCAATAGGAAAACCACCTTCCACAGACATTTGATTTTCTCTGGTTTTGGGGTCAGCTTTCAGGGGCCCAATCCCGGTTGGAACATAGACGATACACAGGCCCCCCACATCAACTTCCATTTGCATCTTCTTGGGGTGGGCGGATGTTCAACGTTTTACAACCCAGTAAGGTCCAAATATAGTAATCACGTGTAATCACACACAATCTTAAGATCATGTGAGTGCTGGTGTATGAGGTATCCTAGATGGTGCAAGATTCATCAGCACAGGTAGCAAGTGTCCTTTCGCGGGGGTGCATCTCGGGTAGCCAGTGCTACGTTAAACTGTGTCATGAGTCATTATGTCATATGGTTATCTATCACCCACTTATGACTCTTGGCATGCAGCTACAAATGGATGTGCCTGAACATGTATAATTATCATGTTATGTTATATCCTTGTATATCCGTAAAAATGCCAGGTAGAAAATGGGAGAACATGATGATTCTCTGCAGCCCGGCCTTCCGAAATGCGGTGCCAAGGGGGTGACGCCTGGAAGGAGAATTTCGTTTGGGTGGGGGTCCCTGCACATGTCTTGAAGGGAAAATTTCAGAGGAAACGGAGGAAACCATACGTTTTAAATCGTTTTAATTCTCAATAATTGTGTGGGAGTCCTCTTTAAAAAAAACGAAACCTCTTCTGGGACACAAAGTATGTTTCACATAGAGCAAAGGAACAAAACAAACATCCAGAACTTGCAAAAAATTGCAGGGAGGACAGTCCAATAAGAAATTGTCTGATGTGACTGGCAACCAAAGGTTTGCAAGACTTTTGCTCAAGACTCAAGAAGTTTGCCCGTCAAAGCCGCAGAACTACAGCATATAACTGAAACTATGGCAGGGTAAGGATTCAAAATCACAGACTGGTACAGGAACTTTCTGGTGCGTTTGACAAAGGATGTAAGACAGTGGGGCAAGATAGGCAAGATGTGTACAACTGGCCAAAATCGTTATCTTGCATGAGAACTGCGGGAAAATTGGCCTCATGATTCAGGATAAATCAGGATGCATATTATTGAACTTCTCTGGTTATAGACATGTAATACATATACACACCCAAAAAAACATATACATATATAATTACTTTACTTCGTGTGATCCCCACCATGACATTTATACATGTTCTTACTGGCACATCTTCTGGCATTCTATCTGACATATCTTCTGACATTCTATTTGGCATTCCATCTGGCATATCTTCTGGCATATCTTCTGGCATTCTATCTGGCAAATCTTCTGGCATTCTATCTGGCATATCTTCTGGCATTCTATCTGACATATCTTCTGGCATTCTATCTGGCATTCTATCTGGCATATCTTCTGGCATATATTCTGACATATCTTCTGGCATTCTATCTGGCATTCGATCTGGCATTCTATCTGGCATATCTTCTGGAATATCTTCTGGCATATCTATCTGGCATATCTTCTGGCATATTTTCTGGCATTCTACCTGGCAAATCTTCTGGCACTCTATCTGACATTTTATCTTCCTACATGAGGCCCGGCAGGGAACACTTGGCGTGGATACTCGCGGTTGAGGTCCGGCAGGGAACACTGGGCGTGGATACTCGCAGTTGAGGTCCGGCAGGGAACACTGGGCGTGGCTGGTCGTGGTTGAGGTCCGGCAGGGAACACTGGGCGTGGATGGTCGTGGTTGAGGTCCGGCAGGGAACACTGGGCGTGGATGGTCGTGGTTGAGGTCCGGCAGAGAACACTGTGGATCGCGGGTCGCAGTTGGGCAAGGACGACGAGGACGACGAGGACGACGAGGAGGACGAGGAGGAGGAGGAGAGGAGGACGAGGCAGGAGGAGGCGGAGGAGGAGGAGAAGGAGGAGGAGGAGAAGGAGGAGGAGGACGAGGAGGCAACTGACATAAAATCTAACAACCCTCACCTGGCAGGTGGGGAATTATATAATATAAACTAATATATATATATACATTGACAGCAGTCAAAAGGTATAGATATAGACATTGTATCAGCTAACAACCATGTTGGGTGTATATATATATATACACAATCATATACACATGATATCTACAAGCCATGCTGCCTTTGGCCACAGGCTCCACTGGCTGAAAGGGAGGAACTTGGCTTGGCCAACCTGCTGGCGAAACGCTGGAGATTTCATGGGGATTTCTGGAGATTTAATGAAGTTTAATTGGGATGTCAATGGTGTTTAATGGAATTTGAAGGGGATGTGATAGGATTTCATTGAGCTTTAATAGTGGTTTAATGGTCTTTGGTGGGGTTCTAACCATCCCTCACTGGGCAATTTAGCACAACACCCGACTAAATTGACCATGTCACATAGGATGGGATTAGCCCAGCACTTGGGGGATGGTCTTCAGGAATTCCTCAAAATGCTGGGATGACTGGGATGACTGGGATGACCATAAACAATACACCATGGTGTGACTGTGGGACAAATGGATCCCACTCATGAGCACATTTGACAGAACACATGCAACAACTTTCCATGCGTCTACTGAACGTTCTGCAGGTTATGTCCTTAGATAATCTTAGATACGAATAAGCAGAAAAAAAGGAAAAACATGTTATCAATCTGTTCTTGGGAAAGGAATGTTTCTAGCTCAATGTGGATGTGGATTGGCAGGTGAGCCTGGATGATGTACCACCAACAAGTCGGCGAGCGCCTGATGCTGGAAGAGCGCTGGGATCGATTTGGGGATCACCAACTCGCTCTCCAACCGTTGGATGATTTCATCTGCACAAGGGCGGGCCCCAATGAACTGACCTTTACAGCCTTGACATCCGTTGAGGTCACTTCAGATCGTTGAAATTTCCAAAACTTGACGGTTGGAATTGCCCCAAATGCTGCAGTGATTACAACCCCTAAGAAAGTGTCCACGTGTGGGGGCCCTCACATGAAATCCATTGAAATCCAATAGATTCAGCCACGGTTTCTCAGGGGTGTTATGATGTAAATAATGGTGACAAATTGATTTTATTATATATATATATACATATATATAATGGCGCTCGGCAGTTGCAAGAATATTCTACGTGCCTAGGGCCTAGACCCTCGAGTTTTCCCATAATGAGATGCAATGCCTGGGTGTTCTGCTAAAACGTGGCTGTTTCTCATGGGTGAATCAGGGGTCCAGCTAGTCACCTTGGCTCCAAAAACCAGCACCTGCCAGGAAACGCGGCGTGAATTGGGCCTCACTGCCCAAAAGAAGAACACCAAGGTGGCAAATGTGATGGGCAAAATGCATCAAAATGCATCAACATGGGAGGGATATGGTGTTCACATGTGTCAACTATTTTTTGTACATGTTTAAGCTTCTTTTCGTTTGTGGTCAGTTTGTGCAAATCACATGAGATCACCAAAATGGGTCATGCGATTTTCATCAAGGGAAGCCTTTTTCTGAGCAAAGGTCATCTCGTGTGTTACCGAGTTTCGACCTGCATGGCTGGGCCCAGCTCCTTGGCCGTCTCTGTGCTGCACCTGGGTATCCACACTGTCTCAGCGCATCCGAATCTTGCATCAGCTTGAAAAGCGAAGGCACCTGCTCCTAAGGCAGTCAACCTGGAGAAATGTGAACAAACACCGGTGCTTTTTTGCGGATGGGAAAGGCAGGGATTGCAAAACCCATCCCTGGAGCTCCAACAAAATAGTCATACGATGTCATACGATGTCATAGGTAGTCTCCAGGATGTTGACATTTGGATAAACATGGATAAACAACATGGATAAATTTGGGTAAACTATGCTGATGGACTCTCGAAAAAGTTGGGCCATTTGGAGATGATGCCCCTAAAGATCCCTTTTTTGCCCAGGCATGCCCAGTCCTGCGCCCGAACCGCGTCGAGTTGCGACATCATCACTCGCAGGCGAATTTCCTGAAACATCACCCAGAGATGTCTGCCATGGGCTGAAAAAAAGAGCATCGAATCATGGCTGACCCAACGGTTGGTAGTCTAAAATCCCAAGAAAGGAACAACAAATGGTGGCTACAGCAGCAACCAGTCAAACACTGGTGTTTGGACGAAAGGGGTATAGAAATGTTGGCCATACCAAGAGAATGAATGCTTTTTTTTGGCTGAGAATCTGATTCAGGATAACCCACTAGTATCCATTATATGACTATACTACTGGAAAATACCTGAAACCAAACTATTTGCAAGGTCGCAAAAATTGGCCAACATGACATCCTTGCAGCTCAAAGCTATCATCTAGGGATTCGCACGTGTTTCAAGTGTTTGGTGACCTCCTGGAAAATCTACTCTTCGCAAGCCCAGTTGTCCAAGCTGAAGGGCCAGCAAACAAACTAAAGAGGCTACCTGGTTACCTCATCCTCGGCTCAGCTGGGGCCCCAAGCTGCTTGCATGAAATATGGATCTTCCGGCGATAGCAGGGGCCACTTGCTTTGAGGCCAACAGCCCAGGAACCAAGGCTGAAAATAACCACGCAACCTGGCGATGTGAGACATTCATAGACATTCCTGATCGTAAATGGCTACGGCATGCTACGGCTACTTCCTAGGAGAAAAACGGAGAACACCTTTTGTGCCAATTTCCACGGGGGTACTCATCAAAGAGGCAACCGATTTTCAAAACTCAGACACTGAACATGGCGTTTGAGAATATTGAAGAGGCGTAGCGTGCGGCAAGCATCAGATCTGATTCCTTGATGATTAAAAGAGCCCTGGGTTACTCCTAAAAAGGCTTACTCCTAAAAGTTGCTATCCTTTCAAAGCAAAAAACTCAAACATTCCAAACAATTCTCAAATTTTCGGAAAAAACTCTCAAACATTCTTTTAACAATCCAAATAAATACATAAATATAATCATAGATATAAATCCCCAAATCCAAAACATCCAAAAAAGTCTACAGAATCCAAACAAAATCAAAGCAAATCAAAAATCCAAAAAAACACATATTAATGAAACATAATTAGTTGGAATGAAATGGAATTCTTTGGACTTAAAACGAATTAAACGGAACGTTGCGCGAGTGTCCCTGTAAGGAGCGTTCCTCTCCATAAACAAGACTTGAAGTTCATTCCAAGCCTTCAATGAAGTTCTACCCCTCATTCTGGAGCCCAGAACCCCGCCTGCCAAGCACCACTGAAAGCTGCTGGCGAGCCTGCAGTTGGAGAGTCTGGCCAGTTAAACCCGAAGCCCTGCAACGCGCCGAGTTTCTCAAAAAATCATGGCTTTGGGCCTTGGAATTAAAAGCATCTTGACTTCTAGTGTATCTTCCGTTGTTGCTCAAAGGGTTCCGAACTTTAAAGGTATCACACTACTAAACAAAATCATATGTAGTCTATGTGGTTTTGTCTGAAAAAAGTATTACAAAAAATGGTGATCGGTCATCATTTCCCATTGAACCACAATATACATATATATACATATACATATATATATATATATGTGTGTATATCAATAATATATATATATATATATTTATTATGCATAATTGGTGTCACTATGATTGTGATTATTGCTGTTATTAGTATTGCTATTATTAAAAAAATATAGTAATGATTATTAGTTAAAACTGGCATTTGCAGTCAAAGCTACAGGCTATACCATGGCTGGGCTCCCAGGCCCAAACCAGCGCCAGAACGGATTGGAAGGCGCCACGCAGCACGATGGATCCCTGGTGTCCCAGCATCTGAGACACTCTGGGGGATTCACTGAGTATAAACAAAAACTAACACTGGTTGGTGGTATACCTACCCCTTCTGAAAAATATTAGTTAGTCAGTTGGGATCATTATTCCCAATATATGGAAAAATAAAAAAATGTTCCAAACCACCAACCAGAACACTATCATCACTACATTTTATATTTAAACAAAGCAAAACTAATGCTAAACTAACAGTATGGTATGCTAAATGGTTGAAACATGCTGAAAAGGCCCCTTGAATCCCAATGCGACCGGGGATGCCTGGGATGGCGTGCTGTGTTGATCCAAAGCCTCGCCATTGCCGGGGTTTACAGTTGTCCCCAGATCAAGTGCCAAAAAGTTCCAAAAAAAAATAGAATAAATTAGACTCAGACTGAAATCACTGTCACAAATCATTGTCACACATTCCGCAAGTGTAAACATCTATAATTTTTCCCCCGGTCTGTTTTCGTGTCTTGCAGGCTCATGTAGTAAGCGCACACTAATCTGAACAATTCACGCTCGCTCGGAGCACCAAACGATTTAGTAATCACGTTGGAACGCGACATAGGGACCAATCGGGAACCCATCTGGCTCGGGGCCGTGGACAACCTTTCAAAAGATTGTTTTTGAGCAAATTTTAAACCTCAATGTGAAGTAATGTGAAGCATCTTTTCTCATTACCGTTTCGTGACCGTACCATGTTCTTCATCAGTCGCTGTTCACAGCGACTTCGCGGCGTCCTCAGAGAGTCCAGCCTGAGCGAATCGCCGGAACATGGCCTGCAAATGCTGATCTGCCAAGGCCTTCCTCATCCACTCCTGAGAGAAGTTGGCAGTTGCCATTGTCCTTCTGGATGAAAATGGGAAGCTAAGTCAACAACTGGACTGAACCAATAAAATCCGACAACTCTCATTGGAAACAGCACCTGTTTTCCAAGTTGGATTGAAGTGTTTTCAAGTCATGCAAGCGGTTTCAAACCGGTGCGAAAAATTGTTTTTGCCCATGGAACAACATTCAGGAAAAACATTGGTTTTACCTACAGTCAAATCTACAAGTGCCCATCAGGTCATCAGGTTTCCAGCTTCCATTGACATTCAAACCAAGTCTGGCACATAGTGGGACGTAATTGACCTACAGTATACAAATTGTTGTAGTTTCTCTCTCTTGGCCGACCATGGATGCTGACTTCACCCAGAAAGCGATATGGTTTCCAACCATTTTGCGGGTATGGTTAAGTGATACTGTGGCAAGTTGTGGGCCTGGGGGTTCAGCGGTTCACTCTTGAAGGATTCCAGTCCTCTTCTCCTATCCATCGCGCATCTGCTCGATCCTTGGCAGTCAAAACGGCCTCCCGGCAACCCACCCTTACAATGGAATTATCTTCTGCTCACATCCACTCCACAGTTGATTTTCCTATTGCAAAACATGTGTATGTTCTATTGTCAGATTGTTTACTGGACGGTCCCTCTCAAAAGAACATAGCATGGTAGGAAAAATATGTTACAAATTGAGCTTCAAAATCCCCAAAGGTCCTCGTCTTCAATAAATTTCAGGGTGTGGGATGCATGTTCCCTATAGGGATGCATGCAGTACATGCATTGCAGGATTGCTCTTCCAGTCTGGCTTCAAGATTTGGGGGGCCCCAGGTTTTCATGAACATTGATTGCGTCTACAGAAAAAATATCTAAATGAAATGAACATTGTTCAGCTCCTGAATGCTCCTGATCGTGAGCCAGCTGGGATCTACTTTCAAAATAGAACGGAGTAGATCGATAGATAGATAGATAAGATAAGATAAGATAAGATAAGATAAGATAAGGTAAGATAGATGAGATAAGATAAGATAAAATAAGATAAGATAATATAAATTAAGATAAGATAAGATAAGATAAGATTAGATTAGATAGATAGATAGATATAATAGATAGATATATAATATATATATATAATAACCTATATAATATATAATATATATATAATATATATAATATATATAATATATAATATATATATATAATATATATATATATACAACTATTAAATGTATATATATGTAAATAATCATATATATATATAATCCATCCAAGACTGGAAGAATTGATGATTTCCTTGGTGGCTGGAGGTTTCAAACCCAGCGCAGCGCAATTAATTTTCTACTCAGTTCGAATCTTAACAGCCAATTCATCCTCCTCGAGTTGAATGTGTACATGCACATCAGGCTCATCAATTAGTAAGCCAGAGCACCCACTCATTGACAGGGATGCGTCCAAATTTGCTTCCTTAGAAACTGGGTATCCTGAGTGAAACTCCTCATCTTGAGGACTCTGTGCAAGGGGTGAAGGCGCTGCAGGCTCTGCAGGTTCTTCAGGCTCTTCAGGCTGTGTAGGCTCTGCAGGCACTGGGGAGACGGGTGCCTCTTCCTGGGAAGCTGTGGCAGGGAAGAATGATCTGAGGAGCTCAACCTGGCACTAGCAAGTAAACCAAGCAATACATCGTGGTTCAACAAAAACCATATAGGGACCCAAGGTTTTGGCAGGACACAAACAAACACAAAAACTATGTTCTTATCCCATGTTATCTCTTTTCCTTCTGAAAAGGCAGGCGCACCAACCCCCCCAAAATGAAAAAAAACACGGAACTCATCCCAGACTCCACCGGTTTCACAGGATCCGCCGGTTCCAGCGCCTCCACAGTTGGCTCCGGTAGGGCCTCCAGCGGTGCCTTCTCTGGTAGCTGCCCGGTGTCGATGTCCGGCAACGAGACCACGCTGGGCGACGGCGACACCTGCCGCGAGGATGTCCGCGAGCGGCGCGAGGACGTCTGCGAGGGACGACGGGAGTCGCCGGCGCGCTCGCGGCTGTCCTGCAAGGTGGAAAAGTGGAAATGGATGGAACTGGTGGATGTTCGGAAGTTCGAAGGGAACAAAAATATGGAACTGTGTTTGGGATTTTCCTCTTTGATATTCTGAGGGATCTGAGGGTAAATTTGGATGAGTTGCTGAGGCAGTTTCTGGGGTACCCTTTATAAATATTCCTTGATGCAACATGTCGGGAATTGAGGGGGTTGAGAAAACCTCTGCAAATTCCAAGGACCTTTCGAAACTTTGGGTAGGGCGAACTACAAATACATGCGCACAAACATGCAAGACATAGAGATACAAATAGGGCGAACCACAAACATACTAGGCAGCTACGAGGACATAAGCATACATCTGCATACACATCTGCAATCACATTTGCAACTCATCTGCACACACACACCTGTATATATGTAAATAGACATACGTGCAAAGAGATACTGTATACGTACGTGCGTTACGTGCAAATAGACATACACACGTTATATATTATAATATATATATATACATACATATATATATATACATACATATATATATATATTCATGTATACATTCAATAGTATCAAGTCATACATGCAATATATAATTAAATATCAATTTAATTACACTAAGAAAACCTAAGAGGGCAGTCAATTGAACAGTGACCAAAATCCCTGTTGATTGTTTATCATAAATTAAGTTTATTAGCGCACCTGGCTAATACAGGGTTAGTAAATCATCATACAATCACTCTTGGTGGGAATCCATTTCTTGACTAACCACGATTCACTATTTCACGGCATGGGCAAACTCGGTTGTAAAACATACACATGCACTGCACACATAACAATGAAAACTATTTCCAAAAATCTTATTTTTGGGACACTACCTATTTTCCATTAGCCAATTCATTCCCAGTGCAAAACGCAAGAAACAATGCCAAAAAATGACCTTTGTGGCATGGCCATCATCCTCTTGGGAATATGCATTCATATCTGAATCTACACTTGTTGGTGGGTTACTCCATGATAATTAGTATTCATGTTTGTTCCCTGGGTATCCATTTCGTAGTGATGTTTTCTCCACGTATAAGTAGATGGAGGCACGTTGATAAACGCCCTTGGCGTTTTTGTACATTTTTGCACATGTCTGGGGTTTCTGTGGGGTTGGGGGGGGGTTCGGGGTGGGGGGGTGGGGGACGTGTAATAACGTTCTTGTCGCGTGCTTCTTTGTTGTATCCTAACATGTTCTTGGGACGTCTGACACGCTCTCGATGCTTTGCTCCTAACAGTTAAAGCATGTTCTTGGAACGACTGACACGCTCTTGATGCTTTGCTCCTAACATGTTCTTGAAACTTCTAACAAGCTCTTGATGCTACGCTTCTAACATGTTCTTGGGACGTCTGACACGCTCTTGACGCTACGCTCCTCACATGGTCTTGGAACGTCTGACACGCTCTTGATGCTACGCTTCTAACATGTTCTTGGAACGTCTGACACGCTCTTGATGCTACTCTCCTAACATGTTCTTGGAACGTCTGACACGCTCTTGATGCTTTGCTTCTAACATGTTCTTGGAACGTCTGACACGCTCTTGATGCGACGCTCCTAACATGGTCTTGGAACGTCTGACACGCTCTTGATGCTTTGCTTCTAACATGTTCGTGGAACGTCTGACACGCTCTTGATGCTTTGCTCCTAACATGTTCTTGAAACTTCTAACAAGCTCTTGATGCTACGCTTCTAGCATGTTCTTGGGACGTCTGACACGCTCTTGATGCTACGCTTCTAACATGTTCTTGGAACGTCTGACACGCTCTTGATGCTTTGCTTCCAACATGTTCTTGGAACGTCTGACACGCTCTTGATGCTACGCTCCTAACATGTTCTTCCAACTTCTGACACGAAGAAATCCAGGAAATCCAGGAAAAAACCTGGGGTAGTGGTCGCTGGCACACAATGTGTCGACCGTAGGTGGCAAAGTCTTGAAAAAGGCATTGCCTGCTTCTCTCCACGTCAAAGACAGACCTGGAGGTGACATTGCTGAAAAGCTAATGTCCTATTTTTGGGGGCTTCGTGTGGCGAAGCCATTTGGGCAACCATGCCAACTTGACCAAAGAGTTGGGAAAAATCATGTAACTTGGGACACGCAGAACGAGCAAGAGAGAAACTACTTTTGAGCGAACAGGAGCCTCGCATGATAAATAACAAAAATCCTGTAAATACAAATGCAAATGACACATGAGTGTGCTAAAACCGCAGCAAAACGCTGCTTTCATTTCACTGAGCACACAAAGTGCTGTAAAGGTTGCAAAATTTGGACATGGAGAAATGCCAAAATCAACAAATAACCCAAGGGCAAATATCCGCGTGTGACCAAGTAGGGCAAATATCCGCGTGTGACCAAGTAGATAGTATAACCATAAGGTATATCCCGTCTGATGGATTTATTACCATAATTCCACCCTTTGGCTTGGATATAGGAGCATCGGAAACATAGCAATTGCCCCTCTGAGATATCTAAATAAATAATATATATATATATAGACATGGGAATAAATAAATAAACAATATATTATATATATAATATTTAAAAGTATACATAAGTTATCAAAAATATATAATGTGGGATGCTGATTAGTGTGGTGATCCTCTTTTGTTTCATTTTTTTTGAAATAATTCAGGCCCAGGGAATTTGAGGGGGTGGGTCGGTTTTGCTTCAATTTTTTGTTGGGATCATTTTCATTTTTTTAAATAGTTTTAAATTGTTTTTAATTTGTTGTTAAATTTATTTCATTTTTGTTTCTGTTTTTTCTTTTTTTAAACATGGTTTTTTAGTTTTTTTGTTTAATATTTCTCAGTTTTGTAAATAAGCCATATTGACCCTAAATAATAATGTTTGTTGTGGTGGTCCTCTATTGTGTCCAACTGTTGTCTGGAGAAACATTTTTTAAGGTTAATTATGACCCATCAGCAATTATTAATTGATTAATTATAAAGGATGCCTTATTAAAACCAATTTAAAAAAACACTCCAACAATTTTTCAAGGGGGTAGTCCATGAGCAACACTGATCCTCAATAGTATGTTTGTTGTGGTGGTCCTCTATTGTGTCTAGCTTTGTTTTGAAAATATTTGTTTTCCAAAATCATTTTCTCATTTCCTTTTCCTTTCCTTTGCTATAGCTTTTGTCTTTTACTTAGTTCAATTCTCCTGGCCTCCTCTCCTTGGTTTCTATGGCGTTTATATGGGATTTTGGCAAAATTTCTATGGAAATTCTATGTAATGTCTATGATGTTTCTATGGTATTCTATGGTGTTTCTAAAGGTGTGTCTATAGTAGTTCTGTGGGATTCCTATGGGGTTTCAAAAGGATGTCTATGGGATTTCCTTTGGATTCCTATGGTGTTTCTGTGGTATTTCTATGGGATTTCTTTGGGATGTACATGATATTTCTTTTGGATTTCTATGATATGTCTATGAGATTACTATTGGATTAAAAACAAAATCTAGAGGGTTTCTTTGGGACTGGGAAGTCTCAACATGTTTTATTTCCCAAAATATAGGATGCCTTATAAACACCAAAATTAAAAAACAGCACTCAAACAAATTTTCAAGGGAGTAGTCCATGAGCAACCCTGATCCTCAATAGTATGTTTGCTGTGGTGGTCCTCTATTGTGTCCAGCTTTTTTATGGAAGTAACAAAAGCAAAATCATTCTCTCCTTTCCTCTTCCTTTCCTTTGCTAATATGTTTCTCTTTTACTTTCTTAGCTCCATTCTTTTGGAATTAGAAGAAAAAAACAAATCATTCTCTCCGTTCCTTTTCCTTTCCTTTACTGATACTTTTCACTTTTTTACTTTCCTAGCTCCATTCTTTTAAAATTCTCAAAATGTTTATTTCCCAAAATATAGGATGCCTTAAAACCCAATAAAAAAAATACTTTACTTCGAGTTATCCCCACCATGACATCTATACGTTTTGTTACTGGCAAATCTTCTGGCATTCTATGTGACATATCTTCTGGCATTTTATCTGGCATATCTTCTGGCATTCTATCTGGCATATCTTCTGGCATTCTACCTGGCATATCTTCTGCAATATGTTCTGGCATATCTTCTGGCACTCTATCTGGCATATCTTCTGGCATATCTTCTGACATTCTATCTGGCAAATCTTCTGGCATATGTTCTGGCAAACATTCTGGCACTTTATCTGGCATACCTTCTGGCATTCTATCTGACATTCTATCTGGAATACCTTCTGGCATTCTATCTGGCATACCTTCTGGCAGTCTATCTGGCAAACATTCTGGCACTTTATCTGGCATATCTTCTGGCATTCTTTCTGACATTCTATCTGGCGTTCTATCTGGCATATCTTCTGGCATTCTATCTGGCCGTTGATGTCCAGCGGTGCTCACTGAGCTCGGAGGGTCCCAGGTTGAGGTCCAGCGCTGCTCACTGAGCTCGGAGGGTCCCAGGTTGAGGCCCAGCGGTGCTCACTGAGCTCGGAAGGTCCCAGGTTGAGGTCCAGCGGTGCCCAGTGCGCTCAGACCTTTGCAGTTGAGGTCCAGCAGTGCCCACTGCGTGCGGAAGTTGGCGAAGAGCTTGGCGAAGAGTTGGCAAGGCGGAAGTGAACATGGGAGTGGATGCAAAGGTGGTGGAGGAGAAGGAGGAGGACGAGGAGGAGGTGGAGGAGAAGGAGGAGGAGGATAAGAAGGAGAAGGAGAAGAACAACTCTGATAAAATCTAACAACCCTCACCTGGCAGGTGGGGAAAAAACAGCACTCAAACAATTTTACTGATCCTCAATAGTATGTCTGTTGTGGTGGTCCTCTATTGTGTCCAGCTTTTTTTTTGGAAATAGTTTTTTCCAAAATCATTGTCTCCTTTCCTTTTCCTTTCCTTTGCTATAGCTTTTGTCTTTTACTTAGTTCAATTCTCCTGGCCTCCTCTCCTTGGTTTCTATGGCGTTTATATGGGATTTTGGCAAAATTTCTATGGAAATTCTATGTAATTTCTATGGTGTTTCTATGGTATTCTATGGTGTTTCTAAAGGTGTGTCTATGGTAGTTCTGTGGGATTCCTATGGGGTTTCAAAAGGATGTCTATGGGATTTCCTTTGGATTCCTATGGTGTTTCTGTGGTATTTCTATGGCATTTCTTTGGGATGTACATGATATTTCTTTTGGATTTCTATGGTATTTCTACGAGATTACTATTGTTTTTTTTTTCTATGCTATTTCTAGAGGGTTTCTTTGGGAATTCTATGGGGTGTCCATGAAGTTTCTTTGGATTTTCTATGGTGGTTCTATGATATTTCTATGGGATTTCTATTGGATTCCTTAAGGTTTCCATGGTATGTCTTTGATATTTCTATCATTACTGTGGGATTTCTGTGGGGTGTCAATGGTATTTCTATGGGATTCCTATGGGGTTTCAAAAGGATGCCTATGGGATTTCCATTGGATTCCTATGAAATTTCCATGATATTTCTATGATATTTCTAGATGATTTCTATGGGATTTCTGAAGGGGTGCTATGGGAATTCAATTGGGTCCCTTTGAGATTTCCATGGTATTTCTATGATGTTTCTATGGGTTTTCTTTGGGATTCCTATGAGACTTCTATGGCATTCCTATGGGAGTTCCATGATGTTTCTATGATATTTCTATGGGATTACTATGGGGTTCCTGAAGGAATTCTATGAGATTCTTATGGGATTTCTGTGAGATTCCTATGGCAGTTCCATGATATTTCTAGGATCTTTCTATGGTGTTACTATGGGATGTCAATTGAAAGTAATTTGACATCAATTGAAAATAAATTCTAACTAAATTGAAATCACATGAAAACCCATTGAAAGTAAGCGGACATCAAAAGAAAATCAATTGAACGTAAATTGAAATCAATTGAAAGTAAATTGAAATCAATTGAAAATAAATTCAAACTAAATTGAAATCAAATGAAAACCCATTGAAAGTAAGTTGACACCAATTGAAAATCAATTGAAAGTAAATTAAAATCAATTGAAAGTAAATTGAAATCAATTGAAAGTAAATTGAAATCAATTGAAAGTAAATTGAAATCAATTGAAAATTAATTAAAAATAAATTAAAATCAATTGAAGGTAAATTGAAATCAATTGAAAATCAATTGAGAGTAAATTGAAATCAATTGAAATTTATCATTTTTCATTTCCACATTATTGAGGCTCAGGTTCATGAACATTTCCACATTAAAGAGGATCTCACAATGTTTTTTTGGGGGGTCCCCCCTACACTAATCAAGATCGTACATTACATAGATATCAATCATCGAAGTATCATCTTACAAATTCTTGCAAAAATCTCTATCTTTCTACCAGTTTCCCGAGAAAATTCTGATTAGAAGGTCTTGGGTCCGGCTGTGTCCTCGATCTTGGCGACTCGGCCCCGAGCGTCCAAGCTGGGCAACAACGGGGGACGGCCCCGTTCGCCCCGTTCCGGACTCTCCGCTGGAAGGCCTTCCGCGTACCTGCCATGGGGCGGCCAGCTAGGTAGGTCCAAGGTGCCATGCATTGAATGGGAATTCATGGTGTTTAATGGGAGTGAATGGGATTTAATTGGGGTTTAATGAAGTTTAATGAGTTTCATCTAAACAGAATTAAGTCACCCAGCTTTGCACAACTGGGGCCCACTGGGTTCGTTCAAATCCTTCAACTCATTTCAGCGGCAAAGAACCCTGGTGAGTGCTGGAAGCCTGGAAGCAGACACCAAGCCATCAGGCCACTGGGAGAAATTTTGGGTAACAAAGACAGGGTAGGGATACTGATGCCCAAAAGCCATGTCGGTGGACTGTCTGCCCATGTCGAAAAACAATTAAATCATGTTGAGCCTCCAAGTCGTGCTGCTTAAAGCACCCTTCTTGTTGGTTTCACATGTGTGTTTCTTAAAACCCACCCTGGTTGATGTTTCCCGTCCAGTCTGGTTGGTTAACGTGGTAATTAAACCCAATGATAGACACTATTTAATATTTAGGGATGGTTGAGTTTTTTTTGGTTGTGTTGGGAATGGTCTGTTATCTGTTCTTGGTTGTACCACATCAAACACGACAGCATCCACCATCAAGTTGTTGATTCACATGTTTTGTCCATGTGTGTTGCTTAATCATCCCCCTATGTTTGTAATCCATTTTTGCAGTGTAAATCTGTAGAGTTTTCATCGACCCGAATCGACCCCCCTTAAAAAAAAAAAACGGCTCCCAGCCTCCGCAGCTTCTCCTGTTCCAATTGCCTCTTCTGTGACGCCGCACGACGATGCTGCTGTGTCAGGGGCGCAGGAGGCTCATGGGACTTCCTCAGCATTTGTTGAGGATCATCGACTTTGGGGATATGATCCATGCATAGACTGCCCTGAGGTTCCACTTGGATGGACCATGGAGTTAGACTGGTTGCTCTCTGGTAATCAAACGTGGCAAAGAAAAACCGCTATAAATGGAGGTTTGTAGCTGGGAAAATAATCTATACATGGGATTAAATGGGGAATTTCATGGAATTAGCGATGGGCAATTCATGTTAATTACCAACAAAGAATCATAAATATTGCAAACTCCACCACAAAATCGGAAACATTTGAATCTTTTCAGGAAATGCATGGATCCGGTACTAAACCAGGGCTTGGCTTGGCTTCGGGTGTTATTTGTATATATATATATTTATATGTATATCTCAGACATTATGGATTGATCAAGGGGGATCCATGGTCATCTCTATGGAGAGAAACATAGAACATGTTTCAAACATTAAGCAGCAACAACAACAACAACAAGAACACCAGCAACAACAACAACAATAACAAGAAGAACAAGAAGAACAAGAAGAAGAAGAACAAGAAGAAGAAGAAGAACAACAACAACAACAACCACAACCACAACCACAACCATCAATATGTGTCTGGTACGGCATATATTTAGCGCATATATATATATATGTGCTAATATATAGATATATATCAAACAGTATATGTATGCATTGCATATATATATATATATATATGCCTCGCAGTAGTCAAGTAATTTCTGCTGGCCTACGGAGAATCCAAAACAGAGTTCCTGACCAACATGAACAGCGCCATGGGAGATTGACTCTATAGTATCTATAGGCAAAATTTTTAGCAAGACATAGGCAAAACATATAGAACAAATCCATTCATATATAGTTGTTTTGCGACCAGGTGTATTTATTCGGAGCTATATATATATATCTAAATAGATTGTAATGGATGTATCGATAGTTGCTATAGTTAAATATATAGATGGGTTTTATAGACCAACAAACCTAACTAGCCGGGCCCCTTCCTGGGCCAGGGTTCAGCTCGGCAATGGAGTGTGGATTTCGGTATAGCTGCTTTCGCTCTCGTGCCAGCCGCTCCTGTTCCTAAAATGACGCTGGCAGCTGGTTACCGTTCGGTAATCAAACATGGCTGGCTGTGAACCCCCCTGTATAATTTTGTATATATATATACATACAGTTATATCATGCTCTATATATGTATATATATAATTATATATATATGGGTTTCCATCGGAAAGTCATCGATAAACGAACCATTTTTCCGTAGCCATGTTAAATTACAAGAGGGGGATAGACAATTGTCATGGCCAAATAAATGTGTCAAAATGATGCGAGTTATGATGAGGATGAACTCTACGTTTTATGGCGCGTCATGTCTCAAATAGACCCAATTATGTGGATTAGTATTCAAGACCTTGTGGTTGCAATGTGCAAGGTACAGGCTTCTAGAATTGAAACCTTCTCACATACAGTATACATGTATACTGTATACACATGAAATTTCATACATTTGGATGGCGTGCAACCGAGTCAAACGTCAATAATTCACACCATGTCATCAGCTACAGAAACATGCAGAAACATCTGAAAAGCGCGCCTCTTACAACAGAACTGGATTGAAGGTTTCACATGGTTTCACCATACTACCAAAGTTTAAGTCAGTTATGGTCATCCTCCAATCTTCAGAGATGGATCGAAGAAAAACACAAGCCCTGGGGAATCCCGCGGATCCGGATGCAAAACATGAAACCACCACTGCCCTGGTCGAACTTGAATTCACTTTTGGGGAATAGTTCGGCCAAGATGACTCTTGTGAACCTTCTGAAATTTCGGCCAAACTTTTGTTGGAATTGCCATTTCATTTCATGTTGTTTTTTCTCAATACAGATTTGACATGATAATGAAACAAAACCGAGGATGTTCTACTTATCTAGTTGGGTTCCTTCATGTTACTTAATATACTTATTACCCACATAGGACTGGTATGATTGAAGCCAACAGTTTGCCCTCGCCTCCTGCTCGCGCTTGGCCCTTTCTTCCTCCTCTCGTTCCTGGGCTAAAGGATTCTCGGATTACACGAGTGTGAAAAAAACTTAGGCCACGGCAGCCATGGTAACCGCATGTACAATTGCACATGTTCGGCCAGTAGAATTCGTTCTTGGTCCACACGTACATTTCTTTTGCATGGGTTAATTATACATTATTATACATTAATTTAACAACAATAGACCAAGCACAATGCCATGCCATCCATACGCGCAAACGTTTGGCAAATCGATCACTCAATTTTCAGTTAACAGAATAACGATGACATGTAGGTATGCCATGTGACACGGCCGTTGGGACTGAAAATCATCAAATGCAGTCAAATTGCACAAATGTGCAAATCAATCCAGTCATAAAGCTAACAACTTCACTGGTCAATCCCTATAATCCCAATAATCATCAATAACCCCTGAAATCATCAGGAATTCCTATATACTTCCATATTTTCACCACACCTTTCACCATCCCATCCCATGGCCATGGCCACCGCATCCCCGGTGCTGCCCAGACGTCTCTCCGTCGCCTGGAGGCGGCGCGCTGCGCAGCGCTGTGGCGCCGTTCCTCCGCGACTTTCTCAGACTCTGCGCGCCGCTCCTCGCGCTGCAACTTCTCCAGCGCCTCGCGGTTCTTCGCCTGGGTCTCCTGGGGACCGAAGGTTGGCAAACATGCATCTTAACATATATATATATATGTGCGATTTTTCCCATATTTTTAGGCACCAATGGTGATATAAAAGTTTGAAGGGCTTAGAACTCAAACACATGGTAGATTTGAATCATAATCATAACCAGCAGCTTCAGAGCATGATTTTGAATACGAATCAACAATTCAATGATGGAATGGGGATTGAATCATCAAATATGTGCACTTAATAGCTTAATCATGTCTTATTATTCAAAAATTGATGGGATGGGGAGCCCACTTAGTGCAACGCAACAAACAACATTTAGAAGGCTGAGGAGGTTCCAAAAGAAGACATATGAAACATAATGAAACACTGATAGAAATTACAAGCAGTGGAGCCCTGGATTTTGGCACTGTGGTCCGATTGTGTCAGTTCAGGACAGGAAAAGTTCTAGACACATGCACACGCACAGGCATATGCATAATGTGTAAAAAATGTTTATTATCATACACATCATTATATACATATAATAGTTTTTTTTAAAAAAATAATAAATTATCAGACCATAACATAAAACATATAATGTACAATAAAATAATATAATTAATATAAATATATATATATATAATATAGTATAAAATTAAAAGAAAACAATATATAGAATATATAATAACCATGTTAATATAATAAAAAAATGATATAACTTTACAAACAAATATAATATAATATAATATAATATAGTATAATATAGTATAATATAATTTAATTTAAAATACAAATAACCAAACAACTACATGCATATGTGATATGTTCTTTCAACCGATCACTATCACTCGCTCGAACATGGGATCCAATCCGCCAAGCCGTGGTTGGCCGCACCTTTTTTCTTCTCTCTTCCGAGCGGTGGCGCAAGCGTTCTTGCGCCTGGCATCATCAGGGAGTCATGACCATATGTGCAATGTGGGGCACCCAACACAGTTAAGCAAAAGGCTTGCAACTACAAGAACTATTGAGGAGTTGGATGGGTTTATAAACAAATAAATACAAATAACTGTATAAGATCCGGAGATATAAAAATGGAATTATAAACCAGCAAACATGAGTGGGGGCCACTTTGTGTCTATGCCTCACTCATCATGACAAATGCTACCAGACCCTAAAGGCGCCTCACTATGCTCAAAGACTTCATTTGGTCCAACTCTTGTTTGGGATGATGTCAAACGACCGCCAAATGGCTGGTTGCTTGAGATGTTTAATGATGTTTATTGATGTTTAATGTTGGGTTTGCCGCATTAAAAAATAACATTCAGGTGACTCTCGCCTTTTTCTGCAGAACTTCGCCCATCTCATGGCTCTCCTTCTCCTGGTCGTACTCCGCTTCAAGCTGCCTGATTTGTCATGAAACTGTAAAGTGAATTGTCACTGGGAAACGCCACCGTACCTTTCACAAAATTTGGGGCCCTGGAGATTTGGTGCCACCTGGCATCATAGCAGTTGGGCTAAGAACTAGTCCTAACTTGACAAGTCATGTCAAAACGTTCCGCAGTAGTATCTGGCAAGAATTTCCGCTGAACCCATAGTGGTTGCATGACCATTCCACTTTGACACTGGTCAGTAGCCATAGTTAGTCAATCCTCCAGCCATGTTTTTTTTTCATAGCCTGCTACTGTTCAACAAATGTTTCAAGGTTGCCACAATAGTTTCACCCATATATAGTCGATACATAAAATAGATAATATATTATAATATAATAAAATATAATTTAGCAAAATAAAATTCAATTTAACAAACTATAATATAATAAAATATAATATAATAAAATATAATAAAATAGAATATATTATAATATAATATAATAAAATATATTATATTATAATATAATAAAATAGAATATAATATAATATAATATGATAAAATATAATATAAATAATATAATAATATTCTATAATAATATAATATAATATAATATATCATAATAATTTTAAATAATATAATATAATAATTTAATTAATATAATATAACATTATAATATATTATATTATATTATAAAATAATGTGCTGAATGATATAATGATACATACTCATCCCTGGGTTTACCTGGTGACTTGGGTTATCCCATGCATCCGACGGCCAGGTGGCTGCATGGACTCTTCCTCTTCTTTCTTGGCCAACCTTCTTTCATGGCAGATTAATCCGCTGAAGGATCCGCTTTTCAAACCAATGGAAGGATTTGTTCAAGGTGACTTTTATATACAGGAACAGGAACTTTTGACATTTTCATATATATTTTTTTTCATCATTGTTCATCCCCATGTCTCTGAATTTTCTTTTCGACCACTTCCGGGCAGTGACCTATATTGGAGGACTGGCCATGACCCATGGAAGTGCGCATGACTCAAAACGATTGGCATTTAGCATTGAATGGTTCAATACTTGAGTGGTTGGTTTCACCCCCGCGAAAAAAAAACGAAATCACTAGCAAATTGAAGACAATCTGATGGGGGTTGTCAAAGACTACCTTCTTGGAGGCTGAACAATCCGCGCACGGCATCCCCTAATGGCTAAAGATCTCAGGAAATTGGGGTTCACATGGGGTCTATAAGCATCACATGTCATCCATAAGCATCACATGTCATCCAAGATTAACATGAAACGCAGCGTACCATCCTTTCTCCAGCCACCAACGCATTCGCGCATTTGTAAAAAAAATATATATATATTTGTATGTATGTATGTATGTTTGTTTGTTTGTATGTTTGTATGTTTGTATGTATGTATGTATGTATGTATGTGTGTGTGTCTGTCTGTCTGTCTGTCTGTCTGTATGTCTGTATGTCTGTATGTCTGTATGTCTGTATGTATGTATGTATGTCTGTATGTCTGTATGTCTGTATGTCTGTATGTATGTATGTATGTATGCATGTATGCATGTATGCATGTATGCATGTATGCATGTATGCATGTATGCATGTATTGCATGTAATGCATGTAATGCATGTAATGCATGTAATGCATGTAATGCATGTAATGCATGAAATGCATGTAATGCATGTAATGCATGTAATGTATGTAATGTATGTAATGTATGTAATGTATGTAATGTATGTAATGTATGTAATGTATGTAATGTATGCAATGTATGTAATGTATGTAATGTATGTAATGTATGTAATGTATGCAATGTATGTAATGTATGTAATGTATGTATGTATGTGCGTCTGTCTGTGTGTCTGTCTGTCTGTATGTGTGTATGTATGGATGGATGGATGTATGTATGCAAGCATGCATGCATGCATGCATGCATGTATGTATGTATGTATGTGTGTGTGTATGTGTATGTGTATGTATATTTATATGTATATTTATATATTTATTCATATATCAACCATTGTCCAACTCACTTCCAACAACGACCTCCTGCTGCTGATTCCCGCCAAGTCGCTCTTGTTTCTTTTTGTGAATCAACCTCTTCTTCGCCGCTTCCATGGCTTCTTGGGCTTTCTTCGAAGCCTCCTCAAAGCATCTGCCTCTCTCCTCTTTGTGCAGCCTCAGGAAGCTTATCAATACTTTACTTCGAGTGATCCCCACCCTGTCACACTGTTCTGCCATTGAGTTTATGACATATCATCTGGAAGTATGTATATGTATGGCACACACACACATATATATATATATGTGTGTGTGTATGTGTATATATATATATGTGTATATTTATATATATATTGTGACATTCTATCTGACATTCGTTCTAGCATATACTCTGTCTTTCTGGCATTTACCCTGACATTCTATCTGACATACTTTCTGGCATCTATATTGACATTCTGTCTAGCATCTTTTCTGGAATTTAAAATATGCATTCATTCTGGCAGTCTATCTGGCATCTATTTTCATGTTCTTTCAGACATTCTTTCTGGCATTCTTTCCGACGCTCTGTCTGGCATTCTATCCGACATTCTCTCTGGCAGGTGTTCGGGTCCAGGTGTGGCGCGCTGCATCCGGAGCTGGCAGAGGAGAGGGCGAGTGAGAAGGAGTTGCACCTTTGTTAATATCTAGAGACCCTCACCTGGCAGGTGGGGAAAAACAGGACGCTTGTCTCCATGGTACAGGGAAATGCTGGTTACTTAGAAAATTATCAATCAAACATGTGCGATCATGTGGGCCCGGGACTTTCCACTACTGTACCAGGTAAACCTGTGGCATCTTCAGAATGATCCATACAAATGTGCGAAACGTCTGGCCTTATTTTCAAACAGTAGTCTGCACAGTCAGTCATATTTTACACTATGTATACTGCAATACGGCTTTCGAAGCATGCAAAAAATGTTACTTCACTTCGAGTGATCCCCACCATGGCATTTCAAGGCATATATTCTACAATATTTTCTGCCAATGATCAAAAAAACCACCATCTCACAAAATGGCATGGTATGCTATGGTTTTAAAGCATACCCATCTGGCAGGTCCGGCAGCGCCCACTGCGATCTGGCACCCGCAGTTGAAGGTCCGGCAGTGCCCACTGACATGTGGAGCTTGCGGTTGAGGTCCAGCAGTGCCCACTGAGATCCGGCACTCGCAGTTGAGATCCGAGTCTAAAGACCCTCACCTGGCAGGTGCCGAACAATAGAAAAATACTTGACGACGATAGCAACAATGATGTATTCCAAAATTCACCACCGCCACCGCCACCACCATCACCACCAGCAGCACCAGCAGCAGCACCAGCACTGTCGTTGTTGTCATCATCGTCATCGTCATCATCATCGTCATCGTGATCGTGATCGTCATCGTCATTGTCATCTTTTTTCTATCTACGGGTCAGATATCGCGTTCCTCGCCCCTGATTCCTCATAGCTCATCCCTTGTCCCATCTTCTCGTTCTTCATGTCCGACCAACAGGGCCATCGCCATGCTGCAATTCTGACAAATAACACAGCAAAGAGAATAAGCAATGGTCAAATGACATCAAATAACACCAATTGTGCGGAAATGCTGGGCTACTTGAATGTCCCGATCTTCGCTTTCTGCATCAAATCACAAGTACCAACCCTCTATTTGAGTCACTAACCTTGACCTTCCATGGCCCATCCATGAGTCCATGAGTCCAATTGAGGTTGGCTGAAATTTGAAAAGGACTTCACAATAATCTTTGCACTCAGCATGACGCAGCCGCCTATTTTTATATATATATATATATAGAAACTTGTTGTTGATTCCAAAGCCGCAACTGGCTGCAACGGTCGATCGCAAGCAATCAGCATCTCTTGTTCCTTCTTTTCTTTTGTTTTTTCCTTCTCTGCTCTGATTCGAGCCTCGCCACTCCGATCAGGCAAACAGAAGCATCTACATAGGCGTGGTTTTAGGCAACGTCAATCAGCAAAATGTTAGATACTTGGAAACTTGCGATATCCATTATACATCGCAGTAAAAACCGGGTGAATCCAAGTCCTAACCATTGATTCTCCCAGCGGACAACATCAAATGCTGGCTCCTGCGTCTGCTTCTGCAGAAGTTTGGATTTTTCTTCTTGTTCCTGAGGTTGGTACATCATGCACCCCCCTGCCCCATGAAACCTCAACATGGGAATAGCCCTGGCAGCCCATTTTCAACACAGGAACGGTCCAATGGGGACCCACCCTTACATGAAATTGGCACACTAGTGCTGATGGCTTGGTCATGGGTTATTCAAAATCCCTGCGGCCATTTTTCAAGATGTCATTGTATCTAAAAAAAACCTGGGAAATCGCTGATTTTGATGATAAATCATGCCTTTCCATATCAAAATTGCCATGACCTGGGGTCATACCACATATTTAAACACACCCCGCATATGTATATACATATATATATATATTTATAGATATAGATATACATATAAATACAATAAATACATATACACACAAAATATAGATAGATAGATAGATAGATAGATAGATAGATAGATAGATAGATAGATAGATAGACAGATAGATAGATAGATAGATAGAGAGAGAGAGAGAGATAGATAGATAGATAGATAGATAGATAGATAGGTAGATAGATAGATAGATAGGTAGATAGATAGATAGATAGACAGATAGATAGATAGATATATAGACAGACAGACAGACAGACAGACAGATAGACAGATAGATAGATATACAGTATAGACAGACAGACAGACAGACAGACAGACAAACAGACAGACAGATAGATAGATAGACAGACAGACAGACAAACAGACAGATAGATAGATATATAGACAGACAGACAGACAGACAGACAAACAGACAGATAGATAGATAGATAGATTAGATTAGATACGATTAGATAAGATACGATTAGATTAAGATAAATACAAGATAAAATAAAATTAGATAGATAGATAGATAAATAGGTAGCTAATATTAAATATACATATATATATATATACACTATATACTGTATAATTCTATATATATATACATATATTATAAATTATATGTATTAAATATATTTTATTTTCATTGCAGCATAATCATATCCCATAATATCTCATTACACCGACATGTATTCAAAACCACCCCGTGTAACGTATGGGGGCACTTTATCTTGGTAATTAAGACCGGCATGGTGCCGTAAGCCAAGGATCTTTCCAATGCTCATTGGCCTTGGTTTAGCCGAAAGTTGGTTCAAAGTCTGTCACCATTCTGTCCACTTCTAGTTTGATGATGGAGTTTGACATGAATGGCTCGGATATCTGCGAGATTCTGCGAGTGATCACAATCCAAGATGGAGACATGTGTCCCCTTCCTGGCTTCAGGACTTCAGGAAAAGCCCTCCACTTCTAAGTTTATTTATAACTCCATCTTACTATAGATATAGGATGATATAGGTATATATATATATATAAGCAATTGTATAAACAATCATACGCCCCGGATAGCTTGGTTATAAAGTGTTTCGCTTCTTTTGGGGGGAATAAGCAATGTCAACTCACAGGTCCTTCAAGCCCAAGGCTCACCTAGACCGCTACAAACCGCACATGGACTTAAATTGTACAAAATTCTGGGTATGTTTCTTGTTCAGCTATCAGTACTAGTACGGTTGGGAAACTCTTAGTGGCTCCTTTGCTCCTCAATTAGATAGTTCAATCAGGAGTATGGAGACTGCTAGCTGCTTAGCTCCCTCCTAAGCGTTGGATATAGTCAATAGTATCCTATTAAATCACAATTGAAACTGGTTAATGACATCTTACAGTAGCTAATATTACAGTCCCGAAAGAAGGAAATTTAACTTAAAATAGGGTAAACTGCGCAATTGTGCGCATTTCGCACATGTAGTGTTGCGCCATCTTCAGGCACATTTGCTGTTTCAGGTATATTTGGGAAATGTTTTTTTTCCAACATGTATATATATATATATGTAGATGGCGCGACCACCTCTTAAACAAGTTGTCCGGTGCCATGCGCTTTGCACCTGGAGTGTATGATAATATCAGTTGCTGTCCATTGAACATCCATTAACCACTGGACATTTATCCAGAAAGAACCGGCAAACAATGGGATTTCGGCACTGGGATCACCGTCAACTGTCCAGAACCACTCCTAAGTATGTTTCCCCTGCTTACAGTGATTGCAACACCAAAACGTTGCCGGCCACCAACCACATTGAGCAGCCTTGGCGTTTATTCATCTGGGGGCGGATATTAACCAAACAGTTACCACTAATACATACAAAGAGAGTATTTAACATCTCGAGTATTCTTGAGTTAAATCATGATAAAGATTGATAAAGTATGATAAATTCATGCTAGAATGGCTATCATCAATCTCAACTTACTCTTAACAAACGAAGGCAGCCTAAAAACAAGAAATCACAAACCATAACATTCCATAACTATCCAAAACGAACAAATCACTTTTTTTTTTTTGATTCACCAGCCGTGTTTCCAGCTTAAAGCCAGTGGCTCGTCGCCGTTCCTCTGCCTGGGCATTCACTTGGGATTCCTCTTCCAGGCGTTTGGCCTGTCTTCGGCGTCGCCTGGTTTTCGGTCGTCAAGTTAGAGCAGCTCAATGTCTGTGGCTCTCATGATTTCGTCAAGGTTTAGCAATGTTAAAATATGTTAAAATCATGTAAAATGGCTTATGTCAATACTTTGTGATTGTTTTCATTGGCACCTCGCAACTTTCATGGAGTCTGGAGTCTCAAGGTTTACCATCTGGTTACTTAAGAGTTCGCCATGGAAAATCACCGTTTTTTATTTAGGTAAACCAGGTAAACCATCTATTTCTATGGGCCATCTATTCCATGGCTATGTAACAGTCATACCCAGAGGGTAACCTGTCTCTGGCGAGGTCTGGCGAGGAGGCGATGGCCTTTCACTTTCCTGGCGCTTCATGCGCTGCTCATGTTGCGCTTGGGCTTCTCTTCGCCTCTCCTCCACCTCTTCGTGTTCACGAAGCTTGGCTAACCTCGCACCCGTGCCATGCTCAAAACGTATCAATACAGCTTTATGAACTACGAACTATGGAACAATATGGAACAATAAACCAACTTTGGACCATGGCATCAATGATATCAAGGCAAAGGATCTCAAATGAACACAGCTAATCTAAGGTACCCAAGAAAGAATGACGCCCCCACGTTACAATAATTCCTTATCTTAATGAATGTTGTGCGATACTTTATACCAATAATTTTCGCAGTTTTCTATTGACATTGGTCATGTAATTCCCCTTGCAGTTGTTGAATCCCAAGTTTTCCTAGTCATTTCAAACTGTTCACATTTTTTGATGCCTTTGATTTACTGTATGTCCAAAACCAGCTTGCTTGTATCACATCCAAACGCTCCTTGGAATAAAAACTGCCCCAAACCTACCTTGAAACATCATGACAGATAATGTCAACCGACTTGATACTTGCATATAATCACTGATTATTAATTGTGGGCCTTACCCCCAAAATAGGGATGTATAAATTAATGCTGAAAATGGTACCCTATCGGAAAGAGTTTTTAAAGATTAAATTAGGTTTTAGAAAGATCCTTACTTAACGCATTCATCCCCATCCATAGCTAATTCATGAAAACCCGATTGAACCTTATCAAATCTAATCAATCAAATACCGTTAAATCCCATGAATTAATCGCAGCAATTAATCCCACTAGACTAAATAAAACACATTGGTTTTCCATGTATCATTCCACAAAACCATACAAAACCATAAATTTGCAGTTCCCACTGTGCCCGGCACCTCTCGCGTTCCTTCACCTCCCTGATCCGTTGCCGCGCTTTGGCGATGACGTCAAGGCCCCGGAGACCGCTGCCGCTGCCGACCGCGCTGTGGCCGTCGCGGCTATCGCTGGCGCTGCCGGTGCGAAGGTCGCTGGTGTCGTCCTTGCAAAACGGGGCAGTTCAAAGGAACATGCGCCTGAAACACGCACCAAGAAATGGACAGAAGGGTCCATATGTGCCATATGATCATTAATATTACGTTATATTCATGTATTAGTATTTGGATTTTTTTGGATTTCTTCGGATTTCTTTGGATTTATTTGGCCCAATGGTTTCCACTGATGAATGGATGCAGCTAATTTGAAACGCTGGTAAATTCAGCAGAGAATGAATGATCAACGTGGAAATATGGAAGCATATGGAGGTACATGGAATTTGTCCTCCCGCCGACATATGGAATATTGTGGTTGGCATTGGTGGCCGCTGATTGTTGTATCCCCAGCGTCAGAATCCAAAGTCTGCCAGGAACTGAAAGGCACCAATTTTCAAGCTAAGAAAACGACTGAAATACCGCTTCCCACAAGAACAATGATTGTCCAACATTGTCCAAACACATTTCTTCGGGGGTCCTTGTCAGTATGCTCTGGGCCTACAAGTGACTCCCTTGCCCCACCATCGAGCGCATAATCTGAAACAACCATGTCATGTTCCAGGCCACCACAAAGAGGGGATAGTTCGAATTGGTGAATCCTTCTTGGCCGGCATTTGTTGACATGCAAAATTACCGACCTTACAATGAACAAACACACACACACACACTATACACGTTATGATGGAAACCTCAGGACCAAATTCCAATATAGGAAATGTGTCTTCTAATCCATTTCCAGATTCTCTCTCTCCATCGCCCTCTCCAGATTGCAGTGGGCAATTTGTCTTCCAACCCATTTTTCAACTGATCTTTGCTGCTTTTGGGTTGATGCCTATGGATCGAAACTCAAGCACTTACCCTCACATTGGCATGAAAAGCTGATGGTGGTGGATGCCCATCTCAAAATATGCGGAACTACCCTGTGGTAATAACAATTTGACATGTTTATGGAAAATGGCCCATTTGCAAATGATTTATACACCAATGGAAAAAAGTGTATATATGATCACATATGTATTGTCCCTAGTTACAGTATAATCAGTTTGTTATAAAGAAAATAAATACATATATGTCACGTATATATATATATGTGTATATATATATATGAAATAATTTCCCAGACCCCAAATGGTAATCTGATGTAATCTGTTTAATGACCCATCTCTGCCTTCAGGACCCAGCTCGGCTCGGCCTCAGCCAGCCCGCCAGTGGCTTGACTGGAACCCCGGGAAGTCAAGGCCGAGGTCGAAATCCTGAGTGATTCACCAGCCCGATACGAAAATGGGACTGTATGTCCAATAAAATACTTAAGTGATATATATATATATATAATATATATATAATATATATATATATACACCCTAAACTTCCAACATAAGCTCAAACAAATGTCGTTACCATAACCACCTTTTAAAATCAAGAAAATCCACATCCCTTCAGGAAGCCATATTTGACACTAAATACTCTGAATTGGACCACATGTAGATTTGACCTTTTTCTCGCGATCACCCACGATTGTGATCCAAACGCCAGCGAGCTTGGGCATTCAGCCTCAATCAGGAGAAACAACGTCAAGCACGCATGTGCACTCTTCAAGTCCCAACAAATGTAGTTTACTCAAAAAACAACTCAGAGTATTATGGGATGTTATCCAAGGAACCTTTTCATTTTCATAGCGGTATGCCAGATCCTGGCCGGCAGCTGGACCAAGCCTTGAACCCTAATTGATGTTTGGTGATATATGATCAACGCAATACAATCCCAGCGGTGTCTTTATCCAGCTCGAAAAAAAAACAACACACACGCTCACACTCTGCCTCAACTTGCTGCAGCGAATGATCCAGCGATATCGATAGTTGGGATGGCTCTTCAACCATGTTCCTCAGATACAGAGACCCAATAGCTTTCGAATAGCGACATCCTAGCAGTAATGCCCGCAGAATTGTGCAATGCCCGTTTTTCTTTCGTATTCAGCTCGAGTTTTCAAAGAAATACCAAAGATGGGTGTATATGCAGTGTGTGGTCTCAAATCTCTCTCTCTTAACCAGCAGTCAAGTGTCGTTTCAACCAAGACATCGAATCCTCATCAACAAATCCATGGTGCATTCTGACGTTAGTGCCTCAGACAAAAGGACAAAAAACAAGTAGCATTGGTTCTGATGAGATCCCCTCGCCATGTGCGCGATGTGTGTCAGCTGGCCAGATGACCTCATGGGACAGTACCTCTCTCAGTGACACCATCTTCAGAGTAAGTGGCGTCGGTAGTAGCAGGTTTGTACCAAATGAAGGAACCCCTCAGCTCGTTCGAACTGGATCCACTGGGGTGGGCTGAGCAGATGGCATGAATACATTGTGGCCCTAGAGTTAAGCTGTTCCACTCCGATGCCATTCACCCAGAATATTTGGCTACTATTTAGGTGTTCAAAGCTAGATTTCCAGAACACAAGCATATGCATCCTCAGAGAATGATCATATCGCCAAGGAACATGAAATTTGGGTCGCACAAACCATTCCTGGGTGCCCTTCCTGCTCAGGTGCTAGGTGCAAAAAAAGTCCTGTGTGGAGTCCCGGCAAACGATGTGAAAAATAGATCAATTAACATCAGTGTTTATGGTTGTCCTCAGTGACATGACGGTGAGGTGGAGGTGGAGTTTCAGAAAAGCCATTCCGTCATCATATATAGATTGGGCTTCTGCTTCGCTCCTAAGATCCAGCACTCACGAGATTCAATGTAACCCAAAAATCGATATTTGATGGGTCCCTGATTCTAATAATTTGCTGACTGGTTTTGAATGCCTAGATTCAAATACCGTCCGGCTGCTTCTAACTTTCCCAGAAATCGAGCCATATGTTTCCTTGGACGGCAGGCGGTTTGGGAAACGGGTTTTATATAGATCCAATACAGATCTTCTTTTGAGAGATGCTTTGGCCTTGGGAGCTGATAGAGGCAGACCCTTAGCACAGGGTAGATATTTTGTAAAATTATGTGTGTTTTCTTGTGTTAGATACTTATAGTAAAATGTATAATATATATAGCCCCGGCTCAAAAGAGTTCACCAACTCTATATCAATCAAAACTATTACTGTTTTCTGTCAAGAGTCAAAGCTCCAGCCAACACAAAACATCTGTCATCTTTTGATGAATATGCCTCATGTTGGCTTGCTTCACATACCGTCTCAGAGAGCCATGCCAAGATGCACCTCCCGTTGTAGGCTTTCGCAGTGAGGTAGATGTCTCCATTTTTTTTGTACAACTTGGTGGAACATGGGTCACAAACATTCTTCTCTACACGTGCCCTGCTGTCAAAGTTTCAAAAAGTCACGCTGGGAGTCAACATCAACTGTCATTGTGGCAAGAAACCATATGCTCCTTGAACGGTGGCTGGGAGCATGCTACGCGATTGGTCCTGCAAAATGACCGGAAGTGCTCATACGCTCTAGCCAGGAGCAAGGATCGGGAATGTTGGTCAAAGTCACCAAAGAAGCCCGATTGCAGAAGGAAATGCCTAGGATCACAGGTCAATGAGTCAGGGAATGTCATTCACCCGTGCCAAAGCTAGAGCCCAAGAAAACTTTTGAAAAAAATACGCCGTAAAGAATCCCTGTGGCTCAGCCATGAGTCAGTCCACTACCATTGGCTGTGAAAAGGAGCCCCAGATGGCAAACATGCATCAAACACCATCTGATGCAAGTGGGGTGGAAATTGCAAAGGCCAAGTAAAGGACCTCAGCTGATCAAGCACTAGTATTAGCATTCTAGATGACAAGGTCACGGCTTGACAATGGGGTTCTCCCTTGATAGAAACTTGAAATTGGCTAGCCAGCCAGCCATCCCTATAGAAATCACTGCGGGCAAATGGCAAATGCCTCTGGAAGGCATTCTTTCCTCCATGAACTCTTCCAACGAGAAGTGGTTATTGTGAAAGTTGCTGGAATTTGACAAATTCCAGTACAGATCGGACCATTCCCCTGAAGCCACTGCACGGCACCAATGGCACATGCGGATCCCATTCCAGCTTGTTTTCTCAAACCGCCACAGTTTCTTATGCCAGGACCAATCCCCCCGTATCTCGGTTGTAGCAAATCTCAAACTGTCACTAGTGATTTGCGTGCCAGAGAGGCTCCTCATACGTTCTGGAAGTTCATTGCCCCAAGGGTCTACCGTCGGATGCCGACCATTGTACAACGCGTTCAGTGACCACGTCAAGCGTCTCAGGACGCGAGACATTGTGTGGTGGGACCACAATTCAGCTTCTGATATGGAGAACAGAAGGAACCTTGAAGCACGAATGCTTCGTGGTCTCCAAAGCACTACACTGAGGAACAGCCCTATGACAGAAGCTGAACCAAATTCCGTGCTTATTGTCGCACCGTCTCCAAAAATACCTAAAGGTATCATTTGGTGATTGTCCACTGTCTTTGCCCATTCCTCTCCGAAATTGGCACTGTGTTCCCAGTAGCGGCGGACATGGTGCTCGGGGATTTTCAGTTTTCCCTCTTGAAAGAGAAACCTGATAATGGAATGAGGATCCAAGAATGGCCTGTCCTCAAGCTTGAACTTCTCTTCATCAGTTTCCAAGTCCTTGTACTTGATTGGGACGCGGATAGTTTCAATTGCCTTGGTGGGATTCAAAGGGGCAAGAAAACCCAGAACATCTTGGAACCTTTGTTGTTGCAACAGGCTTATGACTTATAACTTATGACTGAAAAATCATCAAGAGCCATCCAATCCAAATCAAATGAACATTTGGGTTCTGATGCCTGGAAAACTTTTCTTGACATCATCCACTCGTTACATTGCTTTGGTAATAAGCAGATCGATCTGTTTGAAAATCGGCTTATCTAATTTCAACCATTAACCCTGCCAAGTGTCAGGGCCACCCTTCAAAGATCGCCACCAGTCTCTCGAGTTGTTCCTGCCAGAAAAGGTACCCAGCTTGCGGGTGAGAGAATGCATCGCCTTCCCACGACTGTCCTGGGCACAAAAAGACTGGAATGATTCAGCTAGTGCCCATATGAACTATGAGAAATTGTCTGCCAATCTAGAACACAAAGTGCTGTCAGGGAGTGATTGGCACACCGTGAGCATCAGATACTCGTCGAATGACAATTCAAAACACATGGTAAGCTCAAAGAAAGCCTTGGCCCTAGGCCGCTGAATGCTATTCCACATGGCCACCTCCTTTACAAACAAGTCGTGGGGTTGCCACACATGCAACCAGCAATTTGACAGCATGGTACAGCCATGCAGCCATGGCCCAAGAATGTTTCCATGGGAAAAGGGGTCTCTGCAGGATCAAAACACATGTCCCACAAGAGTGTGATTTGCCTCACATTCAGCCATTGACCAGAAAACGAAACATGTTTTTTTTTTTAATGCTACGGGTCTGCCTTTAAATGCTATATATGCCATATAGTTTTTTTATAAAGTAATAATTAAAAAAAACATATATACCATGACTTCAGAATGTAAAAAATAAATGAGCTATATCACCCCATAATGATGCCCATGGTGCATTGGTCAATTCATTTGGAAGGTAGAGTAGAGACATGATCTTTGGATAACATGTTTTCAAAGGAACCCGTCCAACAAAGGGAGTATAGTCTTTAAACGAGTGTGGCCCCCCAGAAATAAAATTGATTATTGGTTTATATTGAGGATTTTGGGGGATAGGACTGGGTCGTCATATCATTTTTTAAAGGTGAATGCATGTTGTTCACTTCGTTTTGAAAATCAAATGGGGGGCAACATGGACGGGCCAAAAAATGTTAGCATCAAATCTATATAACACCACCAGGCCTTGTATTTTTTTGTTGGAATACTGGGAACTATTTACATTTCCATCGCATGCATTTAAAGTATCAGGGTTATATTTCCCAGTTTTTTCCCTACACAATGGCCAAATGAGACCGTTGTGCCAAGGAACTTTGACATGTGCCTTGACATGCCGCATCGCTCTTCCCACAGTACTGCCCTTGGCTGACCCAGGGCAAGGTGGAGTGGAAACGACCCCTAGGAACCTATTGGCTCCAAAATTTTATAAATATTTATATAGTTATATTATATTATATATTATATATATTATATATATTATGTTGTATATAATATATAATATATAATAAATGTATTATATATTATACTTATATAATATATAATATAGATCGATATATTATATATATTATAATATAAAATATATAATATATTATAGTTGTTGGTTTTGAATTCGGTTTGACACAGGGCAACATCGAATATTGTCAGTTGAGGCACTCCCCCATGAACATTTTCCAGGGCCTCCTCCAAAACTGCAGATTGAGTTTCCACATAGTTTTCAGCACCTGCGAGGGGCCCGCCACACCCATTTCTTTCCGGTTTCGATATCATCATATAATAAATGTTAGGAACCAAAAAGGGACATCCACAAACCCTGCAAATGCACATGTGGGCACTGCTGCCACCATTTTTTTTTAAGCGCTGCCATGTGATCTCTGAATATGATCGATATATATCAGATTGGATGGCGGTGACCTCAAGAAAACCACCAATTTGAATTTCCATGGTACTGCAAATGGGGTAGGTGCAAGAGTTTGTCCTTGCACCCAACAAAGGGCCATTGCCCAAGAAATGGATTGTATGTAGGCCGAGCGCCTTGCAAGCAGCACCTGTCCCCATGGAACACCTTCTGTGGACATGTATTTTTCGGGTGTACTAGAGATTTTAAATGGGAGTCGCATAAAACATACATTCTAGAATTCTTCTATGAGAACAATTGTTTATTAGTTGAACATTGACAAGAACTGCAGATGTTCCTTCCCATGACAGGTATTTTGGATGCTCTAGCAACTCTACACAGCAAAATCAGACACTGAAATATCTGAAATGTTCATTCACTTCAGATTGGTTCTTCGTAAGAAGTCCTTGTAGGACGTCTCCTTCTTACTGCAATCTTCAAGAATCACATCCAACTGAGAAACCTTAGCTGGGCTTAAAGGACAAGGCCCCCGTTTTGTTACAGTTGGAAAAAATGAGCAACCAAGTTTTGTGGTACCATACTCAAATAGGTTTTAAGATTTTTTAAGAATCTGACATTTGAGTTAGTTTGTTGCCTGAAGAACTACTGTAGTACCTCCCTTGATGACATGATCGTTTTCAAAATTTATTTTGTGGTTGTCTTTTGCAGGACATTTTACTTCTTATTTTAATGTTACAGACTAGAGGCATCTCGATTGTCAACAACATTTTGCACAGCATCCCGTGCATCCACCAACTCATCCCGCATTTTGGCAAAGTCCGTCTCAATCGCCGCACGAAGGCTGGGGCACCTCACATGCAAGTTAGGCAGGTCTGGTGGTCTCAGTTGGGGGGCAGCCAGATGGGAAGCCCCGGTGTCCTACTAACTTTCTGAAATTGACATGATCCTTGGGGGTCATTGTTATGCATAACAATGACCCCCAAGGATCATGTCAATTTCAGAAAGTTTATATGTGTATTATATATTGGGGTGATTTTCTTAGATTCTAGATAAAAACTATATAATATGAACATATTGCAATAATAATAATGATACGATATTACAATAATAGCATAATACAATAATAACTGCATAATATTGACTTTCGTGGGTCCCACTTACTTTTTTTGACCATCCACTAGGTAAAAAGTGACGAACACCGGGGCAACACAAGTTGGGCATCCAGTATTATGAGAGTCGATGTGAAATATAGATTCCATAACAAGTTCAAGTTGTTGAGATAGTTGGTGGACATGTGATTGTCTTGGGAACAGTTCGGAAATCAATAGTGTGGGTATATATATATTATATAACACGTTATATGCTCGATTGGGATTGCTTTGCTGTCCCATCATCAACCAACAATGAATTTCGGTGGATATCATGGGGAAGTATAAGAATCATACATATGGTATGGGACTATATGGGCTTCCAGTTGGGCTTGTTGGGCTTGGCATGTCCCATGATTGCAATTGAGGCCAGAAACATCTCGGCGATTAGCTTGGCCTTTCCGGAGGCCTTTGTGATCGCATCATTGGCACTGTTCAGAACCTGTCCGTGGCAGGTTGCTGCAGGGATACCATAGGTAACCCTCCCAATTGGAAACAATTAGATCTATAGATAAACATTGACCCAAGTGAATATGATAAATATTTATTTATTATATATATTCTAGTTTTCAAACTGTCAAGGTCACATCACGTATTTGTTTGATTGCAATATTCAGCAATGCTATATTAATTTCTCAAAACGGTTGTTGATAAATATTAAGACAGGTCTAGCTCGGATGTATGGAAATCAGATGTATAGCCATCAAATATGGAAGTTCTTTCAAGTTTTTTTTTGAAGAGAAATCACGATTTGGGGTTTGAATGGCAGTTGCTTATATATGAGAATTAATGAACCCAAATTTCGAAAATGAAGCAAGTGCAGTGGCAGTACCCATCAATAGTGCCAAAATACATCGTGCAAGTAGTATATAATATAGGTATGAATCACCAAATCCCCAGTGCACTCTTCAACAAAGCTGGTGAAATCTTGAAGATAAGGTTGTCGCAATATAGCATGCATGAATGTCAAACAGCTAGCACGAACCGAACATCAAATGAGCCCATTAGTAAGATTACTGCCTTCTTTGCACGTGCAATTTGTTCCCTTTCTTTTTTGTCACGTTCTTGCTTGGCTTTCTTCTCCTGCTTATCCTTTTCTCGCTGCAAGCGCTTTTCCTTCTGCTTGTCAGTTTCCTTTTTTTCCTTCTTTTCCTTCTTATCTTTCTTGCCCTTACCTTTGCCGTTCTTCTTACTCTTCTTCTTGTCAGCTTTCTTCTTTTTCTTGTCCTCAGCTGCACATGCAGGTGCAAACAATGCATGTCTTAAACATATTCTGCAGTGTCCCCAATCGTTGTGCGAAAATTGTTTTTTGGTTTCTCCAATCACCTTTTGAACATTTTGAACATCTTAATCAGTTTCCACCTTGAACTGTGACCAAAAATATTGATAATTCCACTTGTTGAACAGACATGGGTCACTGGACGAACTGCTGGAAGAAGCATCGCTGACCGAAGAAGCGGACTGGCTGTCTTCATCGTCACTGCTGGAACTGTGGCGTCTCTTCTTTTTCTTTGTCGTCTTTTTCCGTGATCGGCGTTCCCCGTCGCTGATGTCTTCGTCCACACAATTGAACAACTCCTCGATCACTGTGTCTGAACGTTCTTCAACTCCTTCTGAGTCCCAGCACAGGAACAGCTGCAAGTCCTGCGGGCGAGTTTACATTTGCTCATATAAATATGAAAGTTGAGTTGGGCAGTAGGAGGGAAAAGTGCTGCTAGACTTGTAACGTGTTGGATCGTGTTGGTATTTGTCACACTCAACATGTAAAATTCTAATGTACATGCATGCACAGTTCTGAAAAAAATGATGCCCAAAGTATCCTTGTTGCCAATGGCATCGGGATGCCACTTCACACACGTGTCAGCCAACTTGGGATCATCCAACTTTGCCTGGGTAATTGTGTCAGCTATGCTCTCTGAATTGTACTTTTGGGCCAGTTGGCCACGTGTCATCCACACACGTGCACCAAACGAGCTGTGGGACGTGCGGCTGGACAACTTCAAGTATAACTCTGAAGATTTCCATTCTCCAGCGCATCCAGCCCATGCTTCTTGCAAAATGGCTAGCTTCTCTTGACCTCTAGTAGGCACTCATGACCGCTTGATCGTAAAAACAAAAATCCAACAACAATATTAGTATAAATGGTTTGCACGGTGTAAAAAATGTTACACTCATCAATGGCGTTTTTGTTGACAAGCTGCTATTGAGTTATAAATGATATGTGTTTGCGTGCCTGCGCGTATATTTTCAGACTGACATGCCATGCTACACCATTGGTGTACCAATCCCTGGATATGATGCACAGTTTATTGCCAAAACACTGTACTTCGCATTCAAGCCAGCACGTCGGATCTCTTTCGGCGTCTTCTTGCCTGGGTCAATTGAGCAAACCATTGGAAAATAGATGAGTCCGTTGTTGAGTAGGCTACGTGCATCAAACATGCAAATTGGTGCATGGCTCTCAATGCACATGTGCTGCACATACATCATGCATGCATGCAGTAATCAAGGGAGTGAGAGAGAGGCAACACAGGGTAATCAGTGTAATAAGGGTAGATCTTGGAATCATGGTGCCCCCACTGGTGGTTTACCTCCATCCATGAACTGACAACATGCAGAGGTAAAGGGCGGGCAGCGCAAGGTAATAAAAAACGAGGAATCCTGGGGACGCAATATAATATAATATTAAATTAATATTAATATATTTAAATATTATTACATAGCTAGTATATTAATTCTATATTAGCTATATCTGGGAATTATGCTGCTGCAAAGGTACTGCGAAGGGACCTGCTGAACTTCATATAGCGGGCATGGGCAGCCTTCTGCTCAGGTGTTTTCGGTTTCTTCGCTTTCTTGCCTTTACCTTTCTGCGTAGGTGTGGGCGTGGGTGCAGCATTGCTTTCATCTGGCTGTCCAGGTTCATCTTCACTCTCACTCTCCTCCAGTTCATCTTCTCTTTCATCTTCGTCTTCTTCTTCTTGTTCTGACGGCTCATAGTAGCTCGTCGCATCAGACAAATGTTCATCATCGTCATGGTTTGGACCAGGTTCCAGGTTGGAAGATTCCTTGTTGGTGGCATTCTGGGTCGATGGTACTGGGGACGCAAATTGTTCATAGGTTGTCGATCTTCCCATGTTGTCCAGTTGAGCTTGGGCTACACCACGGGCTTCCCTCACACTGGGGGGTGTCTGAACTTCATGCTTGCGACGAATGCGCTCACTCTTGGGCTCAATTTTCACAGGTTGGGCAGGTGGTACATTGGTTGTATCTCTGACCACTGCTTTCTTGGCAGCTGCCTTCTTGCAGGCTGGTCTCGGGGCAGGGGGTTGAGGGGCTGTCGCAGCACTTCCTGGTTGCTGTGACGGTGCTCCTTTGGCAGGTGCTTTCTCTGTGGGTGCTGTTGGCATGGTCTCCTTTTGTGTCTTCTGCTTCTTGATAACTGACTTCTTTCCACCCGACGCTTTCTTTCCACGTTTTCCTTGCTTTGCATTCTTGGGTTGTTTCTTCTTCACGCTACGGGCTGGTTTTGATTTGACCTTGCCCTTCTTGGATACCTCAACTGGCTGTTGCTTTGCTGCTGCTGTGGCTAGTAGGTGGGTGTCCCCAATATGCCCCGGCAACACCTGTGTGTTCTGTCTCCTCAGAATTTTGTCCTGTGGTGTCGACAGGCCAGAGTCTTCGACTGAAGGACGAGGCAACTTTCGGGCAGCGGCAAGTTGCTCTTCTGTGGCAGGGATGGTGGAGGCTTGACTCATTCCTCCTACAGTGAAATAATGAAAAGCACCCCCATAGTGAAAATGCCATGTGATCAAAATCACATAACAATTTCAGTACAAAGCAAGTATGGCCTGATCATACATGCTGAACTAGTTAATACAACAAATATGCACTGCATTGAATTGGGAAAGCATGATGGGTTATATAAAACAAGTCTCATGATGTTTGATACTGGTCATCATGGTTTGATGGAATGCCGGCAACTATCCAAACAATTTAGCATGGGGTCCTGGGGCAACGGACTCTGCAGGGCTGGATGTAGGCGACTGTGCACTATCACCCAGAGGCTCCCTAGTCGAACCCGAACTAGTCGGTGATGTACGTTTGGCCTTTGGTCCACCTTTGTGATCCAAAGCCATCGCATCTTTCAACCTCGACAGTGTGGAAATCACCAAACCTATAAAAATTGTGACACATATATGACATTATATATCATGTGAAAAAATCGAATCCACTTAGTTGCAATATGTTCTATAATCATAATAGTCGTCTCATGGCCCTTTGCAATTGAGACATCGGCAATGGTTCTCCCCAGGGAAGTTGTTCTGGTGGCAAGGCGAAATTTAGCAATTTTTCCATGGTACACTGGGCAGAATCCAATTCGGCAAGCCTTTGCGCACGCTCAGCTGCTTTGGCAAGCGCATGTTTCCCAGCATCGGATGGTGCCATGGGTAACCTGTTTAACAGTGTCAACTGGGTCGTGTTTCTTTGATCCCAATGTGTTGCAGCTGGAACTAGTAAACAGCTTCCAAATGACAAAATGTATATCATCCAAAAATGTTGGTTTTTTGGGGTTCCGTGGTTCACGCTTTTTAAATGGGGTTCACGCTTTTTAAAGGGGGTTCACGGTACTTTCACGCTAGTTTCACGGTAGTTTCACGCATCAGAATTTCATAGAGACATCAATTCCACTATTGCAAACAGCGGCCCATTTTTCCACCCCATTTGAGACAATCCATATAAGACATGGTCAAATCCACATGAAAGTGGGCATCGAAAGACAAGTTGCAACCACCAACGCCATCATGGCATTGGGTTTGTTCTTCAAGGATTTCCACACCGTGACAACAAAATTGAGTAGTCCCAATGATCAGATACGAATATAATATAATAAATAACAAAGATGTTATATATGTTGGGTGGTGATCCAGAACTCACCTCTAATTGAATTGCACAAACTGCCACCTCACACCACACAGGCGTAGCATTTCAGCATAGTGTGGTTCCAGGTGGCCAACGAATTGGTTGATTTGAAGCTAGATTGGATCCACATTAGTCCAATCCATCCTTCAATAGTGGAACATATGTTCCATCAGCAACCCTGTCCTTTAAAAAGGACTTGATCTGGGCCATACCACCATGCCTCCACCGAAAGGGCGCCTGGCAATACGACATTTGTTGATGACATGAATATATTATATAGTTCGTTCATTCCAATGATTTGGAGATAATAGTTTGCATGCATGTGCAAATGTAGTGTGTCGATTACCCATGCACCACCAGCACATGTAATAATCTTACATCGATTTAGAAACCCTCAGAATATATATAATATGAATCAAAAGGAATCTATGGTGTATAACCGTGTATAACGACAACACCCAGAACAGAGCAGCGCCCGAGCATGCCTTCACTGCCCGCATGTTGGCAGGGATCGGCGTTTGGTGCCAACTGTTGATCCTGGTTTGGTCCTCGGACAAGGCTTGGGGTAGGGACATGTCGGAACATGTTGGAATACAATGACCCAAGTCCATCCAATGAGTCAGGTGTGATCAATCGTGTTGGATACAAGTGATTTGAAGTAGACACTAATGGGCACACCATAAATTACACCCAAGATTCTTCAACATAGTGGATATGGTGCTTCAGAATGGCTCCAGCAAACTTGGGAGTATAGGCCGCGGATGCTTTCATCCCTGGTCCACCTTGCCTCATTGTTCACATCAGACATGAAAGCAACAAATTCGTACAAATTCAATAATTCAGTACTTGATGTGGAAATCCAATTTGCTTTGCAAAGCATTTTTCACAGTAGCTTATAAATGGTACTAATTCAATGGAAATGCAGTCTAGAAACACTGACCGCTTGCCACCTTTTGATATTTTCTTAATGACCATAGCCTTGTCCTTATTCTTCTTTGCCTTGGCAATCCTCTGTTTGTCCCGCTTGGTCATCTTGCGACGAAGTTTGTCCAAGAAAGGCCTTGTTCAGAGTTGTTTTCATGAAGTGCACATGAGCTAATGCATTAGCATTGTTTTCTCTGATAGAAATCTGCTTAAAGTGATTAGAACACAACGCCAAACAGACTCATTCATTTCATAGCTGGGGCCACCACGCTGACCCAAACAAAAGAGTTGGCTTGCAGCTTCGATGGTTGTAGGCACCCATCATGCTAAGCATCCACGGTCCACGGGATGTGAGGGACATGCACATGCTAGCTAGTTTATATATGTTTGCATCATTTATAATAATATAATAATAATATAAATATCATATATAATATATCAATCAATATAAGGTTGCAATTTGCAATATTTACGTGTACAGCACTCCAAGAAAGCAAGGTTTGTGCATGTGCGCATGAATGCACTGCACACAACAGATGATTTTCCAACTGGATTCTTCAAGACAGTTGCATGATGATGCATTGGTTTCCAAATACTTTGACACTTATACTTTTCGCCAATAGTTTGATCACCCCTCACTGCGAAGGTCAGCTCAACTGAGTTCCTGGCAATGCCACGTCGCCCCAGAAACCAGGCTCCAGCGCCAGGGCTGCAAACCGGAAATATGGGCAAAGAGGCATCAATGAGTTTCGTGGCTGCTCCGTTATCCACAGCACTGATCTAGCAGCAGCCAGCATCCCCAAAAGTACCCATCGACAGGTTATCCTGAGCTCATCTACAAACTACCAGGATGGACATAGTTTCTATGCAATGTTGTGTACAAATATGTTTGCAATCAAATACCCAATAGAGTTGGTGGTGAACCAAATGAAAAACATATTTGATCAATTCTGAAGTCAAGTTTCTTATTGGAATTTCTTACATATGTTTTTGACGTGTCTCCAAATATTCTCCGTCGACTTCTCAAACTGGTACCCATATTGATGAATACCCAAGGTCCACAGGGCGGTCCCCCCAACATTAAGCCATGCGGGATAATCCGCAACAGCTTCCGGATGGAGGTGCAGAATCCTTCCCTTAGAAGCAACAATGGCTTGCAAGAAAAAAATAAATCGTTAATGATTTGCGATGGGATTCTGGCTAAACAGGGTTGGGATAGTTTGGGATTCATTTGGCTTATACCATATCAACCTCAAATTTTGATTGCCAGGCAATGGAACTATGGTGATGTGGTGTATGCTAAAATAATTTATCAAGTCTGAGTAAACTAACATTGACCAAGACTGACCTCGTCAAAGAATTTGAGGCTGTGACATTTCCAAGATATCGCCACTGGGCCCATCCAAGACATCGAAACTGGCCCTGGGCACGAGCTCGAGAGAGAAGACTGCCACTAAATTAGGAACTGATGGGGTCAATGACGACACATATCCACTGGGTTCAGTAGAGAGATACCTGGTGGGGGCATGGGCTCAAGCAAAGCACTTTGATTTTACTACAATGGAAAGGGGGTAGCCCATAAACTTTAAAAAGTGATCTTGGGGTCCCTGACGTTTTCCATCCATTGTCACCTCAAGGTTGCAGAAAGTGTTGCATGATAAAAGATGATAAAGGCACAGTAAATCACTGTATCATGCATGAATTCTCATGTATGTTCATTTATGTTTTTGCACAGTAACATTGTTTTTAACTCAACGATGCTTTTCCTAGTTTCATATGTTCAAACTTCATATGTACTAGGCAAATCAAGCGAGAGAAAATCAGAAAACCCACCCTCGCATGCAGGCAGACTGGCAACAATTCTGGGCTTCTGGCTGTACTTCTTGGACACTTCTCCTTGTCCTGCAAAGGCATCCAAAAGGATTAAGTCCTTGGTGACGGGGAGCGACATGTTTTTGGCAACATCAGAAAACAACACGAGGCATGACCACTGCATGCATATGTGACATTGTCCCACTTTTTGTCAATAGCGATTTATCACCTTGAAACATCCATAATGTGCTATATAGTTTAAATATATTATTTCAAGTGATACATACATATATTATATATATATTATACATTATTCATTTGCACATATAAGCACATGTACTTGTAGCCAGATGATGGGACCCATCCCCAAACGGTCACTGCACATACTGACGTGGGCAATTAAAACATGTTCCATCAGACCATCAGGTTTCCAACCTAAGCAGAACCATTGAGTGTTATTCATTGCACTCCCTACCCAAGAAAAGATCAAGTAGGCAGTTCTGTCGGGATGAGGATAGGGCTCTGAAGTGTTCCTCCGGAGAAGCTGACTGAACCACGAAGTCAATGAGATGCAACCTGAAGCAGTGTCATAGGGGCTTGTGTTGGGAACATTTTTTGGAACAAATATCACCAAACAATGGCTCCTTGCTCATACTTCATCACCAGTATCAAACAAAATATGCTATTCAAGAAACATCAGCAATGGCATTCCCATTCTGAGAAGTAGGTTTGAGCATCTGCGACTCAGAGCCAATGGGGAGTCTGTCCAGTCCTTCTTTGCCCGGGGCATGACCTTGAGCGAGTCCTGCTGGACCTGCTGTAAGGCAAATCGAGATGTTTCCGCTTGAGCCACTTTTATGAGGAGGACTGGAATTGCGGGTGCAGGTCAGGAGGGATAATGGTATCAAAAATAAAAGGCAACTTTGCAGATCAAAAAATTGCAATTCGAAATCAACAGGTAATTAATGGTTTTTTTGCCAGCTCGTTTGGTCACGACGGCTCCCACTCGCAGAATAAACAAAATCTGTCCTCAAGCAAATCAACTGCAAGGCAGTTGCTACCACGACCACATGTGTGGAGGGTTGGCCACCCTTGTGCCAAAAGCAAATGTGACTAGGTTTTTTTGTTAAAGCAAGAAATTCACAAGCAAAGTTATATTGTCTAACTCGATTTCTTTGAGCCTATCACTACGTTTTCCAGTTTGCTCTGGCTTGGCCAAGCTATCACCACCTGTGCCTAGCTTGAGACACCAACGATAGATTATCCTGGGCAGCAGTGCGTAGGTCCATCCATTTAAGGATATGGTGTATCCCAAATGGTAACATTATTAACCATGTATTTTCGCCTTATCATAAGTACACACCACGTAGAAACATCTTACACTGCCTTGGTCCAGGAGAAAAGACACCTTTGCAACTACTCTGAGTCGCTCTCATCAGCATTTGTTGGCTGAATCCAGGCTGCCACCATCTTTGCGGTTTTCCACCTGGGCAAACGCAAATGGGCAGACAAAATATCATACAAATGCAAATTCATATAATAATATTATCAACCCAGAAACTTATACTGTACTGTTGCTTTATATAATTAAATGAGTGGTTGCAAAATAATCAAATTATTATCAAAGCATGTAATACGCACAATTCAACAATCACATAGTTCTTCCTGGTGTCTCTTCAAATCAAATAGTACGAAGGAGGAACAACCTCCTATTTAGAAATGAAGTTGTGCAGAGTGTCAGCGCAACTCCCACACAGTTGAGCCATGGCATGTCATGGTTTGCGATTTGTTCGTATGTTCAAACCTTCTTTTATGTGTAACAAATATATTATAAAAATGAACTAGGGTGTGGGTAGGACACTGTGCATGACTGCTGACCCTGAGTCTCTTGCGCTGAGACGATTCCTCCATGTTTCCCCCATCCAAGTGATACTCCTCGCTGCTTGTTCACCTGCCCAAGAGTTGGCGGATGATGGTTACCAGAAACATTGATCCCTGATAGAATGCTGCGATTTAACCATGAAATGCTGATCTGTACATCAGAAAGAACCATTTTGTATAACCCGAGACAAAGTTTTGTTTCTTTGTAAGCTTTCTTATCCCAAACAAACAATCACGAATAGTGGGGGGCCTTCACGTCAATATCGGTTACCATCTTGATGGCTTTGACTGTCTCATCCTTCACATTCGAAATGTAGAAGGCAGCACTTGATGATCTCGACTGGACAAGCCTTACAATCTTGGGTCGATGGTGGGCTAGGAGGCTATAAGCGTTCGTTAGTTATGTGCTTTAAAATGTTGATTCTTATGTTGTTGGCTAAATCGGCAGGATCATATGATGTAAAAAGTATGATAGCATTGTAGCCTGAGTACATGCGAGTGGAACGTCTTGCGCATGCACTGCTCTGAACTTAAAATAGTTTGGATTTGAGTTCCTGGCAGCACTTGGATGACCGATGGATCAACTCCAGCAGGGTTTCCCAAGCCATTGGGCACAGGCAGGCTGAACGACCTCAAACCATGGAAGCATTAGCTGCAACCCAAGAATTTCTGTTGTGAGGTACACTGAAATTCTGCATATATATTTTTTTAACCCGGCATATATATAATATAAATTCAATTTAGTGCGTACATTTGCATGTATGTGCAAATCCTAAATGCAAAGACTTGTGTGACATCATACCATATTTGAATTTTGACAAGACTTTTTTGCTGCGCTGGAATGCCAAAAAAACATAAAGACGTGCAACTCTCAGAGAAATAGACCAAACCCATGTTAGATATAGAATTGTCAGTACCGATCTCACAAGATTGCTGAGGTAAGAACTTCTGTGTACCAAGCTGATCAAATGTTGGGAGATTGAGCAATGGATCGCGCTTTAAGACTTTCAAGCATGCGAAGTTGGCCTTCCTCGCCTAACCAGCTGGCGAACACACATATGTGCACATACACACACTTGCTACACATGATTCGCATGCACAAAGATTATATTATATACGCATTACATGGACCAGAATTCATATCAAATACCCATGACAACAACACATAACATATTTTGAACATCAAAACAATGTTAACGTTGGGAATTAAATCGGTCTTTATATAAAATATTACTCTTGTATATATTCGCAACTTGATTTTTACTGTGCCAACTGCACAACAAAAAAACGATTAATTGAAACAATGCACCTTTTCTTGGTCCATGGTTTGTTTCTCTTTCTTCTTGGGCTCACCACCAGGGGGATCTGATGAACCAGGCTCTGCAGGCTTGGGCAGTTCCAAACTTCCCGAACTTCCCCCAGGCTCAACATTTTTTTCACTCTCGGGGTTTCCCTCCTGGCCCTCACCTGTCTTAGGCTCATGCTGCTGTTCTGCCAAGCTAGATGCCTTAGGTTTCTTCTGTCTCTTAGGCTTGGGAGCGGTTTCAGCCACTGGTTTTTCTTCTGCTTTGCGAGGAGCTTGCTTGGAATCCCCTTGAACCTCCTCAGGTAACCTTTTCTTTGGGCTCTTGGACATAGATCTGAGTAGGTTCAGGCGCTTGCTCTTTGTACGACGAAGATCACGAGGGCTGCTTGCACATCCCGAGGTTGCTGCCCGTTTCAACCTTGTTGTTTTCTTTTTGGGATTGGTCACTGGTTCATTTTGAGTTTCCATCTGGTTATCTTCAACCTTCTGCTGTGCTGCATCGTCTTTGCTGTTGTCAGTCTCTTTTTTCGAATCATCATTGTCAACCTTTGTTTCTGCTGGGGGCGTTGGGGACTTCTCTGGTTTAGGCTTTGCTTTGCCACGTCCTTTACCACGGCCTCTCCCCTTTCCCTTTTGTTTCTTTGGTTCATCATCGCTCAGTTCATCCTTGTACAACTTGTCCGGGTCTTCTGCTTCACACTGCTGTTCTTTTGCCAGACGCCGCAGAGCAAGCTGCCCCTGGAGGAAGAGAGTAAGCTGACAGAAAGGTAGCACAAGGAAATACAAACAACATAGGTAGCAGTTTAGCTGCCATGAAAATTTGATTTTGATATATAAAATAAATATATATCGATCCAAGTACTGATGCGTTTCCCATGCCAAACAATTTTTGGAATCTAGGAATGGAAGATCTGGCCTTTCGAATCTCAGATGCTATTTCACTTTGTGCTTTGTCGAAGTCTTCAGAATCTCGCAAACTTACCTCGATTTTCTGTTGCAAGTCTTCAGATAAACCAGGCACTGGTACCAAAGGCTTTCGGTCCTGGAGACGGAGCAGCGAGACAAAAGTTTGACATTACTTTTCCCCATATTTTCAAATTAGCACCACCAATGACAGAGATGGCTACACTACACATGAGTAAAATATCATACTAGCATGATATAGCATGCATAATTGTAGTAGCTACCTGGCGATTTTGTATTTCAAAAATCATACAACTCGAAATACTATTTGATAAGATCGAACGTACCTGCTTGCAACCCCACCTTGAAAGTTCCCTTGGCATCTTTCTTTTCGTCTGCGTCACTTCCCATTTCATCTTCAAGGGGGAAGCCTCCTGTTGTGAAATTTCCCAAGGTTTCAGCATCAGGTTGTGAGTCTTGTGGAATTTCTTCTGCTGGGGTGCTTGGCTTCGTCTCGGGTTGCTTTGCGTCAACAGTGCTTGTTGCCACACCCATTGTTCCATCCCCAGTTTCTTTCTCAGATTTTTTTGGTGGGGACATTGCACATTCTTCATCGCTGTCTACGACCAAAACCTCATCATTGTTTTCTGGGCAAACATCAACACACTCATCCCCAGTAGGACATTCTTCCTCAGCTGGTTTTTCTAAACTTTCATCAAACGTCTCAGACCCATGTTCATTCACATCCAGTTGGGTCGAAGCCCTGGACAAGCTTTCATGCGGGGTGAGGGGCTGCATGGGCTGAATTGGTGATGTTGGTTCGGTCTGTGAATCTTGCGGCATGGTTTCCATAGGTTGCGTCTCCATATTGTCAACAGACTTCTCTGGCTCCTGCATCAGAAGAATGAAATAAATACAAAACCTGATCAACACAAATTACGTAATTAATAGAAGGCAATGGGGGAAAATCAAAATGGTCAAACTCACAGGCTACCATATGAGGACAGATTCTAGATCGAAGAAAAAACATAACAAAACCATCGATGGAACTGGAAAAGGTGGTGAAGACAAAATATGTTCCATGTTTCTAGTGTCAAGAAAATCCAAATGCACAACTCACCATACGTGTTAACCAGTCCTTTTTGCTCATCCCACGGCCACGGGTAGGGACCTTTCTTCCATCAGGTGTCAGCTTGTCACACTCCTGAATGATATTCTGCCAGAAAAGTCGGGAAAAGGTAAATTCTGAACATGTGGGACAAAAAATGGCTGTAAACATACATGCTATGCTATACAGTTTATTTATTTAATATTACGATGACATAATCCTATAATGTCTTATAGGTCATAAACTGAATATAAACCTTTTGCGTCCTTGAGCTTTGCGTGAATGACTGCTTTGAGTTCTTCCGCTCGTTCGTGGCCTTTCCTGGCATATGACATAATCACCAAATCGAAACGATATCACCTAGTTCACAAAAAAAACAAAGAGCACTGGCATGCTGTTTTTTCTTTTCACCACAAATGTTCCACATGAAAATGGCAATTACAAAAACTGAACTGGTGTTTTAGTGACAGTTAAGATTCTACAGCAACCAAATTGGTCTTCAAACCTGTATGCAACCTTGCGTCCAAGGAATCCCAGTACCACCGTGGATTTGACAGAAGTACACAAACTATTCAAGATGATAAATATTTTGCAACATTGATTCCCAAGCCTGCAACCCTTGTTCCGATTGAACCGGTCAAGGCAGTATGACCCGAGGGCATAGATCACACCAGCTTCGACATGGGCCCAGGCCTATCACACAAGGGGCCCACAACTCTTTGTGATGTTGGGTGGGAATCAAATCTAAGCTACAAAGCTACTCCATTCAAAACATGTTATTAGCATGACACTGATGCTTTAATTCCATGATGGCTAGCTGCTGCTAGAGTAGGACATCAAAAAGCGAAAAGTGCCTTATGTTTGCTTGTCTCCTTCCAAGGGTTCAACCGGTACGTAGTACTGCACCAGATGAGTGCTACCTGCAAGCAGCATGGCTACATTATCATAAAATTTTGGATTGTGCACTCTTCAAAAATGATTTGTATAAGAGTCTCACCTCCAGCTCCCGAGCTCTTGGAAAGTCCTCTACAAAGCTGCTGCAGTAGTCCAAGGCAAACTGGAAGTTGTGGTCGCTTTCAACCTGGCCAATGGGCATGTTTATTTATATTATACCACTATTTATTTAATTATCACTTAATTATTTAATTTGTATATGGGAAATTTGAAAGGAAGGCACATCATAGAAGTATGAACTCGTTTCACTGTATGTCGATGTATCCAATGGCACATACATGCATATGTATGCATGTATGCATGCATGCACATAACTGAAAACATGACAGAGATACATCTCGCTCATGAATGTCCTTTCCTTCTAGCACCACAAATTTGAATTTGGGCACCTCAAGCCAGCCCCAAAGTCCAACATGTCAAGTCCAAATCCATGTTTTGAACTGAGCATGGCCCAAACAGAACATGCATATTGGAGCGATTTTTTCACATGCAACATCATGCACCTTGCTTGTTTGATCATTTTACACAATGTATCCATGCATGTGTGCATGCATGCTTGTTGTCACTGAGTATGCAGCTTTGCGCGTGTCATCCTCTTGCAAACCACATCGCTGCCGCAAAAGCTTGCGGCGTGCAGCAAGGAAATTTTGATCTTCACACCACTCTTTCAGAAACTCCTGTGGGAAACACAGACGGCGTGTACACTGCATGCTAACATATTACATGCTCACTTACACAGAAAACGTCAGAAAACAACTATGTTTTATTTTCTGTATCTCAAACAAGTTTTTCGAAATCCATATGCTCGAATAATCATGAAAGGGAGAAACAAATGCTTAATGTGGACAATGATGCAAAATCGAGTGACATTGTACAATGTTTTCACATCACTAATCTTTTGCATTCACCAAATCAGTCCTTCAACAAGGCCACTCTAAGCTGATCAACTCGTGACGGGGATATCGGCATGGCTATGTCTCAAGCAGATTCCCCCTGTAACCAGCAAGTGGGCCCCCAGAATGAATTAGTTTGATTTAATTGGTGACGACCCAAGTTTGAACCCAAGCTAACCTGGATTGCATCCAATTGCTGTCAAAATGCCCTGGTGAGCCAATTCAAAAACACAGTGTTTCACTACTGGTGATCATAGCTGTGTCAACATGCGAGAGCAAAAGAACATAGTGGGCAGGTGGAGCAGGGGTCGCACCACTAAGATCTTCTGTGTCGATGATGTCTTCCCCACAGAAGGCTTCATTGTAGCCTCAGAGGCAAATAGAACTTATGATGCAATGGTTAATTCAGTACCCACTTTGGGAAAATGCTTGTGGAATAATAGAAGATAATCATTGCTGAGCCCCCTGCGTCTTTTCAAGGCAGCTTTCATCAAGACAGATCTTGTTCAGCATCACCATTGGCCAACTCTGATGGGGCACGCAGGTGACCATGCTAAATAAGCGGAATATGTTTAAATAGTTCGGGGTTTGTGAGTTTTCAATATTCCAATACCAAACATGGATTGGATCAATCCTACTGGCTATGTGTACATAATTCAATCAACTATATAAATTATATGCTTCTCAATTGAAGGGGCAGCTTGGAGTTTGTTGGGCAGCTGAATGCCTGCAGGTGCCAGGATGGACATGGGAGGGGGTAGGCCTACTTACCGAAGAAAAGGCTTTGACGCCAAACAAAGGTCGAGGTATAACCACCTTTGTTTTAAAGGTCGAGGACCTCTAGGGTATATTATATATATGTGCATACAATACACACGTTGATAGCATTCTATAATGGAAAGTATAGGGGAAGTAATAAATGTTGGAATATTTGTACAAGCGCATGACTGGAAGAATACCTGCTCTCAATGTAATCTGGCAAACAATGATTCCCTGTCAATAAACAAAGTACCAATTAATGATAGGTTCGTTCATTTTATTACTCACCCTTGTTGGTACAAAAAACAATCCTCCCATGTTCGCTGGAACCAATGATGTGCTTGTTTGAAAAACATCTCGAGCTATTTTTTTCTGGCAAGATACCCCATGTTTCTTGGTAAAAATATCCCTAGATTCTGTGGGGAGACAAGGTATTTACATGTGTTTAGCGTGTATTCATGTTTATTCACCGTTTTAGCCGGCAAATTCAGTCAATGCTTGGTAGCACGTTCCTGTATCATCTTTTGGGCGGAGGTCCGATAATTATTGTTGGTCAGTTCACCCAAATCTCAGTGGTATCCATGATCTATGTTGGTACAAATCCACCATGTTGTGGGCACCACTATCCAACTGCTTCTTCATCAAATCACCGATATACAGTAATATGATGACAGTTCCAATCTCGCAGATAAAATTCCTTTTGGTTACGTGTCATATTTTCGTTGGTGTAATCTAAGGTTTTTGGCAATTTTTAGGAGTGGTTCCTCCATTCATTGATTTTGGTTCCTAAAATTCCTTTTCATTTTGCTGGAGAAAAGAACTGGTTGGTGGCAAAGGATTATCAACATGAAAACCTGTCTGAAACCACCGGCCAGTAAGACCCCGGTTCCAGTTGGTTTATAAAACCTCCAGTAACATTATATGAGTGTTTCCTAAAATGGGGGTACCCCCAAATCATCCAAGTCACCATGACTCAGTATTGAAAGCGGTGACTTGAGGATCCCCCAGTTTAGGAAACCGCCATTTTGATTACTTTTTCGGCCCGAACCCTTCGAAGCTCACCAAAGGGCTCTGGCGGCCGCAGGTTCTCACGGTGCTCACGTCGCGACTCGGCAGTGGTGACTTCACTATGCAGCTCCCAAACGGGCCTGGTGTCGGAAGTGTCCCCTAAAAATCTCCACATGCTTCACACGAATCAATGTTTTGCATGTTCATTGTTTAGAATGAAAAGGGACAACATTTAGACAACTACGACGAAATAAGAAGGGACAAAATAAACGCGTGCCCATTCTTTTGGTTTCTCGGTAAGGATTCCAATTTATGGCAAAACAAAGAAAATAGTTGAACTACCCATCACCGAAAATCAATCAAGTGCTCATTGAAGTTGCCAATCTAGTTTATCCCAACCCGAGGTTTTCTCGACATAAATATCATGATATATCATGGCTAATGCCCATGCCAGCCCAAAAATCTAAATGAATTACACTTTGGAACAGCTGCCCTTCCCAAATCCCAACCATCATTTCTAATGACGTCAAGCGGACGTCGTTATATGTAACTCACCAACATAGTTGAAACTTGAAACGTGTTTGTGGTATATATCTTGTGATATCTTGTGATATGGGGATAATATGTTCACCGAATGTCCTCCGGTGATCAAACGTGGCCATGGAAAATCCATGAAAATCCCCCATTTATCGGTGATTTTCCCTTTTCAGCCATGGTCATTTCCCACGATTACCGCAGGCACCGATGGTTTCCCCGGCCTCTTAGCACCATCGACCTCGCCCTCCCGCGGCACGGCGCCTGAGACAGCTGGAGGCTGAACTCGGGCAATGAACAAAGACATATCAAAATTAAAGATACATCTCAGAACTGATGGGATTCTGATCGGAAAAAAATGAACACTTGACTAACTAGTGAAACTGGAGATTTTGCTTGAACAAAACAAGATTTCACGGAGGAGTGGAGACAAAAAAATAACATCCCAGAAAGTTTGGGCGTACCACTCACTGGATACTCTGCAGGGATCCTTTGAATGATAAGTGGGCGATATATATATGGCGACATTGATTTGGTTGTCCATGAAATTCCAGTGGAACACCAACTGCGATCGCGGGTGATTTCGTGTTTGGGCTACAAAAATGGACTCCTTTCCATGCACAGCGGTTGCACCTGAGCCCATGTTTGATCTCAAAGTTTAGATTTAAGATCAGCAAAGCACACATTCAAAATATATTGTTTGTGCTCATCATTGCAGGCAATCAACCAACATTCTTTTTTCCCACGATTTCTCCAAACATGTGCCCATATTCAAAAGATTTCACGAAAAGAACCAACTCTCCGAACTGGAATTTTAATATAAATATATAAACGCAATATATATATATATGATTACATGTATATATATATATATCCCGCAAAAAACATGGTTGGTATACCACCGTTTCCAATAATTTCGTACCCATCCAGGATCGAACCAGAAATCTGCAACCAAGTGGCCCAAGGCCCCATAGCCCAGGTCCATCGTTGAAACGAGCTTGAGCCACAGAGGTGGCCATCGGTCGGAAAATGTTGAATGCGCAGAAAGCGAATGTGTTTCTACATGGCATGCAAAATACACATGTACTCATACACATGTACTCATACACTACAAACACACACACATGTATATATATATATATATTATCTATCTATCTACCTACCTACCTACCTACCTAGCTATCTATCTATCTAGCTATCTATCTATCTAATCTAATCTAATCTAATCTAATCTTATCTTATCTTATCTTTCTATCTATCTATCTATCCATCTATCTATCTATCTATCTAATCTTATCTATCTATCTATCTATCCATCTATCTATCTATCTATCTATCTAATCTTATCTTTCTATCTATCTATCTATCTATCTAGCCTCTAGCAACACATTCTGATCCAAATCAGACAGTCTGAGCATTCGCCAGACTAAAGCTGTGGGATGCCCCATTGTGGTATGATCCGCTTGGAGGGATCAAATAAATCAGCACCACGCTGCTGCAAACATAACTTAATCAGCGAATAAGTTCAAGCTCTTGCTGAAATCTTGTCCCTAGATGCCCGACTAGGTTTCGAGGATTCTTGGTCTCGTACTTGTATTTACGACAGCCTGGTGTTCTTTTGCTTTGACTCACCAATCTGACCACGGGTCACGGGGGTCATTTTTTTTCGTGAGGTGATTTCCACCCCCCAAGAGCGATTTTGTTCTGGCTGGCAGTATTACCATATATTACCATACAGAACGCACGACCCTGAGATTTGGGTCGTCAACAAGAATCTTGAAAAAAATGCAAATGCGTCTTGTTCAGACCGGACTGCAGGATATCCTCCAGTAAGTCATCTACACATGGATCCTGTCCAAAAGAGGGCTCAGTTTCGTATGATGCATCCAATATCATCCAGTTATCTCTTGGTATCTCTGGGTGATTCAAAGCATATCAAAACATGCTCTGTACAGTAACTCACCTCTTGTAGGTTGAAACATGTTGAGAAAGTTCATGAAAGTTCAACATCAGCCTCTTGTGTCTTTACATGTTACTGGAGTATATCATCACCTACTAGGCCCGTCATTGCTTTGCAATGAGACTCGACGCACAGCTGAGCTGAACCAATCGCCAATGTCGTAGAAGTGACCAATGACAGCCTTCAGAGCCCTCTTTGATTAACATCAAGCTTAATGGACCATGATTATGGTTTCGACAAGTGGCAATAGAATAGATGGTACATAATTGCATGCAAGCCAAAGAACCTTCAAACAGCCTTCTACCCCTTCCTGACCTCCCGTGCACTCTATTTTTTTTGCCTGGGCATCCAATGGTTTGCCCTACAGCATACGTGAAGAATCATGCACTCTATTGAAAAGACTATCTCCGTGTAATTTATGCCATCTTCCCCCTGAAAAGACGGGGGTCACTTTCGGATATTGCTTGCTGAATCCTATTTAAGTCCAGCTCAAGGATTGCATATGCAGCTGCGCAGGCCGAATAATTTCGTCCCCTGATGGAATCGCAGCTGCAAAGATTCCGCTAGACAAAGCCTGGTTCGGTGGGAAAGGATATGAAAGGATCATGCAGGATTTCTGCGCCTCTCATGGACATGAGGTTCGGATGGGTCAAAATTGAAGGCCCGCGATGGTACTGTATCTTCGATCAATTCCGAGCATTTACTGTAGCAAATATAGAATAGTTAAACATGATTTGAGCTGGCATCTGCCCCATATCCTTGACAAAGCATCCCGCTTCTCTGAAGCTCAGAAAGGATCTCATTCATGGCTCAAGATGAGTGGCAGTCTGCCAACGGCAGAGACCAAAAGAGTGTCTTCAACAGCGTCTCAGCCAGTGGCAGCGGCTGGACACAATGCCCATAGACCTCCGATGATGAAATACCGACCCGTGCGCTTGCAAGTTGTTTTCTGTTATTCTATATGATTGTTTTTTTTTCTGGGGGGGAACAGTGAATTCATTATTATCAATCATTGTCAACCAAGCAAGAAACAGAGACATTTGCTCATCTGTGAAGCCCTTAAATCTCCAGCCAAAAACTTATCTCTGTTGGATTATCGTGCTGGTCATTGGATGCTGTTCCTCACCAATGGACTTATAAACAACACTCACATCATCTCCTATTGTAAATAATCCGTTTACATTCGTATAATATAATATAAACATATAACAGTTCCTTGAAACACTTAAAGAACCTGTGTACTTGAAATAAACCACAACATCCCCGATCGACGCCCAACAACTCGCCGAAAAACGTAGGCAGGGCCAAGGAGAAGCTCCAATAAGATCAAGGTGAAGGAGGCTGCAGTCATCGTCATGCCAAAAACCACCACAAATTTGCCTCAAACGATGTCAGAATGCTATAGAAATCCCATGTTTTACATAAAACATATAGGTGTGTGGTCATGGGATTTGAGGATATTTGATATTTGCGGAGAGAAAAGCAACGGGGGATTCATTGGAAAACCAACTGTTTGATGTTGATGCCTCAAAGCGGAGAAAAGGAATACAGTAGCTGGAAAAAAATTACTTTACTTCGTGTGATCCCCACCATGACATTTATACATTTTCTTACTGGCAAATCTTCTGGCATTCTATCTGACATATCTTCTGACATTCTATTTGGCATTCTATCTGGCATATCTTCTGGCATATGATCTGGCATATCTTCTGGCTTCTGGCATTCTATCTGGCATATCTTCTGGCATTCTATCTGACATATCTTCTGGCATTCATCTGGCATTCTATCTGGCATTCTATCTCATATCTTCTGGCATATCTTCTGGATATATTCTGGCATTCTATCTTCTGGCATTCTATCTATCTTCTGGCATATATTCTGACATATCTTCTGGCATATCTTCTGGCATATCTTCTGGCATATCTATCTGGCATATCTTCTGGCATATTTTCTGGCATTCTATCTGGCAAATCTTCTGGCATTCTATCTGGCATTCTATCTGGCATATCTTCTGGCATATTATCTGGCATTCTATCTGGCATATCTTCTGGCATATATTCTGACATATCTTCTGGCATTCTATCTGGCATTCTATTTGGCATTCTATCTGGCATATCTTCTGGCATATCTTCTGACATTCTTTCTGACATTCTTTCGAACTTTCTTCTGCACATTCTTTGTCCCATATCTTCCTACATGAGGTCCGGCAGGGAACACTTGGCGTGGATACTCGTGGTTGAGGTCCGGCAGGGAACACTGGGCGTGGATGGTCGTGGTTGAGGTCCGGCAGGGAACACTGGGCGGGGATGGTCGTGGTTGAGGTCCGGCAGGGAACACTGGGCGCGGATGGTCGTGGTTGAGGTCCGGCAGGGAACACTGGGCGTGGATGGTCGTGGTTGAGGTCCGGCAGGGAACACTGGGCGTGGATGGTCGTGGTTGAGGTCCGGCAGGGAACACTGAGCATGGATGGTCGTGGTTGAGGTCCGACAGAGAACACTGTGGATCGCGGGTCGCAGTTGGACGAGGAGGACGAGGAGGACGACGAGGAGGACGACGAGGAGGAGGACGACGAGGAGGAGGAGGAGAGGAGGACGAGGCAGGAGGAGGCGGAGGAGGAGGAGAAGGAGGAGGAGGAGAAGGAGGAGGAGGACGAGGAGGCAACTGACATAAAATCTAACAACCCTCACCTGGCAGGTGGGGAACAACATGAAATATTATGCCATCAATGATGTTTTATGGGATTCCCAATTTGAGACAAGCCAATCTTAAAAGTCTTAAAAAAAAAAAAACTGATGGTTCAAGATGCATGGAAGCTACATTCTTTGGAGATGTTTGGGCTGTCTTGCTTGTTTGATATCGTTGTTGAAGTTGACCCAAAACCTCTCCAAATCTCCCCAACTATACCCAGGTTGTGAGAAGCCACACCTAATTCGAAGTGCCTGTGGGGTTGATAAATGCGTTGAAAATACTTTGAGCAATTGGGAAGTGTTTGGCAAGCTTGGGATGAGACCTAGACAGAGATAGATACTGATCAAGGATGCATGATATGTGCATGTCTTTATGCAGGGAGTGAGAGGTGTTATTGAAAGCTACGTGACACATAAATCATCAGAGACATGGATGGCAGATGGCGGCTTTTGAAAGGTACGAACACAAAGACGCAAAGATTCGGATCTATGATGTCGTTCTCCAAACTTCACCGACTCGTGGTTTGTTGATTTTGTTGGTCCCCTTCGAAGCAGCTTTTTGGTCGGATAGGACCCCCATCTGATTCTTCAAACTCCGCAGAAACCTTCCAGAAGTCCCATGAAATCCCCAGGTTTGTGCAGTCAAGTTGCATTTCCTCAATCCATGCAGTCCCTTGGCGTGATGCACTACGGCATTCTGCCCGAAGGTGCGTCGCAGAATGCCCGAGCGAGTCGTATCCTGGGGCCCCATATGCGTGATGGCCACGGAGTTGGGTGAAATTCGATGATCAGAACCTCGGGGTGGCCATGCTGGCCCCGATGTCACCAATCTTATGGACAATGGGTGGTATGGGTGGTATGGGGTATTAACCCCCAAAAAAAAAACAACTTGGGGGTTTCCTCTTGTGAAGCCTTGGCTTTACATGGCTTTACCAAGATTACGATTCATCTCTCTCTCCATCGCCATCTCCACGAGTCTACCAGGTATCATGATTCATATGATGACCACCTTTTTTTGCGGAAAACAGAACATCGATGATCGATGACGAGAATTCGACAATTCGACATTCAGGGCAGGGGTCCATAAGATCATAAGGCTCAGGGGACCACATATTTTGGCAGTGTTTGGAAATTTGATGAAATTTGTAGCAGTGGTTTAATTTAGTTCAGAATGCTTACTATATATGTGCCTTCACAGTCCTGCAAGGCATACGCCATTTTCTGGAGAACCCATCCACAAGTGCTCATCTGTCCGAGATGGGGCCACTTAGACGGAACTGGCTCGCAACCCCGGATGCCCTGTCGAGATCCGAGCAGCTATAGATGGAGAGGCGTGACACGGGGCTGGTAGGGAGGGGCAAAGTCTTGGAGGAAAATTCTAAATCTGACCTCATTACCTGACGCGCACAGGGAGCGCATGGTCAGCCTGGAGGCTGTGAATGGACTATATGGCACTATGGCCCAGCTAAGTAAGTTGGTAAACATGACTATAGGCAAACGATGATATACCTTTGGATATCAAAACCCAACTTCTGACTTATGACTTACAACTGGGATACCCTTTCTGTGGGAACCTCAGGTAAAGCTTTGAAAGGTTGTGGTTTGAATTATTCAAGGGACCCCATTACTATAGAGATACTGAAGAAAACATTCAGAATTGCACAAATGAGATGCTGAGCAAAAATGAAGAAGCAGCAAACCGCACGGCCATAGCAACAAGTGTATAAATGTGGGACAATATTATATAACATCTCTAAACTACAAGTAGATCATAAGTAGAAGGCATCGCAGATGTGAACCATGGCCAAACAAGGTTCCCATGATCTCTTTAACATCACCTTTTGGTGTAGCGTGGTTTCCTGCAACATCCTGGTAACCATGTCTAATCCCAAATATGCGCACATAAATATTGCACTAACACATACATACATCACTTTACATACACGTACATACATTACATCACATCACATCACATCACATTCCTTTGCATTACATTACATTACATATATACACACATGTTACATAAACATATGACATATATATATATGTATAATATAACATATTACAACATACTATATAACTTTGCTTGGAAACATCACCGGCGTGGTGCGACCCAGCGACCACTGCCAAGCTTTGATAGGGATCTTCGTTGGCAAAGTTCTGGAAATGGTCCATGGCTTTGCCAGTTACTGGTGCTTGCACGCATTTATCCATGCCCAGCACCACGATATCTTCCTGGGAGCAAAGCGGAGATACATCAGGTTGTAATCATCCCGTTTTCTTGGGGGGTAGGCTTTGGGCTTTGGGGGGGTGCTAGGTTGCCCCTTTATGTTGGCATGTCTCGTGGCACCCCGCACATATTTATAAAGACCTGGAAGCATCTGGAAGCCACTGACAAAACCCTACCGTTGCGTAGGGCTCAAAATGCCGGCAAGTGGTACGGTACAAACTTGAGTGTATAAACCTCGGACATGTCATGAATATGAGAATGACTACAGTAAAAGGTGCCCAAATTACATCAAATTACTCCACATACTGTAGTGCCCCGCAACAATGGACGTTGTTTGCCAAGCAGCAGCCACCTCCAGTGAGAGAGCCACTGCACAAATGATGAGTGCCTTGGATTTCTGGTTTCTCATGGGAACCATCCAATGGATGGTCGGATGGTCACTAAAAAAAAAAAGCACGCCCCCAAGACAGCTCAGCAAACTCCTCCTATAGAAGTTTTAATTTTGTTGCGCAGCCCATACTCTTCTCCAAGGGAACACATATTGGTTGTTGGATGTTGTTGGTACAATTTGCATCCATGTTTTCAGAAAGGTCCAAAAATGATAATCCAGCATTCAAGGTTTGATCATCTGTTCTATAAATTGGCCAAACTTGTCTGTTTTTTGCCAGGGCATTGTGGCTCCAGTTCTTTCGCCCCTGTCCAAATGAGGCTATGGCAATGACACCTATTAATAATATCCACATTATATCCATATAAACTGTATGTTTACATTCTGGTTGTGATTCGCAATGGTTTTCACAACAATGCTCGCTTTCGGTGTTCGCATGGCACCCAGCAGGGTATCGGGCCTGAACAAAACATTATCCAAACAGCGACTCAGTAATCGATGTTTTTCTCTGATTGATGCCATTGGTTCAAGAGCTTTTGTTCTTCGGAGAAAGAACAACTACAGTTTGAAGAACATTATGCACTTATTTCATGCTGCTTCGTAGAAAAAAAACTGGATATGGAAGAACTGAAGAAACGTCATCTATATTTATACTCTCTCTCACTCTCTCTCTCTCTCTAATAATTCATGCTAATTTCTGTTAATTTCATACATCTCTCTCTCTCTCTCCATTGAAACTAACATGTCATGCCGTTTCTACTACATTTGTTGGCATTGCTGCCATATTATGACCCTCAAATACCTTCGAAGACGCTCAATGATGCTGATCCAATCTCCAAACATCTCCAAATCCTCGTATTCTTCGTAAATCAGTCGTCCGCAACGAGCACTTTGAGGATCCTAAGGTGGTTAAGAAAACAAGTGGCAAAAGCCATCAGGCCGAAACATCCAATCAACAAGCGGCCGAATCCCAATTCTCGGGCAGCTGCATGCGAGCAGTCCCCATTGGGCCCGACAGCACATCAGCTAAAAGCCAGCTGATGATAAGGGTGACGATAACAGAAAATCGTGGGTAGCCCAAAGTGACCTGTGGGGCAAGCTGGGCCTCTGAGCTGCACACCCTCTGGAATATCACAGCGAACAGCGACAAATGGGATATCACACCAACCTCCAGTCGCTATCCACGTGTCTATAGGATAGAAACCGAAACTTTGAGAGAAAATCTTCTCGGCTTTGTGCTGAAAGGAGTCTCCAACAGCATACCCGTATTATCTACAGCAACACAGACAGTGTTTGGAAAACTGTTTGGTGGTTTCAACCCGCTGGAAAATACTAGCAAGTGGGATCATCAGCCCATGCGCCAAGGTGAAAAATACAAATATTAACAGCACCACCCAGAATGCGAATTGGCACTGTATGTTTCATCAAGGTTCCATCAAGTTCCATCTAAGTGTGTGAGGTAAGTTCGGCATCGCCATCGCGCGCCTTCACTTCATCGTGCAACTTTGACAAGATGGTGGGAGCCAACCACGCCAAAGGCTTCATGGTGCAGCAAGGTAGGAATTTGGTCAGCTTGGACACGCTCCAAATGGTGAAAAACCTCAGTCCACTGGAAATCCTTGCCACGGCCAGAAAATCAAAGGCTGCAAACTGCAAATCATTGGAAACCTGGAACTCTGGAACTCTGGAACCTTCAAGAATGTCCATGTCGCCTGTCTGGACGCTGTGTAGTTCCCCTGTTTCTGTGTCTGCTGTCCCTCTCAAACATCTGAAATGACATAAGTGAAACTCGCGAGTGGGCCTTCTAACTTTGTGTAAGATATTTTAAGACTCAGCCAAGCAACCTGCCCCAGCCAGAGCGTGCCCAAAGGTTTAAAAAGAAAGAGAGCACCAATGCACCGATGCCTTCAGGTTCCCATCAAAATGTCATCTTGAACATGAACAAGTATTGAAAAATAGGTGGGTCCTTGAATTTGTGCACTCCAGTCGGCATATGTTGGTAAATTTGGTTTGCTCTCTGGCAATACCCATGGCTATTGAAAATGGTCCACATAGTTTGCTGACTTACAGTACCCCTTAAACATTGATAAACATGTCCTATATTAACTGGCAAAAAATACCACAGAACAATTAAGAAACATGATGTCTTAAACTTAAACCAACTAAGTCTTGGCCACCGACTCTTCACCCAGCGGCTTTTCCCAATGGCCTCCTGTGTTTCCACTGCGTACTGCCCCTGCCAAAGTGGCAGTTAATCTCGTAGCTTCTGAGAACCCATGGGCGCAAGCAATGGCGCAAGGAATCTTGATGGAACGGTATGTTCGGCTCAATTTCTGATGATGTCAGATGTTTTGAAAAATTCCACCGAGCTCACAGATTTGACCAATTTCAGGGGTACAACAGTTGAGGTGGCCCGTTTCCTGCATGGTGCTTCCCCATTCTAGCCCCTCCACGCCCAGCATACGCCCAGCAACACATGCAAGCGCTGGTCCCCGTCAATGGCATCCGCTTCACTCTCATGCCGAGGCCAAAACACAATGTGCCGAGCAGCTAGGGTGGTGCTCAAGACTGTTCCACACTCCAGCAGCCAGGTGGCCACTGGCAGGAACACCACAGACAAGGGAGATTGGATGGAAATCAGCAAGATGTAAATCCTCGGATGGACCGATGGACATCCGGATATCCCTGGATGCCATGAAGTAAACTGATGGTAAGTCAGATCGCCCATGGTCATGTTATAGTACTGGGATTTATTGGGTTTGAAACCCACTTGCTTCTAACCATCCCCTCTAACTTCAAAGATCATCCCTGGAGGAATTCAAATGTTTGTTGTACTTTTTTGGGGGTTACGCTTCCGAAGCAAGCATACACCTCTGAATGTTCAAGTCCTGCAGCTGGATTTGTTGGAAAAAGTTGACCTCGAAAACCCATTGATATCCACTTGAACCCATGAAATGATGCACCATCAATCTTTGGACCAAGGTAAGAAACAGGTCTTGAGTCAGATTACATTGTGTTGATTTCCCTACAACACTACAACAAGTTGAGAATGGTGCATTTTTCCCAAGACATAGGGTACTAACAAAAAAAACAGTGGTTTAGCATCACTTCCCATCATAATCCCCTGGTTATTTAACACGTGCTATGGAAAATGGCCCATGAATATCATTTATTCATAGATGATTTCTGATGAATTACCTATTAACAAGGTACCACGGGGGCTCGAGGCCCCTGACGAAATCAACATTTTCAGCAGCAGCGTGCAATGGATTTTTCAACCCTCGCAGTGTTTTGTGATCATCGCTATTTTGAAAATGGCCACGACATGCCGTGAGGACGGCGTCCAAAACACACTTTTAATGGTATTTGCAGGGGATTCTGCGCCCCATCATTTCCATTTTTTTTTTGAGAAGAAGAATTGTCTTTATCCTCAATTTTTCAGTTCCGTGGCCAACAGCTGGAACAAGTCCTTGTCGGCATTGTTCTTTCTCCACACATATTGATATGCTAGGTTGAACAACTGTGGGTTGGGCAGGCCATTGATGAGGGTCTTTAGATTGCCACAACCACAAGTGCGCAGCGTATCAGCACCTATGTCCCTTCATGTGCATGAACCATAAGCAAACGTATCAACTCACGTACCACCACAAGTGCACAGCGTATCAACACCTATGCATGAACATGAACCATAAGCAAACATATCAACTCACGTACCACCACAAGTGCACAGCGTATCAACACCTATGTCACTTCATGTACATGAACCATAAGCAAAAATATCAACCCGCGTAACACCACAAGTGCACAGCGTATCAACACCTATGTCTCTTCAATGAAGATGATTCATGAAGAGCGTACTATCAAGAACGTTATCACACACCCCACCCCACCCCACCCAAAACCCCCCCAACCAACACCCAGCGTATCAACACCTATGTCACGTCAATGAAGATGAACCATAGAGGACCTGGTCGAACATCTCCATATCACCAGAACCAAATGAACCTTCATGTAAAACAACATCAACATATGAGGCGCATGTACAACGTATAAAAATGTGCAAATTATCAGGGGCCCCGAGTCCCCGTGCAACCATTAACAACCTGACTTTCCATTACTAATTACCACAGGGTATCCCGATACTTTGGGGGAATCCTCCATCTCATTTCCTAGCTTCGTGGCGGAGACATAGAGGCAAAGCCACACCCCAAAGGAGAGAACCACAATGGCACAGCCCCATTGAAGGTGCCTGGCTACGCCCATGGATGGAATCTCATGAATTTCGGGAGAATGAGAAAAGTGTACATAGAAATACCTGAGAAATCCTAAGAACACTTCAGGTACCTGGAAAAAAGGGGACACACACACACACACACATACACACATCTATATATATAATACAATCAAATTATACCCATTATTTTCGGACTATTACCACTTTTTCCAGGTACTTGGATTGTCTAGGCATGTTAAATCGCCAACCTGATATATATATATATATACCTGATATATATATATATATATGTAAAATAATAATAATAACAATAATAATAAATATAATAATTATATATATAATAATAATGATAATAATAACAATAATAATAAATATAATAATATATATAATAATAAAAATAATAAAAAATAATAACAATAATAATAACAATAACAATAACAATAATAATAATAATATATAAATAATAATAATAATAATGATAATAATAATAATATAAATATATATATAATTATATATATAGATATAATTATATATATAATTATATATATAATATATATATAGATAGATATCATATCATTCGTCAAAAAATGGAAGATCCTCGAACATGCCAAACAAATTGCATTCTTTTAACACAGGAAATGATTGTGAACTACTGGTTTGGGGGTTGAATAATTTGGATATGACCCCACAAGATTTCGCAGGAATTAGGTTTCAGTTTCATGGCTCCCATATGTCCACCTTACACTGAGGTCTTTTCTCTTAGCAATTACTTGGAGGACCATCCCACTTAGTAAGTCCAGTGATTAATAACCCTGGTTAGTAAGCCTAGGGCCTTGGTGGTTTATCCCCTTTATAAATTACTGAAAAAAAAACTGGTACTAACCATTTTAAGGGCCGCGGGATAAATCGCCACACCTGGCCGCCAAACGCCCTTTGCCCCACGACCTCCAAAAGTTTCGTAGCAAGCGACCCATACGCCTCACGTGGCGATCAGGGTCAGGGTCGCATTGGAGAGTGAATCCAAATAGAGGATTTCCTAATATAGGGGCACCTCCAAATCATCCGTTTTCATGGGATTTTCCATGAAATAAACCATTCATTTGGGGGAACTTCCATTTATGGAAACCTCCAAATATCATGATTATCACACCCAGAAGATTTAATGAAGGTCATGAAGATGCCAGGCTTTTGAAGTATTGGAAGGCAGGATCTAAATATGGTGTTTTCGACCAACCGGAGTACGCCCCGAGACTAGTCTTCACTTCACCGAAAAAATGCAATCACTCACATGTATTCATATATAACAATATATGTGCCTGGACCTTTGATCACTATCTTTTTTTTGCGTGCACGTGGAAATCTGAAGCACTTTCAAAAAAGTACGTGCCAGAATCCTGACTCTGAATCACTGAGAAACGCACAAAAAACAATGCCGACACTCAAAAAAAAAACCAACTTGATGTCAAGTCAAGACCGCATGGATTTGTTTTAGATCTTTTAGGTTTCACTTAGAAATCTGGATCACTGACCGAAATCAGCGTCCTTGGAGGCTCTTGGTATATATATATATAATATATACATATACATATACCCGCAATTTTGCCTATAATGCACTCTCCAAAAGACCTCTAAAGCAAAAGGTATTCTCCTTATCCACATGTTGATCCTCATCCGTTCGCGCTGCATCCCAAATCAGCACACCAACTCAAGATAGAAAGAAACTGTGTTCTTTTCCTTTCACACGTCGTATTTGATCCATTTGGTCCGATCTCTAGAGGACAGTCTGATGCAGGGAACTTGAGCCCCAACTCTTCCCAAAAATCCAAGATCTACGACCTTCAAAACTTTAAAACCTATATATTAATGTAAAGGGTCATATTTAGTGAGCTAGAGTCAGTACAACGAAGGCAACGGAGGTACTGCATTATCGTGCAAATGATTTGGAGTGAATCATGCCATACACGAGGAGCAAACGAACTCCCCATGATTAACTGCAGGAGATATTTCCTATTTCTGAGGCCCATTTTCAGCTTGTCAGCACCCTGTGACTATGACCTAAGGCAAGGCCTACTTTAGTTTCTTTTTTTGGCTCCCTTTTTCTCAAAGGCCAGGGCCAGAGCCAGCACCTTCAAAAAAAAAAGTTCCGAATTTCAGTGACTCTTTTGCGGCCCAAACTAGTACCAATGTTTTTGGCAATAGCCTAATTATCTAAATAGCCCTGGACACGGCCAACAAGAATCAAAATGGCATGCGTTTCTTCTACTGTGCGGGGGTTGCATCTTGAATTTGTCGTGCCTTTTGCCACCCGCAGACCCCTAAACGACTCAACTCAACAGTGGTGACATTGCTGTATATAATCATATATATATACTACATTATGTTATATATTAATAGGCACATTATTCCCCACATCTTTGTGTGGGGTTCTTGTTTTTGATTCTGTATCCCGGGCTCCTCCTCCGCCTTCTCCTCCTCCGCCCTCCTCCACACTTTGTCACCACACACTTGTCCACACACACTTTGTCACCACACACTTTGTCACCACACATTGTCAACACACACTTTGTCCACACACACTTTGTCACCACACACTTTGTCACCACACATTGTCAACACACACTTTGTCAACACACACTTTGTCACCAAACACTTTGTCCACACACACTTTGTCCACACACACTTTGTCCACACACACTTTGTCACCACACACTTTGTCCACACACACTTTGTCACCACACACCACACACACTTTGTCACCAAACACTTTGTCCACACACACTTTGTCCACACACACTTTGTCACCACACACTTTGTGAACACACTTTGTACTTTGTCCACACACACTTTGTCCACACACACTTTGTCAACACACACTTTGTCACCAAACACTTTGTCCACACACACTTTGTCCACACACACTTTGTCACCACACACTTTGTCCACACACACTTTGTCACCACACACTTTGTCCACACACACTTTGTCACCAAACACTTTGTCCACACACACTTTGTCCACACCTTCGTTTCATGTGGCAGGCGTGGCACAAACTCACATCCACCGTCGTTTTGTGTGGCAGGCGTGGCACTCATGGTACTGTGTGGCGCGCTTGGTCCGGATTTGTCGCCCGGGGCGCCGCGCCACTTTGCGTGGCAGGCGTGGCACAACCTGACATCCACCTTCGTTTCACGTGGCAGGCGTGGCACAACCTGACATCCACCTTCGTTTTGCGTGGCAGGCGTGGGACAGATGGCACTGTGTGGCGCGCTTGGTCCGGATTTGTCGCCCGGGGCGCCGCGCCACTTTGCGTGGCAGGCGTGGCACTTGGTGACATCCACCTTCGTTTCACGTGGCAGGCGTGGCACAAACTCACATCCACCGTCGTTTTGCGTGGCAGGCGTGGCACTCATGGTACTGTGTGGCGCGCTTGGTCCGGATTTGTCGCCCGGGGCGCCGCGCACTTTGCGTGGCAGGCGTGGCACTTGGTGACATCCACCTTCGTTTCATGTGGCAGGCGTGGCACAAACTCACATCCACCGTCGTTTTGTGTGGCAGGCGTGGCACTCATGGTACTGTGTGGCGCGCTTGGTCCGGATTTGTCGCCCGGGGCGCCGCGTCACTTTGCGTGGCAGGCGTGGCACTTGGTGACATCCACCTTCGTTTCACGTGGCAGGCGTGGCACAAACTCACATCCACTGTCGTTTTGCGTGGCAGGCGTGGCACCAGCTTTGACACACCCTCTTTCACACACCACTTTGTCACACACCATCTTTCGCACACCATCTTTCACACCCAACTTTGTCACCCACCATCTTTCACGCACCATCTTTCACACACCACATTGTCACCCACCATCTTTGACACACCCTCTTTTACACACCATCTTTGTAACACACCATCTTTCACACACCATCTTTTACACCCAACTTTGTCAAACAGCATCTTTGACACACCAAGTTTCAGACACCGCTTTGTCACACACCACTTTGTCACACCATCTTTCACCACACCATCTTCCACACACCATCTTTCACCACCCCATTTTTCACACACAACTTTGTCACACACCATCTTTGACACACCATCTTTCACACAGCACTTTGCCACACACCGTCTTTCACACACAACTTTGTCACATGCTCTCTTTCACACAGGACTTTCACCCACACCATCTTTCAGCACACCATCCTTCACACACCACTTTGTCACACACCATCTTTCACCACACCATCCTTCACACACAACTTTGTCACACACCGACCATCTTTCGCCACACCATCTTTCACACACCACTTTGTCACACACCATCTTTCACACACAACTTTGTCACACACTCTCTTTCACACACAACTTTCACACACGCCATCTTTCACACACTGCTGTGTCACACACACACCATCTTTCACATTCCACTTTGTCACTCACAACTGTTTTAACTTCTCGATCCTTCACCGCCTCCTTTCCCCTAACCTTCTTTCACACAACTTTGTCACACACTCTCTTTCACACACAACTTTCACACACGCCATCTTTCACACACTGCTGTGTCACACACACACACACACCATCTTTCACATTCCACTTTGTCACTCACAACTGTTTTAACTTCTCGATCCTTCACCGCCTCCTTTCCCCTAACCTTCTTTCCCCGTCCCTGCTACAACCTTTCATGCTTATTATTGGACGAAGTTGACTTGTGGGGTTATCCGGTCCTTTAATTATTTTTTTTTAAATGATACATATTATATATATACGTATTATAAATAAAATGATATATATATATATTATTACAAATATTGTTATATATACTATTTTAAATTATATGTAATATTGAATAATAATGATACTAATTATTATTATATATATTATATTATGTACAATTATGATATAGGTATGACCAAATATATGGAAGCCACATTCCAAAGCCATTTTTCTCAAACATGAGGCGCATTTTTTGACACCAACTTTAGGTTCCAGAAATGGGATAATCAGGCCCCAAATGACCACGCTCCAATGGCCTTTTTTTGGTAGGGCACCAAGATGCGAATGGAAACAATACTCTAGGATGTTCTCAACATTTGCATTTTATATCATTTTATATATTGATATAATTACCTTGAAATTGTCTTAAAATTACTTTCGAAAACATAGTTTGTTCCAGGTACATACATATCCCATAATATCCTAGTAAACAATATGATTAGTTAAATTCCCCATATTCAGACCCACCGTGACCCAGTGGTGCCTTTGCCAGTACAACTGGAAAACCGAACATCCAATCAAAGTCATAGCCCCACCACCTTAGCGACGAGCTAACACCACTGGGTGTAATGATGGTCATAGCCTCATTTGGCGACCCCTGATGAACTGCCAAGTTTATGGAATATGAAGTTTGCCTCTCTCTCTTCCTATTTCATCCTATTTCATGAGCTTTGTCGAGGCTCACAACAGCCGACATGTGCCGAGGGTTCACTTTCAGGCTTGCAAAGCTTGCTCCAATCATTCCAGTCAGGCCACTGACCATCATCATGGTGCTGGGAATGCCAAGGCCCAAAAGCCTAAAGAGCCATGGCAGGGACATTGATACCTCAGACCCGACAAATGCTGAGATGATGCCACACCAACATTGATGAATTGCCATCAAGGAACCATGGGGTGAATTCAAACAACTCTTGCATATGTTACATTATGTTACCATTGTTTTAGCCTGCGTAGTTGCCCTATGGAACATGTCATTCGTTTGCCTGCGTTATCTTTAAGCGTCTTTTTAAGTTGCCACTTCCCATCTTGATTTTGAGAAACAAAAATCACTTCAAGGGTTCGGAAGTTCTTTCGTAATTTTCTCCTTCTTTCTGAGCTTCAGGGGTACCCTGGGCACAATCACAAGCATCATGTTCCATCATGCCCATAGAGAAACTCCAATCAAAAAGGTAGGATAGTCTAGCAGAACCCCTTAGTCAGCCAGCGGCGTCATTGGGTTTTTGGCTATTCTTATATGCAACCTTTTCTTTAAACAATTTTGCAATGTAAATGTAAACATATATATATATATTTAAATACAGTATATGTATATGTGCATGCGAATATAAAAACGAGGCAGAACAAACAAACATTCAGAAACTTAAATTTCCCATAATAATACATCAACATGTATGCATATATATATACATATATATACATATATAAACATATATATAAGTTTACAGATATTCAATACACATTAAACAACCAACCACGGCGCCGTGGCCGCGCAGGCCGTCAGCACCGCGTGGAAGCGCCAGGAGGTGTAGTGCCCGGCGAAGGCTTCGCCCCAGAAACTGCTGCCGAAACGGTAGATGGGCAAGCCTTGGAACTGAGATGATCTGAGACGTTTGCACATCACATATGTTGATATGAAATGTATGATATGATTAGATTGGGGTGGGTAGAAAATACAATATATATATATATACACATACATACATTACATAATATGTGTATTTATGTATACATTGTATACTGTATTCGACAATTTCTGCTATAGCCTAGGCCATATCAGGTTTGGTCGACTACAACGGGTTTTGCTCGACCATAAAGGGGTTTATGGAACGAACATTGTGAAAAAAAAACGACTATATATATCAGGAAGACCCTCTGGCCTATGCAGGGAAATGACTTGGTCGAGTCTCTCCATCGAATTTTGCAGCCATGGAGGTCTCAATGCACTCACTAGACATACTGATACAATGAATTTATCAACACTAGCCATAGTGTGAAATTTCGGCAGAACTCTCTGAGCACGGTGACGAGTTCGCCAAATTTCGTGCAGAATTAGGGTACCCCCCGTCCACATGCCACTACATCCTTTCCACGTCCCCAGGAGGTCGTTCCACATCCCCGCATGTGCGTTCCACGTGTTGCCACGGTTGCCCACGGTCCGTCCGATTTTTAAACATATTTCAGTTGATATTTTTTGTTAATTCGATTTGAAGCAATGTTTGGTTTTCTCTCACTCCACATTGCTATCCCACGCGCCTATACTAGGAAACATGTGCCGACTATACGGGGAAGACCTGATCGAACGTACCAGGAAAATGTCCCTCTATGTCCTAGCAAACCCCCGTATAGGTTTCTTGCGAACGACTAGGGCAAATGTATATATATATATTATATATATGGACCATGGAGTCTTAGATATATATATATATATGATATATGAATGTGTATATATATATATATAAATATGTGTATATATATATATATATGTGATATACATATATGTGATATATATATATATATACTAAGCATTATATTCCTAATTTGTTGGTGACTGCACCAAACTCTGCGGTCCACCCAGGAGAATCTGTTCCATGTGCGCTTCTGGTTTCAAACAACCCAGGACGGAGACTTGGTGGGGCAACCACTGTTCTTGCAGCTTCTGCAGCCGATAGGCAAACAATGAAGAGAAAGAGCCCACGGAAGAACTCCAAACCTTTCGCGACAAGAACTGCTGCATGAAAGGAGCTTGGATATAGGTCGGAAATGATAGATATGTATAGATATATTGGATACATTGGGATGTTCTCTTCTCGGTCAAGTGGCTTGGAATCTGGGTTGGTTCCCAAATTCCCTCGTTGCTTCGTTTTCCAGAGTTCTACATTGATGCTTGATGGTAGGTTTGACTGAAAATGGTCCGATAAAATGACGATTGAAGAAGGAAAGTATGTGATATTAATCAGTGGGGGTACCCTGTGTTCACACGAACCTAGTGGAGTGGGTGCAACTAACAGGTCAAAATAGAACTAGAACCCACCAAACCCAATAACTTTCACATGTTTTGCATGGAATTGAAATTGAGACACGCATTCATAGGGAAAGGCTTGCAATATTTATATGCTTCCTGAAGATCCTGACCATGAGCCTGAAGGCAAACCAAAAAGACAACCATCAATTGACCATCAACCACTTCAAGGTACCCTCTGGTAATCTAAAGCAACATTGCTATGGCAAATCGCCCGTTTATATATCTATAAATGGGTGATTTTCTATGGCCATGTTTGCCACAAGGTAGTTTGATCTGATGATGATGATGATGGTGATGATGATGGTGATGGCGATGGCGATGGCGATGGTGATGGCGATGGCGATGGGGATGGTGATGGTGATGGTGATTATGATGATGATGATGGTGATGATGATGGTGATGATGATGGTGGTGATGGTGATGGTGACGGTGATGGTGATGCTGATGCTGATGCTGATGGTGATGGCGATGATGATGCTGATGCTGATACTGTTGATGATGACAACGACGATGATGATGATGATGATGATGATGGTGATGGCGATGGCGATGTTGATGGCGATGGCGATGGTGATGGTGATTGTGATGGTGACGGTGATGGATGGCGATGGCGATGGGGATGGTGATGGTGATGGTGATGGCGATGGGGATGGTGATGATGATGATGATGATGATGGTGATGCTGATGGTGATGCTGATGGTGATGATGATGATGATGATGATGATGATGATGATGATGATGATGGTGATGGTGATGATGGTGATGATGATGATGATGATGATGATGATGATGATGATGATGGTGATGATGGTGGTGGTGATGGTGACGGTGATGGTGATGCTGATGCTAATGGTGATGGTGATGGTGATGATGATGATGATGATGATGATGATGGTGATGGTGGTGGTGGTGATGGTGATGGTGATGGATGGCGATGGCGATGGGGATGGTGATGGTGATGGCGATGGGGATGGTGATGATGATGATGATGATGATGGTGATGCTGATGGTGATGCTGATGGTGATGATGATGATGATGATGGTGATGGTGATGATGGTGATGGTGATGGCGATGATGGTGATGTGATGATGATGATGATGGTGATGATGATGATGCTGATGAGTATTATTATTATTGGTTTTGTTTTTGTTAATATTAATATTATTTTTATCAATTATATTTCATTAAATCATGGTAAATCAAGATGCGTATATATATGTTACCACAAATGGACAATCAAATCCTCGATTTCCTGCACACGGCAGATCCGGCAAATAACCCAAAGTGTGGCAATTCGGGACCCCATGTCTAAATGGTAGGGCCCCAAGGCAACATAACTGGATACTTGGATCATCCCAAGTGGAATATAAATGGTTCATAAGGCTGGTCTACGAGTCCCCCAACTGTTTTATCCTTTGGATAAGTGAGTTCCAACCAGTTTCCAACTGGGATGATCCTCTGTCCTCAAAATCAACCCCCTTCCCAAGGCCGCCTCCAAAGCTTGCACGGGAAAAAACCATCCAGCCAGTGATGTTGAGACCCAGCACAGGAATTAAGAGCGCCGAGGAGAGAAAAACGTGGGGCTTGTCGAACATGCCATAGGGCTTGGCCTCCTGAAATTCCTGCAGTCTTCCAAGGGGTTGAATGGCTGAAACAATGGGGAATCATGGAGGAAAAATAACGATTCTTGAACTTGCTATCAAAATATGGCACTAATTGACACTATAATTGTGGAGTTTCTATGGTTTTCCTGTATTTATCGGTCATGTTATTCCATGAAACCAATTCTCGATTTGGAAACTCAGTGAGAAGTACAGCAAGGTTTCCCCAGCCTCTGGCCACCTCTACCAATGATAATGTCCCCAAGGAAAGAAGGAAACCAGTAAATCATGTAGTCATATAATGATGGTGATTATGACCTTAAGATGACTGTCTTGAAAGTCTTGTCACATTTGATGGATGCATTCATGAATTTTCCTGGCCTGGAGGTCCAAAAAAGGGTGCAGATTTTTTTTCCTGTCTGGGGCACTTTTCCTTGCTATTTGCTACATTTTGGAGCAAAAACCTGTACTTTGCTGAATTTTGGTTTACGGTTTATCTAAAGTTTGTTTAGGGGGTTGGATTAAGGTACATGTAGGGATACAAAGTTATTTTTAGGGTTGGTTTAGGGTTATTTTTAGGGTTGGTTTAGGGGTGTTTAGGGTTGGTTTAGGGTTTATTTAGGGTTGGGTTAGGGTTGGTTTAGGGTTTATTTAGGGTTGGTTTACGATTTATCTAAAGATTGTGTAGGGTTTATTTAGGGTTTATTTAGGCTTGGTTTAGGGTTTGTTTAGGGTTGGTTTAGGGTTGGTTCAGGGTTTATTTAGGGTTAGTTTAGGGTTTATTTAGGGTTGGTTTAGGGGTATTTAGTTTAGGGTTGGTTTTGTGCTTATTTATAGGGAGGGTTATATTGGGTTTGTTTATGGTTGGTTTAGGGTAATTTAAATATATATATATATATATTGATATTTATCGTGTTATTTAGGGCTATTCATGGTTATTTAGGGTTGGTTTATGGTCAAGTTAAAGTTGTGTATATAAAGATAGATAGATAGATAGATAGATAGATAGATAGATAGATAGATAGATAGATGGATGGATAGATGGATAGATAGGTAGATAGATAGATAGATAGAAAATAGATAGATAGATAGATAGATAGATAGATAGATAGATAGATAGATAGATAGATAGATAGATAGATACATAGATAGATAGATAGATACATAGATAGAAAGATGGACAGATAGATAGATAGATAGAAAGATAGATAGGTAGATAGATAGATGGATGGATAGGATTAGATAAGATTAGATAAGATTAGATAAGATTAGATAAGATTAGATAAGGTTAGATACGATTAGATAAGATTAGAAAACATTAGAGAAGATTAGATAAGGTTAGATAAGATTAGATAAGATTAGATACGATTAGATAAGATTAGATGAGATTAGATGAGATTAGATGAGATTAGATAAGATTAGAAAAGATTAGAAAAGATTAGATAAGATTAGATAAGATTAGATAAGATTAGAAAAGATTAGAAAAGATTAGATAAGATTAGATAAGACTAGGTAAGATTAGATAAGATTAGATAAGATTAGACAAGATTAGAAAAGGTTAGATAAGATTAGATAAGATTCGATAAGATTCGAAAAGATTAGATAAGATTAGATAAGATTAGATAAGATTAGGTAAGATTAGATAAGATTAGATAAGATTAGATAAGATTTAGATTTAGGTTTGGTTTAGATTTGATTTAGATTAGATAAAATTAGATACGATTAGATAAGATTAGATAACATTAGATAAGATTATTAGATAAGATTAGGTAAGATTAGATAAGATTAGATAAGATTAGAAAAGATTAGAAAAGATTAGATAAGATTAGATAAGATTGTTAGATAAGATTAGAAAAGGTTAGATAAGATTAGATAAGATTAGAAAAGGTCAGGAAAGATTAGATGAGATTAGATAAGATTAGATAAGATTAGATAAGATTAGATAAGATTAGATAAGATTAGAAAAGATTAGATAAGATTAGATAAGATTAGATAAGATTAGATTAGATTAGATTGGATTGGACTGGATTGGGTTGGATTGGATTAGCTAGATTGAATTAGATAAATTAGATTAGATAGATAGATAGATAGATAGATTAGATTAGATTGGATTAGGTTAGATTAAGGTCAGATTAGGTTAAATAGATTGATTAAATGGATAGATTAACTATATAGATTAAAAAGACAAATTAAATAGATATATTAAATAAATGACTAAATAGATAGATTAAACATATAGATTAATTACTTTACCGTGTGATCCCCACCATGACATTTATACATTTTCTTGCTGGCAAATCTTCTGGCATTCTATCTGGCATATCTTCTGGCATATCTTCTGGCATTCTATCTGGCAAATCTTCTGGCATTCTATCTGGCATATCTTCTGGCATTCTATCTGGCCTATCTTCTGGCATTCTATCTGGCATATCTTCTGGCATTCTATCTGACATATCTTCTGGCATTCTATCTGACATTCCATCTGGCATATCTTCTGGCATTCTATCTGGCCGTTGAGGTCCGGCAGTGCCCACTGGGATCTGGAGCTCGCGGTTGAGGTCCGGCAGTGCCCACTGGGATCTGGAGCTCGCGGTTGAGGTCCGGCAGTGCCCACTGGCGATCTGCAACTCGCGGTTGAGGTCCGGCAGTGCCCACTGGGATCTGGAGCTCGCGGTGGAGGTCCGGCTGTGCCCACTGGGATCTGGACTGCGAGGAGGAGGCGGCGGGTGAGGAGGCGGAGGAGGCGAAGGAGGCGGAGAAGAGCTCTGTTAAAATCTAGCAACCCCCACCGGTAGGTGGGGAAATAGCCAGATTAAATAGAGAGATTAAATAGATGACTAAATAGATAGACTAAATAGATAGATTAAAAGAAATGAATAGATAGATTAACAGATAGACTGATAGATTAGATTAGATAGATTAGATATAGATTAGATTAGATAAATTAGATAGATTTGATAGATTTGAATGATTTGATAGATTAGATAAGTTAGATAGATTAGATAGATTAGATAGATTAGATAGATTAGATTGATAGATTAGATAGGTTGGATAGGTTAGATAGATTCTAGATAAGATAAAACAATGTAAGACAAGATAACACAAGATAAAACAAGATAAGATGAGATCAGATTAGATCAGGTTAGATTAGGTTAGAGTAGATAGATAGATATGATAGATAGATAGATAGATAGATAGATCGATCGATCGATAGATAGATAGATAGATAGGTAGATTGGTAAAGCATGGTGAAGCCACAGAAGCCACACACCCACAAAAGCAACAGAAGCTACAGAATTCACAAAAGCCACAAAACCAGGCTGGAAACAAAAAAAAACAATCCGAGAAAAATAGCCCTCCTCCAAAAAATCAAAAAATCCTAGTTTCGAAACTGGAACTTGAAAGATGACAATGGGATGGCTATGGGTCAAAGTTAAATTGGCACCAACCGTTACGGGATGTTTCAGCACTAGCGCCAAGTTCATCCCAAGAATCAGGACCAACCTGATCGATGAGTTCTTCAATACCTCGGATCGAGTCGAGTCCATGGCCGGGAAATATCAGGTGTGGTTTTGGTATCTGATGTCCAAAGGTGTCATGGTCAGCTGGTTTTGTTGCCCAATCATCATCTGCATACAGAATATATATATATGTAAATGTAAATACAACAATTATATATATATGTAGAACATTATAGAATCGTGATATAACCGAGTAGAATGCGGAACATGTGCAAATGCAAACACAAAGTGGAAGTTAGTCTTAGTGCGTTTTTGGCTCTGGACTAGTCCAAAACATGGAGGTTGCACCCCGCAAATCTGACATAAAATAACTCCAACGATGGAGATATGCACAATGACTTTCCTATTGGATATCATCCTATCTTGCCATTTGGGCTTCCCCTGGGCTCTCTACACTCCCCTAGCCTTCACAAATGCGGCTGAGATGCCCTCATTTCTCAGGTGCTCCCTGAGGGTTGGCATACTCCTGCAGCAAGGTGATACACCCAAAAAACATCGTAATTCAAGGAACCGGTAGACAAAAAACTGAAAAAACATAATACCTCATTCCAAAATCATAAAACTGTCACTAATCAGCACAAACACACACAAACACACGTGTGTATATCTACAGGTATAAATATATATATATATAATATACTAAATATTCAACTATCTATCTAAATATCCAACTATCTATCTAAATATCCAACTATCTATCTATCTATCTGTCTGTCCATCTATCTATCTATCTATCTATCTATCTATTTATCTCTCTCTCCCTACCTATCTCTCTATCTCTCTATCTCTCTATCTCTCTATCTCTCTATCTCTCAATCTCTCTGTCTCTCTATCTCTCTATCTCTCTATCTCTCTATCTCTCTATCCCTCTATCTCTCTATCTCTCTATCTCTCTATCTCTCTATCTCTCTATCTCTCTATCTCTCTATCTCTATCTATCTATCTATCTATCTCTCTATCTATCTATCTATCTATCTATCTATTTATCTATCTATCTATCTCTCTCTCTCTCTCTACCTATCTCTCTATCTCTCTATCTCTCTATGTATCTCTCTATCTCTCTATCTCTCTGTCTATCTATATATCTATCTCTCTCTCTCTCTCGATCTATCTATCTATCTCTCTCTCTATCTATCTATCTATCTATCTATCTGTCTGTCTGTCTGTCTGTCTGTCTGTCTGTCTGTCTATCTCTCTCTATCTAGTTATCTATCTATCTATCTTTCTATCTTTCTATCTATCTATCTAATCTAATCTAATCTAATCTAATCTATCTATCTATATATCTATCTATCTGTCTATCTATCTATCTACCTATCTATCTATCTATCTTTCTTATCTATCTTATCTTATCTTATCTTGTCTTGTCTTATCTATCTATCTATCTATGTATTTATCTATCTACCTAGCTAGCTAGCTAGCTATCAATCAATCTATCTATCTATATATCTATATATATATATCTATCTATATATCTATCTATCTATCTATCTATTTATCTCTCTCTCTACCTATCTCTCTATCTCTCTATCTCTCTATCTCTCAATCTCTCTGTCTCTCTATCTCTCTATCTCTCTATCTCTCTATCTCTCTATCTATCTATCTATCTATCTATCTATCTATCTATCTATCTATCTGTATCTATCTGTATCTATATCTATCTACATCTATCTATATCTATCTGTATCAATTTCTATCTATCTATCTATATATATATATATCTATATCTATCTATGTAGGAATATATATATATATACACCTATCTATATATACCTATTAATATCTGATAGTATCTATCTATATCTATCTACATCTATCTACATCTATTTATATCTAGCTATATCTATCTATATATTTATATATATATATATATATTTCTATATCTAAATCCATCTGTATCTATCTATATCTATCTCTATCTAAATCTATCTATACCTCTATCTATCTATCTATCTATCTATCTATCTATCTATCTGTCTATCTTTATCTATGTATCTATCTATCTCTATCTCTATCTATATATCTATCTATCTCTATCTATCTCTATCTATCTCTATCTATCTCTATCTATCTCTATCTATCTCTATCTATCTCTCTATCTCTCTATCTCTCTATCTCTCTATCTCTCTATCTCTCTATCTATCTATCTATCTACCTATCTATCCATCTATCTATCTATCTCTATCTATTTATTTATCTATCTATCTATCTATCTATCTCTCTGTCTACATATAGGAATCTAATAGCTTTATTATACGCAAATCAAAACAAAATAATACACGTATCAACATGTATATCATCTATATATATATATATATATGTGATATGTATACCCTGGAAGTCCAAAGACTCAAAAAGCACGTCCATATATGATACAATTGATGTACCTTTTGAGGTCTCCGACCTCAAAAATAACTCTGCTATAACATCTTTTAGGTGTACCTTTTGAGGTCTCGGGCCTAAAAAGGAACATTGCTCTATAACATCCTGAATCATGAGTATATAATCGTGAGTAATCGTGAGCATATAATCGTGAGTAATCGTGAGCAGGGCCCTAAAAAAGTACGGCCCTGTAGGGCCTACGTAAAGGCCATATAGCGGCTGAAACATCGTGAGAGTCGTGAGCGAATCGTCAGCAATCGTGAGCGGACATTGCTCTAAACCCTCGGCTGTAGAACTATTGGTATTATTGCTATAAACTCTTAGACGTAGAACCCATAACATTGTTATAAGCACTCGGCCATAAACACTCGGCATTCTCTGCGAGGGCAGCATTATGTGCAACTTTTCCTAAGGACTCATCTAGTACGGCCTTAGGACTTACGGGGTATATATATATATAAAAATTATATTTATATATATATATATAACATCTACCTATGTCATCCTATGTCTACCTTTTGTTTCAGCATGGAGGTTTTTAGATAGCCACAACACCTTTGACACCCTGTCCTTGGCTCATAGCCTGCCACGTTCACTACATAGCCTTCCAATGCCCAACTCAGCTGCCCAGAAGCGTTCCGTACCACCACGCCGATGCCATACTGCTCGACCTGCCGGCCAAAATGATTGGTATTTTTGGAAGAACGAGTGATTCATGATGATTATGTTCGCTAAAAAGAGGCTTAAAACATTGCCAAATTGATTCACAATTATTGATTCAACATGATTCAACACTGGATTAAGTCGCGGTTCTACTCGTTGCAAACCTATGCAAACCTTAGCCGGTGACAAACTCACACACCTACAAAACAGAGGTTGACCTGGGATGGGGATGAGGTTCCTCACACCGTTTTGATTGTCTGCTTCTGATTCTTAACTGTACCCCAAAACGAAACATTCCTCCGGTTGACATTTCACCTCATCTGGGGATTTGCTTTTGTGAATTCGCAAACAAAAGAAAAAATTAATGGTTTTGCCTTCAAATATGGATACATATCGGGGTGTCCTATAAGTTTTTCCTATAGCACATTTTAGGAGTTGTTTTTTGAATCTTTTAGAAGGATATGGATTTGTCTGAAAGTTAGTTACCTCCCAAAAAAATGATGGTAAATAGGTAAATCATAATCTTCCCCATGGAATTTTCTCGTTTAGGAATCGTTTAGGATCGGAGGGGCATCTGCCTTCAGGCAACCCATATGCAACCCTTTTTGCATCAACAAATCAATGCCATCACATGTGGGGCCAGTCCAACTGGGTTTGATCACATGATCCCGACGAGACATGTCGAAGAATCTGGGTGACATGAATGGTCTTACTGCTTTGCTCCCCTTTCAAAGAGAAATTCCAAGCGCCAGTGCAGGCAAACCATTCCATCCATCGATAGGGGCCCTAGCTTCTGCTGGAGGACCCTAGTCACTTTTTTAAGAAACTGTATGAAGTGGTTACCCTCTGATTATTTAAGACGGCTATGGAAAATACAATGTATTGGCGTTTTATGATGATTTACCGAACATGGTGATTGTTTATAGTTAAATAGCCAAAGGGTAAGTTATATTTGGTCAGCTGAGGTGCGAGGCACATCAACTATTGGCAATCTTTCCATCAAGATATTGCTGTACACCCCCTATTACATCCTTATGCCCATCCAAGGTAATCCCTATGATATCCTGTTGTATTCCCACTATACCACTATTGTTGTTGATTAAATCGGCATTTTGTACATCCGTTGAACTCCAATTTTCAATGTTTAAATCCCAAAATTCATTGGTTAAATCCCATTAAGATCCATTAAGACTCCCATGATTCTTGGTTCAATCCCCATTTTAAGCGGTTACAGTAAGTCCTGTTAAAATCAAATTGTTGTTAAATCCCGATTTCCAGTGGTGAAGTCTCACTAAAAACCGATGTTTGATGCTGAAATCCCCGTTTTGAGTGGTGGCTAAGTCCCAGTATAACATGTGAAATCCCACTTAAGCTGAAGGGATCTGCCCATCTGGCACCTCAACAATCTGCAGGACCTGACCCGGTAGAAGTCGCACCAGGTCTGGCCCTCGGAGCCTGTGAGATGAGGGTAGCTTTTTGGGACATCTGGAGATATTTCCTATCCTGGGTTCCAATCATCCCTAGTAAACCAGGTAATTAGTATGATTTATCCTTTTTTTTTGTTATTGTTTTTGGTAACATGATATAACTATACACTTATCTATCGTTCATGGGCTTTGTAAACCATCTAAATGGATCTTTACAGTTGAAAATCATCAATTAATATCCACTATATAATGGTATATTTAATGGCACTTAAACCGCTCAAAATATGGATTTCAGAACCAAACTTGTTTGATTTTCATGGGGGTTTCACCAGCTAACATGGAGTTAAAATGTGGGGTACCCCATCATCCCCATCCCACAAAAAAGAAAACAATATGGTGTTTAATGGGGATATGGGGGATTTAATTGTCTAAAATGGGGATAGAATCAGGATCAATCATAGGTACCGTAATGATGTACCGTATATGACTATAGTAATATATTTGGATGGTACTCTTGGGTGTCGTCAAACATGGCTAGCCGGGAATTCATCGAATTACTCTGTGACATTTTCCAGCAAACCATGTTTGATTACTGCTGGGTATATAAAGCCTTTATACATTCCATAAAACGATGTATTGACAGAAACCCGCAAAAATATCCAAAACAATCAATAAACAATATAGATGATCAATGTACAAAACCAAATCGGCGCTATTTTTACGGCCAGCACTTGTGCTATGCCCCAAACTCTTTTGGGATGATTGTCGGGAACCTCATTTTTGGTGACCTTTGCAGTACTTTGTGGCCTTCCACTATGTTGATATGATTTAACTTGATGTCCATCACGTCGCTTCGTAAGGGACGTGATTGATGACCCTCTGCGGGGATTCGGCTGAAATCCTTTCGCTGTTTTCAACCCTTTTTAGATAAACCCTAAAGAGAACCTAGAAAAACCCTTGGAAACCCCCTAAATTAAAGAACCCTCAAGAAACCCTAAAGGGGCCTAAATGAACCCTGACAAAAACAACATGAACGTGTATATAGCGAAGTACCTGTGGGGCGTAGCGTACGTGCTGCGGGTATTTTTAGTAGAGACTGCTACTCTTCTCTACTCCCAGGGTTGCTAACCCGTTCCATACAAATAAAAAATAAGTTTAAGTAAAAAACAAGATGAAGCCCACGAACCCGAATGCTCACACGTATGTTAATGGTACAGATGTCAAAACACATGGTTATGCAGTGACGCACAATACCTTTCTGCAATAGTTTATTTGAACAGTCTTGTACATGTTTCCCTTGTTACCAGTCTGCAGTGTGGAGTGGAAAGTGTAGAGTGTGGAGTGTGGAGTGTGAAGTAAGGAGTGTGAAGTAAGGAGTGTGGAGTGTAAAGTGTGGAGTGGGGAGTGTAGAGTGTGTAAAGTGTAGAATGTGGAGTGTAAAGTGTAGAGTGTGGAGTATGGAGTGTAAAGTGTAGAGTGTGGAGTGTAGAGTGTGGAGTGTGGAGTGTAGAGTGTGGAGTGAGGAGTGTAAAGTGCAAAGTGTGGAGTGTGGAGTGTAAAGTGTAGAGTGTGGAGTGTGGAGCGTAAAGTGTAGAGTGTGGAGTCTGGAGTGGAAAGTGTAGAGTGTGGTGTGTAGAGTGTGGAGTGTGGAGTGTAAAGTGAGGAGTGTAAAGTGTGGAGTGAGGAGTGGAAAGTGTAGAGTGTGGTGTGGAGTGAGGAGTGTGGAATGTAAAGTGAGGAGTGTAAAGTGTGGAGTGAGGAGTGGAAAGTGTAGAGTGTGGTGTGGAGTGTGGAGTGTAAAGTGTGGAGTGTAGAGTGTGGAGTGTGGAGTGTAAAGTGCAGAGTGTGGAGTGTAAAGTGTGGAGTGAGGAGTGTAAAGTGGAAATCGTGGAGTGTAAAGTGTAAAGTGTGGAGTGTAGAGTGTATAGTGTAGAGTGTAAAGTATAGAGTGTGGAGTGTAAAGTGTGGAGTGGGGAGTGTAGAGTGTAAAGTGTGGAGTGTAAAGTGTGGAGTGAGGAGTGTAAAGTGTGGAGTGTGGAGTGTAAAGTGTGGAGTGTGGAGTGTTGAGTGGAAAGTGTGGAGTGTGAAGTGCGGAGTGTAAAGTGTGGAGTGTGGAGTGTAAAGTGTGGGGTGTGGAGTGAGGAGTGTAAAGTGTGGTGTGCAAAGTGTGGAGTGTGGAGTGAGGAGTGTAAAGTGTGGAGTGTGGAGTGTGGAGCGTAAAGTGTAGAGTGTGGAGTGTGGAGCGTAAAGTGTAGAGTGTGGAGTCTGGAGTGGAAAGTGTAGAGTGTGGTGTGTAGAGTGTGGAGTGTGGAGGCTAAAGTGAGGAGTGTAAAGTGTGGAGTGTGGAGTGAGGAAAGTGGCACGCTTGCCACGCAAAACGACATGACAACCTGCTTGGACACATTCGAATAGGAGAGGTTTTGCGGCTTCCCCCATTGACACGGCGAAACCACAGGAAAACCAGAGACTCGAGACGAGACACGTGGGAGCACCAAAACGAGCATTTCGTGCGAGATGTCCTCCAATTTTGATATTTTCAACACGTTAGCAAACAGCTTGGAATGTCACAAAGTGCCACGCCTGCCACGCAAAACGACATGACAACCTGCCTGGACACATTCGAATAGGAGAGGTTTTGCGGCTTCCCCCATTGACACGGCGAAACCACAGGAAAACCAGAGACTCGAGACGAGACACGTGGGAGCACCAAAACGAGCATTTCGTGCGAGACGTCCTCCAATTTTCACACTTTGAAACATGCCGAAGAGAGATGTTTTGCAGCTTCCCCCATAGACACGGCGAAGCCACCATAAAACCAATGACGCGAGACGAGACAGGTGGAAGCACCAAAACGAGCATTTCGTGCGAGACTTCCTCGAATTTTCACACTTTGTAGCTTCAAAATCGACGTTTTCCTACGAGTTTTCCTTAGAACCTGAAAATTTGCAACCTCAAAATCGATGTTTCGTGCGAGGCTTCCGTCAATTTTCAGCACATCGCACAAAATGCCACGCCTGCCACGGAATTTGCACCTTGTCGCCAATTGACGCAGCCCTGCCAATGCGATTTACAAAAAACACGCAACACGACACGTCTAAAGTGCTGCGCCTGCCACGAAAAATGACGATGGACACGTCCAAAGTACTGCGCCTGCCACGAAAACTGCAACACATCTTGCGAAAACGTCGCAAAAGTATTGCGCCTGCCACACAAAACGACTTTCGACATGTTACAATACACCTCTGAATGTCACGACGTGCCACGCCTGCCACACGAAACGAAGCAACCCGACGTCTGAAACCTCCAAAAATGATCCCTCCTGCAGAACTTCCCATAGGCACGGCCATACGGGATCGCGCGGACGGTTGCGGACGGTTGCGACCGTGAACGCAACGTCGAGCGAACACACCCTCAACCCCCAGACCCCCAGAGTGAAACGGGAACCCTTGCTACGCATTCGGGAAAAACTGGTATAGTATTATATATATATATATATATTTAATATATATATATATATAGTATGCATGATGCACATATCGACATACGATTGAGGAAAAACATAAAATCAAAAATGACAAGGACCAGCTGATCAGCTGGTTGCATTCGCAGGAAATTTGTTAAAGCCGCGCTCTTATGCGCTCTTCAAATTAACATGGCCGTGGCTCATTTCATCTTAGCTCACATTGTCAGCTTGCTTCGGGGCATTGGGATCTCCTGAGCCCCTGCAACACTTCATTGAAATTCGTTGGCGTCATGGCATTCTCGTTCAGTCTTTCTCAGGATTTGTCCAACACTCTTCATTGATCATGGGCATGGTGCAAGAAAACTATATATGCCATATATATATATATACAGATTCTTGGTTTATTTTTTTGAATAGAAAATGTGGTACTCCCAAGAAAGCATACGCTTACTCAGCATTTTCCCTACGATTTGATAACTTTCCGTGTAAACCCTTCACAAAGCCATGGATCCACCCCTGATCCACCCTTCCATCAACGGCATGGGCCGAGTGACAACCAGTGCCGTGGCTGGTGCGCTGCCAGATGTCCCCACAACTTGCAGACTGCATGGCTACATTCGGAGGGTGGCGGATCCCAGGCACGCATGAAGGTGTCAGCTTGCACTCGTTCCTGGGCGTTGGCTGCGCTGCGCGGTTGAGGGCGGTGAGCGCGATGTACGCCCCTTTTATGCTAATTTCAATGTGGGAAAATTAGCTGTCAAAGCAAATTGGCTGATGGGGTTGAGTTTATTTGGGTGTTTGGGTTGAGTCTTGTCCGGTAGGGAAAATCGTCAGCAGTTGCCTTCATCACACTTGCAGGAGGTTTCCTCGATGCCGGAACTGCATTCTGGACCCTCCTGCCAACCCGGCAATGGAAAAGCCACCAGTAAGCCTCTACTTTGATTGATTTTGACTGTGCAGATTTGAACTATCATGTGTGATTCCTGTAGGGCAAATCATGTTGTCAATATCCTTTGATGCTAAAGTGGCCAAGCCAAGAACGATCGCTGTAAGAGTTCCTGCACTGGTCCTCGCATGTCCCTTTACTTGCTGAGCCACCTTTGACGCCAAACATAGCCAAATATGAGAGTATGTGAACAGAAATCATACTGTATCTGCAGTTATGGCCCTTTACCGGCTACCGGTCATAAGATGTTATAAGTACTTCCAACCCCATTTATAGAATGTATAATCCCATTTATAGCCAGTTATAGCTAATCAATTGCATAACTGTGAAACAACATGGAACCACCATGAAGGAAGATCGTGTGCACCTTTACTGCACCGCAAATTCATGGTGCATGCCTAAACCCCGCAAGGCGTCAACGCGCTCTTCCGCGCCAGCAACATCGATGACACACAAGCGCAAACCCTGTTGTAATCTGGCGCGAGCCAAAGGCAGCAGGTGGTCGCTGTTGCCAATGAGAAGCATGTAGTTGTTGTAGCAATCCTTCCTCAGTTCAAAATCCATTGGATTGAGGGAAAACTGAAACCGGCAACAAATGCGATTCATGGCTTTGCCCAACAATGGTGTTGATTCCCAAAATGTCTTATTAAACATATGAGAACACACAAAATAAATATGATGAGACTGAGAATGACAATCATTGAGAAAGCATCAAAACATGAAATAAAAAGGGGTAGTTCATGTTCAAACAAACCCAAACGAGCAGTTTTTTGAATCACCTTCCCTCTTTCCATGGTGGTTGGCAGGGTGATAACCAGGATGGCTTAACCAGTCCAAGCCTCAATGCTGCGTGTGTCATGACCTCTTCATTGAAGACATTGGCAGTGCCCGAACGGTGTTTCAGTTGAAAGGCTCCAGATGAATCACCCTTGGTCGACATGGTCCCGGCAAAAAGGAGAGAGGATTTACCCATTGGAGGGTAAAAAGGGCAACACATATGAAATGATTCGCATTTTTTTTTTGGTTATGTCAGGCCTTCTGGTAATCAAACGTTGCCTGTGAAATCCTGGAACTAAGTGTGGAGGTTTCCAGCCAACCATGTTTGATTACCAAATGGTACAGGACGTTACGGACGTTTGACCCAAAACCAAGATTCTTGGCCCCAATTCAAAGTCAAACCCAATGGCTTGCAGTATATATTCAATTTTTTCCGTGTACGGTATAGTTTCCATCAACCCTCAAGTCAAAGCATGTCAATGATCTCAATCTCGCCAACGCCAAATATCTGTAGCCAGGTTAGCCTGGTATAGTCTCAGCTGGCGCTGGACAATCCCCGATGCGTATCCATTCAAAGATAGTCTTCGTCAGTTTTACCACGAACGATCGAGGTTTTTGGTCGCGTGAACTGAGACGACGGAATCTCTAAAGGAAGAAACCAAAGCTGAAACCTGCGCCCCTGAAATCGGTTTTGTCCCCCTACGCCCAAGCTCACCATCATCAATCAATCATCTGGCTGACTTTGACACTACCTGGACCAAAAATAGATCTTTAGCCACTTAGATTTAGTTGGCACACACACACACGCACATATATATATATATAATTATATATATTACAGTACACAACTATTTACAGCAAAAGGTTAAGTAAGGTATATCCATCCAGGGCTGACCAAGATTTCATCAACTATTTCACCAACCGACATCTGAAAGGATCGCCATTTTGGAGATTCCAAAAGAAAGGCTATGGGGCTAAAGCCCGGCAGACTGGTGGTCGCACCTCATAATAAAAGTGCTTCATGCAAAATCTTTTGGAACAACCACTGTCACATTTTTTTCGGGTCTGGATTCCATGTTACTTTTCAGGGGGCTAGGACATCACTATCATATCACTGATCTGTGTGGGGTCGGCCAGTAAGGTTGCTGGAATTTGGTGATGTTGAGCGAACCGAACCCACAATCAACAAATACCATGATGGCTAAGCCATCAAAACATGGTCACGACCCAATTGTGAAAGGTCAGCCTATGAATTGTCAGAATTATACGCCCTGAAGTGCTCAGAAGTGTAAGATACCGGCTAGATTACCTGGAATGATTTATAATCTTCCCTAAACATCAAACAAACTTCAGCAAAATGCTGCTGCTAAGGCTGTTAAGGCTGTTAAGGTGCATACTTACAAACCGATGTATAAAGCAAACCTCAAAAAATAGAGAAAAACCATGAAAAAACACAATCCTTCTGAAATTCTGGTAAATGACAGCTTTTCCAAATCTTTTGGGTATGGGACCCGTTACCAGCCGAGAAGCAGGGACTCTCCTCTCCTCCGTGGGCTTGGAGCCCCGGGAACTGTGGGAACTGTGGGAACTTTGGGACCTTCGCACAGGCGCGTCGCACGCGTCATGGGCGTCAGGGTCGGCAGGGTCCAGCACACAAACCATCAGGTTCTGGACGTCCACCTGGTGTTTGTTCAATCACATGTGTATGCACTTGATTTTATGTGTATATATGAATATAATTATATAATATATGTATTTAAATTTATGTATGTATATGTATCTGTGTGCGTGTCTCCAGATGCCAATATTAGTATGTATGTATCTATATGTATAGCTGTTTTATTGATTTAGTGAGGTACTATGTGTAGCTGGTTGTTGGTGTAACATATGATGTAACATACAAAATATCACTTGAAGTCAAATTATATACATGTTCGTCTTGTGTATCTGCTTGGAGATCCTCATCACATGTTTCAAGGATGGGTGATAGTATGAAGCTACGGAATCATTTGCACATGTAAATGTATATAATAATATAATATAAAATTGTGTGAACAAACCAGTTTCAACCTAATCGTTCCAAATATCGCATGAAAAATGCCCGAACGCAAACTTCTCAACGACTCAACAGCCGATTTTTAGGATTGTTTGCTATCTGATTGCATTTTTGTTAAGCTGCCATGCCTCTTGTGGATAGTAGAATTGGGTTACACAAAAATACAAAAACCGTATCGGGTCCATCATTATTTAAGGACAATAGCGGCGGTGATGATGATGATGATGATGACGACGATGACGACGATGACGATGACGATGACGATGACGATGACGATGACGATGACGATGATGATGATGATGATGATGATGATGATGATGATGATGTGAAGGAGGAGGAGGAGAAGGAGGAGGGGGTAATGAGGATGAGGATGATTGGACGACTGTATATAATGTTTCATGATAATTACACATTATGATTACATATTATTTGTATAGATTTATTTGAATAAGATAATTATGATGATAATTGTAAGAAGTTTTGCAAGTCTATATGGTAAGAGAAGAGGACAATATAATATGGTTCAAACATGATCATGATACTTGCCGGTTCTTTTTAAACAAAAACTAGTGCATGAATACGTTCTTTGGTGTGATCCCTGCCGTTGCAAATATCCTGCTATATTCTGACATTCTATCTGATATTTCGTGCATTTTATCTGGCATTCTATCTGCATGACATATATTCCGACAGGTTTTTCTGGCGGGTTCGCATGGCAAGCTGGCGAGGAAAAAGGAGCGATCAGGGTGTTAGAATCTAAAGACCATGACCTGGCAGATGGGGAAAAATATGCATGTGATGATTCAGTTGTATTGTATATATATAATATTATATTGTATTTGAATGTATTAGATTATATTGTATGATATTTTATTTCATATTGTATTAATTTGTATTCTATTGTTATATTTGAATTATATGTGTATTAAAGCGTGATGTTTGAGTTTGACGATGAATGATGACTGCATATAATGGTCACATATGTTGATCACATGTTATGATTACGTATGATGACACCATGTGACAATTTTCTATGGAGAATGCTGTGCATGTGATACTGTAAAAAAATGTACAGTTCTTGTGATTGTTTGACTATTCCAAATTATGATTGTACCATTTGCACCTTATTATTGCACAACTATTTATCATCAAGGATGGTCATGTGACCAATTAGACCTGCCCATTGATTGCAACAATGTTCCTTGTGAAACCCATCAAGTTTACACCAAGCATATCCAAACCTTGTTTGAGTATCGGTTGCTTATGTAGCTTCAAATTCTTAACAAGATTGCTCAATCTCATCCGGGACTCGCGCCTCTCAAATGAACCTACAAAACACTCACTTTGTTTTTAGGTCCCGTTTCCAGCGTGTACCCTGATCATACATGATCATACGGTATGTGAAGTAGCTAGCATGTCCCACATCACGTGGCAAGACATGAGTGACATGAGTAAACAAATGTTTTTTCATATGTTTCATGTTCTGTTTATATTGGCCCCATTTGGCCCCCATCACGGTCCTCAAACTGTTTGTGTTGTTTCGGATTCCGAACCCCCAGAAGTACCGATGTTCTCACCAGCCGAGGCGCGTGCAGATCTACTCCCTCACCCTCGCCCTCGCATTCATTGCAACACGCCAAACACGGTTGCATCTTGGTGACAAGACTTGTCACAGCTTCAACAGCTGCCACACCATCCCGGGATCATGTCTTGAACCAACGGCTGAGGGCACCATTTAGGAAAGAGCTGTCTGTGATGGCTTTAATAAATCGTGGTGAAACCATTGTTCCAATGGACCCCAATCTTCAAGGCACAACTCACCCTCACATTGCCTTGCGCTACTGCCGTGCAATCTTCCTTAGAACCTTGCCCTCTAAAATATTCTAAAATTATGTGTAAATGTCTTTCTGGAAGCTTGTTCAACCAATCTCGCAAACCCGCCGACTGGTTTTATAAACAATATCCGTTTTGCCCAACCAATGCGGCTATCCCTTGTCCTTGAGATTCCACTCTTATTGATGACGTCATCAGGACTTCGTCTTCTGGGACACTTCTGAAATAATCCCTAAAAATGGCCAATCTTAGACACGTTGCCCCCAAAAAGCAGCACACTCAATAATAAACCATCCCAAATTTTGGATTGTAAACTGACACTCCAATGGCTGGTTACTGCGATGTTTATATTATAGCATTGAGTTTATATGAATTTATGTTTATAGGGTGTCATTTGTACTCTTTACCCACCTGCACTCAAGCCGTTTGGGCCCCCGGTCCAACACAAGGCACAGCCTTCGGGCGGCCATGAGCTTCCGCCGGTGCTGAAACCAGGCCACAATCACCTCGGCGATTAAGACTGAGCGCTGAGGCCAAAGATATGCGATGATCACTGGGTTTCAGGGAGCCAGTTGCCAGTGGCTTTAGGAAATGCGAGGATCACCACAGCTTGCACTTGAACGGTTCACAGGTGGAGGTTTGTCCATTCTCAATTCCAACTAATTATATATCACATGGTGGAAATTGAGGTTGGCGGTCATTGAGGCCTTTTATGGCCTCTTGCAACAAGTGCAAATACATCACAGGTATTACCAATGGTGTCTTTCATTTTTTTCATCCAAATATGGATCTATCATGATCTATCCATCGATCGGCCGGATCCCACCTCTCGAGGCCCTTGGAGTCCGCAGCGCAGCCGCATTGCCTGCAGCGTTCATGGGACGATCGAAATGACATGACGACATCATGACGACATCATGACGACATCATGACGACTTTACCGGTTGTTTGAGCCAACAAAGCTTGAGAAATAGGCGCTCTGGTTGGAGCCGCTTCAATTGTAGGCGGTAATATGTTTTTGGCTTAATGTAGTCAATCTAAAACTCTCATTGAACCCTCAAACGCACCAATTATTCATTATTAAAGAGAGGGGCTTGTTGGCAGCGCTGGAAAGTGGGCTTTCCACATGCTCTTGTATCCTTTGGGAAATGGTCATAATCAAATAGGATGTTTGAAGGTGGAGGCCTGACCCAAAGAAAAACACATATTCAGCTGTAAAATGCACTCCTTTAGAACAATGGTAGTCATTAGGTTCAAAATGTAACAAATTCCAAGAAGAAATTCCACCCTAGAAGAGAAAACATGATTTAGCTCCACTTTGATGCATTAGGTGCAACAAAATATGTATGTAAGTAACATAAAATGCACAATTACAGTAAATAAGTTCAGGTCATGTACTTCTCATAAACACTAGTTATCCTTGTTTTTTGTGTGGCAAACATCAACACTACTACACTACTGTCATGTTTCCATATCATTGTGATACAATACCACATTCTTTTTAAACAAATTATGTCTTTGAAACACAACCTTAATTCATCTACAAGGCCTATTTCAACAGTTAGAAAATTAAGGAAACTCCCTAGTGTTTTCAAACAGGTGCGGAAGTACATAATAATTATAATGTTGAATGGGTTTGAGCTGTGCAGCGCAGCAGTTGACCAAAGAAAATGCAACACATTGAGCTAAAGGCAAAATTGGAAACAATATCAGGCAATGCAGTTTTTTTCACTTGCTTTCATTGCCCAAAGAGAAATATATGTATATAGCCTATTAAGTTGTATGCCTGTGCTACATTCCCAGCAAACAATGCTTTGAAGAAATGAGGTTCTTCAAAGAAGTGCAGTTTTCCTTACAAAGCATCCACTTCAACCAAAAATGTTGTTCTCTTTTGCAAGCTGGTGGTTGCTTTCGAGCTAGTCAAGTGTTTTTTTTCAGGAAGAAATCTTGTGAAGATTGGGTTCTGTTTTATTTAAACAAATGTGTTATCATGTGTTTTCTACGATGTGTATTGCGTTCTAAAGTGTAGTATTCCTGTCTTCTTCCTTTATCATGGTAACATTCCTTCAGGCAGATGCTGTTTTCTTCAAAGGTTGAATGATTAACTTAAAGTTGCAATCGCAATTATACAGTTTAGTTTAAACAACAGAAACAATATTGTGTCAAAATATGCAGTGAGTGTGTCCTTTAAAGATGTAACATTCCTCTCAAAGAAGCTCAGCGCGTCTTTATGTTTGAAAGTAGCACCATTTCTTTAAACAAATATAATATAACACTCCTTTCAAAGAAACCCAGCTGCTATCTGTTTGGAAGGAACACCATTTGTTTGAAGGAAAGGTTTTACTCACCAAAAAAAATGAATCAGCTGCATCTTTTGAACGTTACATCATGATTTGAAAATATGTAACAATCGTTTCAATCACACCATTTCTTTGCAAATATGTAACACTCCTGTCAAAGAACTCCAGCTGCGCTCTACTGGGACAGGAACACCATTTATTTGAAGGAACGGTTTCCTTCACCAAATACAATTTTACATCCCCAAAGGCTTCACACCTGAAAAGGAAAATTGCACATCCCCAAGGAATATTGCGCATGTTTAGCATACAATATGTTGTTTTTTAAATAATGACTTGACAAGAATGCCTTGGGGGCAAGATGAATCAGATTTGGTTTGGATTAATCCAGATTAATCCAAAGAAATCGGAAACCCAAAGACCAAAGAAACAAAAAAAAACAACAAAAAACAATGTTTTCCAGACTAGTCTGAACATGCCTAGATCCAAGTAGTCCCCAAAACATTTTTTTTTGGGGGGGGGTTATTTTTGGATGGATAAGCACTCTAAGCTCTATTTCCATTAGAAATGGCTTGTGTATGGACAGCACAAGGCCAATATTGTTTTAGATTTTAGACCATGAAATGCATTTGGGGAAAAAATGCCTTTTCTGCATTTCTAATAGAAAAGGCTTGTGCATGCACAACCCCCCCAAAAAAAAGAAACAATATTACTTCAGATCATGTCATATATTGGCAAAACAATGAATATGTAGAAACAATTGGTGATTTCAGCGCTGGCAACAAACCTTTCTGTTATTAAAATAAATAATCCAAAAGATTGATTTGCACCCAATATGCCGATGTAGTTTTACGCGATTGCTGTGGGACTCCTCTATAAAATTCAAACTTTAAGCATGTGTGAAGGGTGCTTTCCAGCAGTGACTTAACAGGGCTAATTTGAGATAGTTACTCTCCAAAAGTGTGATTCTATCAGCTGGGCATGAAAACATCTCTACTATCTCCACTCTTGTCCACCAAGCAAATAATCTGTCAACCTTCCTCTTCATCAGTATCAACAAATATCATCCCAAATATCCCAAGTGTGCTTTCTTCTCCACCTGTTTTCCTCTTTTTGCCCATATCTTCGGGGTAGAAATGACCACAATAAGGTGCCACCACGCCTCCGCCTGCCCCTTGCGCGCGCCCCGCTGGCGGCCCTGCCGTGCCCAAGCGTCGAAAAGCTGCAGCAGCCGCGCCCGGGCGCGGTGCTGCAGCTCCGTCATCTGGGCAACGGATGGCAACGGGGCAGAATGGTACCCTAAAATAGCTGGGTAATGGAGGGTTATTCCGCCCAATGATAGCAATAGGTTTTGAGCCATACCCAAATCCGATTTTTTTTGTGGGAATTGAGATGTTCAATCTTTTTTTCGGTGCCGCTCTCCGGGAAAATACAGGTGGCTGGGATTTCCACAATCTAAATTGGCATGCATTGAAATGGGACAACATCGAGCGAAGGGGGATTTGATGATAAGGGTGTTTCGAAGGTTCAATGAAACAGAACACATTCCATATGAAACCATATTTTTTTATTGTAGGGGTTTTCTTCTGATTCAAAAAATAGCTTCATTCATTCATTCCATTCCATTCCATTTCATTGATTTGTTCGTTCGTTCGCTCGTTCAGTCATTGAGTCATTGTTTCATTCATGCATTGTCCCATTCATTATTCCATTCACGCATTCATTCATGAATTCATGAATTCATTCATTCATTCATTCATTCATTCAGTCATTCATTTCATTCATTCATTCATTCATTCATTCATTCGCTCCCTCACTCACTCACCCATTCATTCATTCATTCAGTCAGTCAGTCAGTCATTCACTCATTCATTCACTCAATCGCACGCTCCAGCTCCCATTCAATCATTCAATTCAATCATTGATGCATCTTATACCAACAACTCATTCCATGCGCTGTGCATGCTGCAGGCCTTCTTACGGGCCATTGGTTTCCTCTAATCGCTACTTTTGTTCCGAAACTTCTCATATGAAATGATGATCATCACATATCAAATGCTCACACAAAGATGATATGCATGCTTTTCACGAGGTAACAAAACCATTGACAACCCATAATCAAATACCTGGGTATATATAATTACATATATATATGTATGTATGTATGTATGAATGTATGTATGTATGTATGCATGCATGTATGTATGAATGTATGTATGTATGTATGTATGTATGTATACATGCGTGAAAGCTGGCTAATTGGTTGGTTGGGGACCATGCCAACAGTGGGATGCACAGGTATGGCCCAAACATCATCGGAAAAAAATATCTGCCAAGTTATGGAACATGCGCGGCTTGCATGGATCGGGGAGTACCAAGGGTGCACTCCAATAAATTGGTTCATACAAGCAACATCTCTTCATGACATTATGGCATCAAATCGGTGTCACATACGGAGACATGTTGCCAAAATTAAGGATCTGTTCTGAGACTTGTAAGGAGCGTATTACTTATTATTGCTGTTCTTGAATAGATGGAGACGACCCCGAAAGAAAGGTTTGCCAGTTGAAAAATCATCAAAACAAGTTCGCACAAATTTTGTGGCATGGCATGGCTGATTCCAATCAATAATTTTGAATTACAATTACAGTATACCTCGGTAGTCCGTTGGCATACTTTGGGTTGGGGGTGCCCCTGAGGCCAAATCAAATCCCCGTCTGGATCAGCATCGAATGCATCTATATCACCTGGGTGTGTCTGAAAACGGGGCATATGTGGCATAGCCCGACAATCTATAAGATTATAAATTATAATAATATAATATATAGATATAGATATAGGTATATATATATCAATTCATGGGGAATATGATGATTGACTCTCATCTGTCCACATCTCTCTTCAACCGCTGTTCTTGAGACTTTGTAGCCAGTTTACCGCATCAAGGTGGTAGAAATCTCTCTTTTTTCACGGCAGGTCTCTGTTGGAATCATTGATTCCCGCGCTGATTTTCAGCGGACAGTCTTTTTGGTGGGGCCGCAAGCTTTCTGTTCAGGAGTCCGCTACTGCCAGCAGGGTTCACAACTGGTGAATATTGTCCGGTGTCACTTGGGGAGCATTCTAGGTTACAGGAGATTCTGTACGGTAGAATCAGTAGAACGTGGCAAAGGACTGTCATTCTAAAATATGATTGATGTATATTGATGTACAGTAATTAAACCAGATTAAACCAGGGAGACATTTTGAGGACATCGCATTCTGGCCCATTTTTTTCTGTTTTGAGATGCCTTGAAGAAGGTGCTGCCATTCCTCCCAAGCCGTGCATCCGAATGTCGAAATCTTGCCACCGCTTCATGGCAACCCAGGTGTGGGCAACGTGATGCCACCAATTTACTGCGTGTTGTCCGTTTTATCCTCCTGTATCCTTCCAACACCTCTCCGAAATGATTAAGTTCAAAACATAGGCCCATCTTTTTTTAATGAGGGATGTACCATTTTAAAAAAAATGGAACTGTCAATCATCATTTGGGGCACCCTTGGCCAATAACCTCTGAAATACCATCCTGGAAACACGGTTCCGTCTTTTTGAGGCTACTATGATCTTAGAAGCATCAATTTTTATTGGATTCATGCATATCATACAAGGTGTGGCCCCACAGTTATACTGGTATATCTTGGATCTATACATCGCATATTGCAGGGTAGCATTTCTGGGACAATGTAGCCTTATTATGCCTTATCCTTCTGATGCTCAATTTGGTTTATCAATTATAAAATTGGTATTGGCCGAATCCTCATTTTCTGTTGCTTAAATTCCCATTTTGCTGGCACATCAATCCCTGCTTTCTATGTTGAGCCATGTTGAACCAGCCCCAGAAGTCGAAAAACTTCATCATCAATAAATTTCAAAATGGGAGTCTCAAAACCCGAACAAGAACAAATTCGACCAAAAGAAAACGCGCATCAAGCTTACCATGCTTATCTGTCACATCCTTTTCACCAAGGTGTACCAAGCTCCAGTCCATCACCTGGGGGCTACCGCCTGGACCGCCTGCCGAGCTCGACCCTTGGCCCAACGCTGCAGCAATTCGGCCCCCGGCTCACCCAAGAGACGCCGAAGGATGTCCATGGCCGAGGTCATCTCCTGCAATGGGGCAGCGGCCCCTGGGGCCTTAGCCTCAAATGTATGAAGCCTTTTTTAGCCTGTCGTCATTTTGTGAAACTTTTCGAAATGAATGGATAATTCTCAGGGGCAAACTGTTGGGCCGGAGAATGATGGCTTCGTAAACTGGAGATGAAAGGGGTTCGTAAACCTTAAATAACCACAGTGATGCAGTATATGTTATACATAATATCTGTGAGGGTGCACATGTATATGCACATATGTGAACATGTTCGTACATTTTTCAGATAACCCGCATGGATTGGGGCTATGAAGCAGCTAAGTGTATGCTGTGCCGATGGCCTTCCCAGTCAGCCGTGGGGCCGTTTGGTTGCCAAGCAGGATGTGAAACATGTCTCCATGGCATAACCGGCATAACCCACCCAACCAAAGGTTTACCTAAGAGTCCCAAGAGTATTCAAGTCAAAAAAAGAATTCAGGGCCAACGCGGGCTCTGACTTACTTTTTGCATGCTATTGCGTCATGCTTCAAACATCTTCAAACGCTATGGAAAGCGAAAAACACCAAAATTATTTCCGACAGAGCCTTGAATTGCAGGCAAATGGTACTGTATCCATGCCGAATGAATAATTGGGTTGCAGTAACACCATTCATCTTGTTCCCCATCTCACCGCCTCACCGCGACAAATGAGCCAAATGGTGCGTCGCAACAGCCTGAGATTTGCGTCTGTGGGGAGTTTCCTGGGAAGGGAACTGGGGGAACGATCAATTTTTGTAGCTCTCTGGCCGCTGCGGTCATTGCAAGGATGCTTCAATTTTCCCAAATGGGGGTGTCCATAAATGGGAACCCCCAAAGTGGTTGGTATATAATTTAACATTTTACGCAAATGTATGACAGCATGATTTAGGGGTATACCACCATTTTAGGAAACCTCCATTTCAAGATCATGACTTCCCATGAATTATATTCGCAAAATTCCCACGGAAAATCTCAGGGTACGTGCCACCAAAGAGCTCACGGCATTGCACCTGCTTGGGGCATTCCACCAGAACATATTTTACTTCTTTAACCTCAGAAGACGTCGTCTCTCAGGAATTAAAAATCGATGTGCCAGCTATGGAAACCAAGTGTTGATCAGCAACTTTGCTTGATACCCGTATCCGAGGTATATATATATATACAGTATATGTATATATATACAGTATATATATATATATACAGTATATATATATTATATGGAAACGGTTTGCTTGAAACTTGAACCAGTTTTTTGTTGGCTTGCGTATGGGTGTGTCATGGCGTGTCTGGAAATGGGTGCCCCCAAAACATTTTCTCCATTCAAATTGCCCTTTGCCAAAGCTTGCATGACCAAATGCACATGACTTCACCTTATTGAGGTCTGTTTTGAATGGTTGGGGCTTAAACGTGTTTGACCCATCCCCATGTTGAACAATGTGGGTACGGAAATGGAGAATACCCACCAAAATTGCATTGCAATATTATTGTTCATCGAGAAAATGTGAAGTAAGCACTGGATGGTGAGGTATCCTTTTGCCAAACCAACCAAAGGTAAAACCGAGCTGCAACTGCAAAGGGCGAGACGTCAGGCACCTTGCCATATGGATCAAAGGGCACACGGTGCGATCCATCCATTTGACGTGGGTGGAGGCTCCAAAGTGTGTCCTCAGTGGCCGAAACCATCCGAAACCGTCGTTTTTCCCCACCCTGTGAGGGATGGTTACAGACCCTATATACTCATTTCAAGCGCTGTATCAAACCTCCTACACAGGATGCTGACATAGCGGATATATCATACAGCAATGTAAAATAAAAATCACCCCCCCTAAATCACCATAAATGGCTAGCATAAACTTATAAACCATCAAAACATGGGTGCTTTATTTATTGTTTCACCAACATTCATATCATATCTACAGTGGCCCTGGCAGTCATTGGAGATCATCCTCCAATGGTCCAAGCCAGGGTAGCCAGGGAACTTCATCATGGACTTCGAGGACTTTTGTGTCATAGCCAGGGTCATACAAACGACTTCGGGTGTACTCACCTCGGTTGCCATGGCTTGAAGCGCTTGGTGATGGTTGCTATAGCTGCTATAGGTTGCTGGGATAACTATGTGATGGGACAACTATGATTTGATATCCAGAAAGGTATCAACAAACAAATATATATATATATGTGTGTGTATATCGCATTATATGGCATATATATATATATGAACCACCATTGTTTATAGATAGCGGGAAGGGACATGGACCGGCAACCAACTTATTCATGGTCATTTTGAACCAAGGTTTGTAATGATCATGAGGTTCGTGGGGGATGGCTGCGTGGGAAAGGACCAGTAATTCGTATGTCTGCTCACCTTCATTTTTTTGGCGATAGACCATGATGATTCTCATAGAAAAAAAAAATATATATATACAAAATATACATGAGTGCACTGGTTGTGTTATCAGTTTCCTGCATTTCCCACACATGTTCCTTGCATGTTTTCAGTTTCCCAGTTTTGCAAATATCTCCGATGCCCAGGCCTACGGCTGGACCCGGACCAAAACCGATGATTTCGGGCAGATTTTTCCATATAATTCCATACACCAAGTCATTGAGGAAAAACCAGCCCCAAGGAATCTCCACTTACCGATAAATATCGATAAATCTCCAGCCCAAACTTCAAGTTGCCAAAGTTCTGAATGTTTCCCATGGTCCAACCATGACCTAGTGACTGAAGTAGTCCAGCAATTTGCCAGGGGCGTTTGCCAGGCAGCCTTCTTGACCTCAGGGCAGTCTAGGTTGTCCCTGCTGGAAGCCAGACCTTTCCAGAGAGAGAACTGACAAGAAGCAACCAACAACAACATGAATCACTAGTAGTAGATAGACATGTTCGCGGACATATTTATAAATAAATACGTAAATGCATGTGTAAGTATATCATATGTAGATATACTGTATGTGGGATGTGGATGTATAATTTGTGTGTGAGTAATCATGGGTTCAACAACATGGATCATACTAGTAGACCTAATCCCATCCCCCTAATACCCTAATACAAAACTACCTCCAATCGTGTCCCTAAAAAATGATTCCAATAGTAAAGCGGATTTTTTTGTTGGTGTTCTATCATAAACTAAGGGGAAGAGATGCTATGCAGAGCAACGTGTGTGCGTGTGTAAGTTCTACATGCCTATCTACCATATGGGACGGGCAAAGCTAACACTTCACCAGGGTTTCTGTCTAGTTGTCATTAGGGCAGGGATCTATTTACTGAAACAATCAGACTCCGTTACTCCGTTCATGTTGTTCACATTTGTTCACCCTAGATCCATCGCACTCCACATGTTCAGCTCATGCAAGTGGCAGTTGTCCATGAGGATCCAGTCCTGGAGACGGCGGTAGATGTGGTTGACACCAAAGTTGCCAAAGAAAACGCAACCATCCAACACTTGGGTTTGCTGAAAAATAGGACATTGAAACCCACGAAATTGCATAACTTGGGGCCAAAAACCAGAAATCCGATCCAACCATTTGCCCCGGCGACTTTGATGCGATTAAATCATCTCAAGTCAGGATAGAAGTCATGGCATCCCCATGGCTCAAAGCCCTAAAGCCTTTCAACAAATTATCTTGTCTACATTGTACATATTTCAACGTATGCGCAATATACATGTATGCGTATCAATATGTGCTCATCCATTTGTGTGTGCGCATAGCAATGACAAAATAATGGGAGTAACAATGGCAGACATATATCATATATATATAACTAAAGAATATGTTTGAAACATAGGGAAACCCTAAGCAATAGTACCATATTGTGCTCAAAAGCAAATCTTCTCTGACCAAATCTCTCGTAGATAAGAGGCTCCCGCCTGTTCCGCTTGTTCAATCACACTTTGAGCAATAGACATGCGGAAGTCGAAGGGCAGTTGAACCTGTAGCTGTAGCTGTTATGAGTCAGACATAGCAAGACTTCGGGCCAGCAACGCACGCGTGAGTCTGAAAATAGATGAAAATAGCATGTATAGATCCACCATTCTGTGGCAATTTTAAATGGGACATATGGGCGGAAATGATCCTGCACCAGTGGATGACATGGGCTATGCAGCTATCTAACCTATCTTCAGACGAGCCAAATGAAGCAAACTAACCGTAACCAAGCACCTCTACAGATCACCATGTTCACCACTAAAATTTGTGATCTTTGGGAATCTGTCTGCGGGTGATGGGTATAGTATTACTAGACCCATTTTAACTATGTTGGGTGTGGTTGGTTCTGTGCCCCATGATATCCCATGATTTTTCTCTAAATCATGGGATTGATATCATGCTACCCATAGGATCCATGGTGCTGATATATATATATATATATGGTAACATTTACCATCCATACACCTCAAATGTTAGCATTAATATACCAGCACCATGGATCCGATGGGTACTAACTCATAATACTTCCATGATCTGAATCCTGAAATCCCAAGCAACTGCAGGTCGTTCGCTCTCGAAATGCTTGGCCAATGCGGTGCTGCTCCAGGGAATCACTACCTGGTCCCCTTTTTCCACCCTTTTTTTAAGGGGGTTATTGAAACCCCTGTTTTGGGGATCCCCAACTTTAAGAAGCACCCGTATATTATATATATATATGTATGTATATACATATATATATATATATATAAATGTGTGTGTATATCTTACAAGCATCTATAATTTAGAATATCTATCTATATATATATACCCTCCGCTGTCATCAAACATGGCAAGCTGGGAAATAGCCGAATTAAGTGGAGGCTTATAGCTGGGACAATCAACTAAAATTGGGGATTGTCCATTGCCATCATGGGTTCTGGAAGAGTTTACTTGCGTTAGTAAAGCAAAATATTATCCACCATCAACAAAAGGGGGACATAAACCATCGAAATATGGATGGGGTAAGACATTGCCACTGCCTTACTAACACGACCAAAGATGGCCAAGTGAAACAGAAAGAGAACAAACAGAGAAACAAATATTAACAGGTCAATACTAGAACATGTCATTTCGAAGTGACAACCTCTCGAAATGAACTAAGGGTGATGGTCATGAACTCTGTCCCAAGATGCATCGCGATCATTAGGTCTGTCCAGAATTGGGGAGACTTCAAATCATTGGTAGTTTGGCCTGAAACAAAGCACATTGTTGTTTTTTTGACTGCGCCCTCCACACGCACATTGGTTTGAGGGTGCCTAATTATCGACGCAGCTAACTTGTTTCGAATCATAATTGGGTCACAAAAAATGGCCCAAAAAAACTGTTTGGTGCAGAGTACAGGCAGGTTGCAGGCAGTGTTTCCTAGTCTCATGCCTCCTTCAAAAAAGTCGGGTAGTTTTTGAACCTCCCGGAAAATCAGAGATTCATTGGGGATCATGGTCCCAATTCGTCCATTGAGTAGTGAGTATATAAACCCAATTCAACGTTTCAATGATTGCGAACCTCCACCTATATACATATATAAATATAGTAAAAAATATGCATATATATATATACACACATATGCATATATACATAGTATATAGTAAATTTATATATGGTCTGGTATGGTATGGTATCTGCAGATCCCCGAAGAGGCCAAGCCATGCCAAGCCACAGCCCCGGCCACCACCACGCGGTAAAAGGCTTCCACCGCTTGCCGGGCTCGCCTAAATAGTGTGTTAAATGTATTTAGATGTTGGCACACCCCCAAATATACTACATCCAAATATTGGTTAGAAAATCTGCAGGAAAGAAATAACATATCTGTGAGGTATATACACATATATAAACAAACCTAGTTTCCTGCAGTTTTTCTTGCAAACAAAGCGTTCATCTTTCAATCATGTCCAAACCCAAGTGTTGGGGTTCTGGACCAGCCTAGCTGTCTATCTCTTTTTGAAGATCGGTTTTCGATTGTTTTCGGTGAAACTGCGATTTCTCCGCTGCAAGTGGTGACAACGGACACAAAGTATCCCAAGCCCCTTGGCTATCCATGGCTGGCAATGATGAGCCTGGGGTTACAGTGATCATCAGTGATCACTGATCACCACGCATTTCATCATTAGTCAGTTACATCTGGCAGGTGGAACATGGTGGAACTGTGTGAGACAATAGATAGATAGAGAGAGAGAGAGATATATATATATATATTATACACACACATAGCCACACACACACACATATATATATATATAAACAGCGGAGTCTGCAGAAGCCAGGCAGTTCCTGAGGTCCTGCTATCTTGCACATCCCATATCTCTCTCAATGGCTTTGTGGGAAAATCTGCAGGCAACACATCTGGGAGTCCTGTTCATTTATGGTAAAATCACACTGAACATATGAAATGAGGCTTCGGCATCCTCCTTGGTACAACAAGCACACTCTCTATGATGATTTTCGATGTTGAGAAAAACAGGTGTTCTGTCGCGAGGTTGGATGAGATCACCCCCCGTGGCCTTAGCATCAGGATATGCTCCATGTTGAGGGGGTTGCAGGGTGAGATATACAGCAGCACCACCGCCGTGAGGTACAAAGGCCTCTTGCTGCTCGTGGCTGAACAACGCTGAGAAAACTAGGATGGAACCATCATGGTGGTTCCAGAGTGCCCCTTCAAAGGTACTTATCCTCCAAAACAAATGAGGTGCGGAGGTTTTAATGATTTTAATGTGAATACCAGCCGCTACTAGATCTACTAGCCCCCACCACTCAACATTTCAAACATTTTCAAACCTCCACATTTGGAATCTAGTTGCAGGATGTTGCAGGATGTTAGGATGTTGCGGCTCCACCTCCGCCCTGGCCTGGACGGATCTTCCGCTGGCGGCCGCTCTTCCCGCAGCAAGTTCTCGATGCTCGGCGCCGCGTGCGAGTGCGACTCCGCCTCCAAGATCCTGCGCATCTTGACCTGGAGCCATGGGACCTGCTGTTTATGAACACTTGAAAAATCACTTCTACTGGTAAAAAATGGTAAAAAAATGAAAACCCAACTTATCTAATTGGAAACATCTAAAGAAGTAAGGGACATTTGGAACAGTCAAGAAGATCATTGATGATGAATGGTAGGGGCCCAGAACCTTCACGGATCTGAAGGGAAGAAACATGTCTGGGTCCCTTTCTGTGAGATGCTCATGTGAACTCAAGCCGCAATGCCGTTCAAGCACACGATCTTGCGGAGGAGTCGTGAGCGGTCTTGAGACGCATGTTGCACTTGTTCAAGCTGCCACCCATCAATCACTACCGCTTGGCTTTGGGGGACGTGCGATTGCAGACTCATGGAGTTCTTATCCTGGCCGAGGTTTAGCCACTACCAGCCTCTTTTTCTGCAGCCAAATCACGCACTGTTGGTTTGCATTGCTGTGGATGGTGTCCCAAACACCTCACAGAGGCTTTGATTCATCCCTGTAGCAAACCCATCAGTAAACCATACTTAAACTGCTCAATTATAGCGAATGTGGAATAATGCTGCGGGTCATCTTCCCATGTTCCATGCGCACCATCACCGTCGATCATCGTGGCGGTGGCAGTTGCCGCCATATCTGGCCCAATTTCTACAAGGCACCCCCTACAAACATCCCAACAAATTTGGGGCAGCATCAATCCCTATGTCTATATATGTCTATATATGTCTATATATGTCTATATATGTCTATATAGCAGTGATCCCAGTGGCTGGTAGACCCCCGGTAGCGCCGCGCAGGAGCCGAAGTAGGGTTACTCAGCAGGTCCGAGCGAAGCTGTTCCAGGGCTTGGATGCTCCTGCGGATCAATGTAGATCAACGGGGTTTGGAAAATCCACGGTTTAAAGCATTTGTCCCCAAACCATGGTTTTCCCCAAATGTAGGGTCTTCCCGTAAATATTTCCCATCAGAACCAATCCTATGAATCAATGATCACTGGTGGTTTGGGGCGAGGTGGCTTAGATATGCTTAGATTATCTTCAAATGGTCAGCCACTTGAGATTGACTAGCTTCAGGCCTCTCAATTGGAAACCCATCTTCTGTAATTACCTTGGCCGGCGCTTGGTGAACATCTTCCATGCCATTTTACATTCGAATTAATTTCCACTTCAATTGTTTGATTTATCTGTTTAGGTCCTTGATCCTAAGTTTTGACCTAAATATAGATGGATAATAGTTCCTTGCATTGTGGATCTGCATAAGTCAATCTGGCCACACAAGCGAAATGGTAGCGCAAATCGAATGACCATGGCTTGGCTGTTGCGAGCAACAGCAGGACTTCAAGCAAACCCGAGTCCCCAGTGAAATGTGGTCCTTAGACTTCCTTGAATCCAAGATGCAAACTGCAAAATGGTTTGGTTCATTTTTCCCTTCATTGAATACAGGACATATTGATATGTCTTGCGAGAACTATCCAGAATCCTTGGAAGTTTCTAACAGCAAACCATCTGGGTTTCCAGAAAGACTCTTCCGTACCTTCTGATGCTCGAACCATCGCTTACCTTTGAAATACCATTGAAAGCAAAGATGTGAATGCTTGTAAGGTGGTGCTGCAGTTGGTTAGCTAAGTCGCTTCATATCTACCAAACCTAGGCTTCATGGTGAGAAGGAAGTAGATACTTAGGGGGTTATAGACCAACAAACAAACTGGGGGGGGCACCACCTTTCCATATGTTCTCAGATGTGCCATATCTGCCGCTCCAAAATTCCAACAAATCACCATATGCTTGATGGCTACACTCCTGTAAAATAACGTTAGATGTGGAAAATTCCACCATTCTTGTTGGGTCATTTTCCTAGGGGAACCATGGGTTTCCCACATCTTTTGTTGTGTTTACCCCAGTTTGCAATCTCATCTCCACTTTCTGATGAGTTTTTCCGGGGCTCCTGCGTCTTGGCACAAGACTCTGTTGGTGGGACAGCTGCGGGCTCACAGGTGAGCGCGAAACCTCCTTCCGAGGTTTCCAGAAATGGGGGATCCACGTTTCTGGATGATAATGGCAAGTCCCAAACAAAAATCGATGATTTGGGGATACCATGGGATAGCTATATTTTGGGAAAGCCTGAGCTGAAGGTCCCATTGGGTAAATTCCGTGGAATTTAGGAAGTATAGGTTATATAGCACCATATAGCACCAGCTAAATGTGGACAAACCCTGCTTAGCCAATTTGCTAAGTGGGATAAGCTACGAGGTATAGAAATGGATGGTTGGTGGAAGAACCTGGCTTTAGACAGAAAATATATACGCAATGTTAATGGGGAACATGATGATAAACGTATAAACATATTGTATGTATGTATATAAATATATAAACAACTAAAGGTTGGAGGATCACCTCGCGAAAGTATCACTTGACACCTTTGACATTAATTCTGTTGTGCGGATGTGGATCCTACTTATATAGTGGTTTACCGGTTTACATCTCAAATATATGCAATGTAGAATGAGTCCAACTGAGAATACCCCATACTCCCTACAAAACTATGTGTGTATGTATAATATATGTATATATATATATATATTATACATCATGATTCATGATGTAATACATATATATATATATATACAAATAAATAACATGCAACTGGATTGTAATACCACTACTTCCCATCTTCCCCACCTCTTTGCTTTCATGCACTTCGTCGCGCTCGCGGGAACCCCACCTTTCCAGCAAATGTCGGCATTTGAATGGGCCAAATCATACCCATGAAGCCGTGCAGCATTCTCCCCCACCGTTGGATTTCTGGGTTTAAAATGGTTTCAAGATATATGTTTGACATTGTTCATTGTTTGACCTGATAAACTGGCCAAGGACAAGTAAAAATTAGTGAAAAAACGACTTAATTAGTCTTACTGATGTTGATGGTGCATACAAACCGTGGGTTGGGGCATTAACCGCGCCCATGTTTTGCGACCCGGGTTTTCCTGCGAATTCTCTTTTCCATGAAAAAAACAAGAAAAAACAAGGATATTATAACAATGTCTACCACAACGCAGTGCTATGGACCCAAGATGCTGCAGTGCCATGCAGTGCCAAGATGCTCTCTCAACTTGTCATGGGGTTTTTCAAAGCGAACTTGCGTCTCCCAGCGCTTTGGCTGTCGTGTGGAAGCGGTCAAATGGACCACCTGCAGTCGGCCGCATGTGTATATATACGATATGAATTAATCACGTATAATATACGTATATATGATTATACATACAACATCTCTCTCTCTCTCTCTTCCTTTTCATTTGCACAATATATTGTTTTTTTTGATATACGACATATAATGTATGTGTATATAGTGTGTATATATATATATATATATGTGTGTGTGTAAAATAGGATTGCATAGGTGCGTGATGGTGCGTGTAGTATATATTATATATACACACTGACACATATTGCAAGCCATTGATGCCGGCGAAATCTACGCACATGTCTATCCAGCTAACGATCTATAATTATATCTCTCTCTTAATCTCAATCGGTATGTCTCTATGTTTTGTGTTTTTTTTGCCATGCAGTAATTCTACCAACCAGCATGGGCGTGGACAAAAAAACCAACCATCTGATGCCTTCCCATCTCCAGCCCGCACGGCTGGCAGATATTGCCGCTTCTCCGGTTGCGCAATGAGCCCCGCAGCAGCCCAGGGCCCTCCCGCACCACTGGAAGTGGCTGGTCCTTGCTGATGGCTGCGGCGCAGGCCGCATTTGTTGCGGGGGCTGTAGGAGATCTCCCGCACATAGCCGCGGGGCATCACAAAAACATGGCCAAGGGAAGGATTGCCAAAGCCAATGGCGTTTAACAGCTTTTGCTTTGCAGCAACAGAAAGCACCACTGTGAAAATCGTTCAAGCTGTACATGCCCATTAGACTTCAACATCACCCTGCCATGTCCATCCCAACATAAACCTGGTTCATAGTCACAAGCCTATTGGAAGACCAAGTGGAATACTCCTTCCGACTATTATGGATGGACAGGTCTTAAAAATAGTTTCCGTACACTCCATCCACCCAAAATCAAATCCAAACTTAGCTTGGTGCTTGAAAACCGGGAAAAACCGGGAAAAATGGACTTGGTGATTGGGGTTGTATCTTTCGCCTGATCTTGAGATGCATGACAGCCAGCTGCCACAAGATCCGGACCCCTCAGGGGTGGGCAAGCTTGGAGCCACAAGATCAACGGCGGCTGTCCAGGCTCCTCAAATGGATACATAGACCCTCCAAGTACCAAGAATCAATTGGTTAAAACCCCCAAATCATAAGTAGGTAAAAACCTCATGTTTCCAGGTACTTGCTGGATCTAGGATGATCTAGGTATATGACATGATAACACTATTCCCCACAAACCGGACATGTCGGAAAAAAATAGATACTTTGGCAATCAGTGTTGCAGCTGGTTCATTTCAATGATTTGATTAGGCCTCATCAAGCTGGCTGGGTCCATCAATCCATGTCTGTTGGGTGAGTCACCCCATTCCCCCAATCCTACAGTAGTTAGTAGTTGACGATGGGCGCCGGTTCCTTTCAGCGAGGCAAGAGGCCAAGTATGGCAGCAACCCAAGTGGCAGCGGTGTCTGGCCAATCTGGACATTAAATCGGTGAGGAAGGGACGAGTCGAACCAAACAAAGCAGCAAAATGACCAGAATTCAACACCAGGCATATCATTTAGCTCATCTTAGACACACATCAAAGCGAAAGAACATTTTCAACGTTGCCGTTGTCCTCACTGAAGTTCCAAATAATACGCAAAATGTGGCTGATTGGTGGTTTCAACCAACAGCAGTTGGATCCCCTATGCACCCCAAAATGTGGGGTTATTCGACATCAAATTCCTATATTCATGTGCAGGTCGTTATAGCCTGTTAACCATGGGGGCAGAAAAGGAAACCACCGACCAGGTACTAACATATAGTGCCCAGAACGGGTATTCTTCTGGGGAAAAAACATGAAGGAAACCCGTGGAAATGCTATGATTATCTTGAGACTCCGGGTTTCCTCCAAGATTTCCCTTAAATCGACCTGGCAAAGTCCCCGGGATGGGCCCGAGACATTCCATGCCACAATTTTTGATGCCAGCGGCCACCGAACTTTCAAACCATAGATCATTGGATTGGTCGAAGGTAAAAACTCTGGGAAACCATGTTTTTTACACTGACAAATCACAAAGACAGAACAATCGATGGGGTTCCTGAAAAAAAATGGTGTTGGATATAGATAGGTAGATAGATGGGATAAGATTAAGATTAGGTAAGATTAGATAAGAATATGGTAACATTGAAATGAGATTAGACAAGATTAGATAAGATTGGATAAGATTAGATAACATCGGATCAGATTTGATAAAGTTAGATAAGATTGGATAAGATTAGATAAGAATCAAATAGGTGATAGATAGATAGATAGATAGATGGATGGATGGATAGAAAGATAGAAATATAGAAAGATAGAAAGATAGAAAGAAAGAAAGATAGATAGATAGATAGAAAGACAGATAAATAGACTGACAGACAGACAAACAGACAAACAAACATATAGATAGATAGATAGATAGATAGATAGATAGATAGATCGATCGATAGATCGATAGATAGATAGATAGACAGATAGATAGATAGATAGGATAGGATAAGATACGATACGATAAGATAAGATAAGATTAGAAAAGATTAGATAAGATAAGATTAGATTAGATTAGATAGAGATAGATAGATAGAGATAGATAGATAGAGATAGATAGAGATAGATAGAGATAGATCCAGATAGATAGAGATAGATAGAGATAGATAGAGATAGACAGATATAGATAGAAATAGATAGAAATAGATAGATACAGATAGATATAGATAGATATAGATAGATACAGATAGATATAGATAGATACAGATAGATATAGATAGATATAGATAGATATAGATAGATATAGATAGATATGGATACATGGATGGATGGAATGGATAGGATAGATGGATAGGATAGATGGATAGGATAGATGGATAGGATAGATGGATAGAATAGATGGATAGAATAGATGGATAGAATAGATGGATAGAATAGATGGATAGAATAGATGGATAGATGGATAGATGGATAGATGGATAGATGGATAAATGGATGGATGGATGGATAGATAGATAGATAGACAAACAAATAGATAGCTAGATAGATAGATAGATCGATCGATCGATCGGTGGATGTCTTGTCAACATGGACATATTCCTATGCATGGCGGGCATTTCCACTATAGTACAATATTAATAAATAGATTCATTGTGATTTACAAATGGAACATGGAACAAGCATGGGATTGCACCGCCAAATTCCCCGAGATCTCTCCCCAACAACATGGTCCACTCGACTGGCACCCCTTGCCGTGGCGCTGGTCTCCAGGCATCCGAGGCAAAAAACAGGACCCCCAGAGAACTGATGATCCGAGGATAGAAATCTTTCTGCTTTCTGGGTCTTCAAAACAGCGAGAATGGAATTTTCAGTTTCTTGAGCTCTTTATTTGCAACTTCTCTCGGGTTGATAACCTTAGGGCGTTACACCCTGCAATGCTGCAAAGAGATGCCCCCTAGCTACAGTAAGTTGCCTTGTGACCAGCTTCTGTTCTGTTCTGTTCTGTTCTGTTCGGTTCTTGCGCCCTGTGCACTCGCACATGGAAGCGCGGCGGCGCATTCACTCAACATAGTGTGAGTAAAAAGAAACAAAAAGTGACACATTGTGAAACCAACGGGACGGGGCTGGGCAATAAAAAGTGAAAGCTTGTGATCTGCTTAACCTTTTGGTTTATGCTGATTATAATCAGTTACTGCGTTGTTACGAGTTACAACTAATATAAGCTATATAATTTGACGGAGGATCAATCAACTTATTTTTAGAAAATGTAAGTTAGATAATGTAAATGATGTGATATCGCTAATGCATAGAAACTTGACCAGCTAAGGGGCACCACTTTGCGGAAGATTGCCATCGGAGCACTGCAATAAGGCTTCGCGGCTCATTCCGCGTGTCTGTTGTCTCAGCACTGCCCAGGTGGCAAGGAGCGTGATCAACAAGGCGCAAGTGCTGCTCCTATGGAGGAGCATCATGTGTGATCAACTTTACCACTTGATGACTTGATGCATATATGTTTTAGGAATCTTGTGTGTATATGTTTGTACCATTTATGCACGTGTATGCATATATAATAAATAAATAAACAAATAAATACATAAATAAATACATATATATATATATTATATACATATTTATGCATGTTTAAGCGCAAGATTGCGGAGGAAAATCAAAGGGAAGTGTGCGCAAATGTGTATATATATACAGTATATATATATGTATAATTATGTATATACAATATTATATAATATACATGCTGTGAGAGAGAGAGAGAGAGTGGATGCAAATGATATGTTCATGCGTTGCGAAACGTGAAAATCAAGGCCACAACACCCCCTTGTACCAAGTGAGGATTGGCCAGCAATAATTCCGCTGGTTGACGATGTTTCTTGCAAAACGAAAGTGATACCCTGCGCTTCCTTTATACCGAGCTGGCTTCACGACAATGTATCAGCAACTGGACGCAATGTATTGAGTGCAGTAACAACTCCAGGAAGCCCGCAAGCTTTTCTGGCCAACACTATGCTTTCCGGTACAGTTCCACTAGATAGAACATACCAATAAATCTTATGTGTATATATATATGTGTGTGTTAAACATAGCCCCCCCCCAAAAAAAAAAAAACAACATCATCGGATATCATTGGTATTGTTTGTCGTTGCATTTGGTGTGATACTCTGAAGCCAATTATGTTCAGATCTCGCACAGCAGTTTCAATTCACAGCAGTTTGGGGCAATCCTCGGAAACGTCGACATAGCCATAGATTTTTGACACCAACCATTACATACTATCGACATATAAATGTATCTACGGCAGTTTACCTGCATATCATAAAATATCATGATATCATTGGAAATGTATATATTTATTTATTGAATGATTTATGTATATATTCATTAGATATGAATGACATATAAACATAAGGATAAAATCAATCCAAATACAGTAATCTGATGTAATATGTACGAAACATGATAAGCTACGTGTGCCCTACTTACCCGGGTGTGACCCGGCCCGGTCACCCCGGTCACCCCCCCAGTCCTGGTGTAGAGGTCGTAGCATTCCACGCCCACACAGCCCTCCGTCTTTTGGAAGAGGAGGCTCCACAGAGGCTCGAAAATGGCCACACCCACGTACCTTGGAGATGGCTTTCTCCAAACGGGGGTGTGCCGGGGGTGATACTGGAAAATTATCCTAACTTTCTTGGTGGAAAAAAATCAGTGTTTTCCGTTTACCCACATGTTTTCCTCAACAAAATGGCATTTAATGGATATGTCCGGACATGTCATGAGGATATTATGGGATATAACTTTGATATGATATAACCAACAATTAAACATAGGCTAATGATGGGCAATGGGTTTGAGCAAAACCGGGGGTATCTCCGAAAATTGTGATTTAACAGGGTAGCTGGTTACCCTCCAGTAATACATGTAACACATAACTATGGAAAATCACCATGTTTAATAGCTAAATTCACCATGTTTAATAGCTAAATCATCGAACTAGATGGGAATAGCTATGTCAGTTTAGCAGAAAGTATTACACAGCGATAATCAGCGCCAATTGCGTGAATTAGTCGCCAATTGCGTAAAACACACAGCCCCAAGGGCATCAACCTGATCCAACAAGTTCAACAAGAACTGGACTCACTGGATTTGTCCATGGTTTTTCCCATGAATTTTTTGGGGGAAAAACCAGATGTTCCCTGCCATCAACCCCTCAACTTCGATGGAGGTGCCTCAACACATTCATTGTATAATGCTGGACCCGTTGGATATTAAATATACTTAAACATCAAATATAATAATACAATATCAATGTTATCAATAATGATTCACTGTGATTTTATTTGGATATTAATTCACGAACTTGTTCTCTTATCAAAACTATATCAACTTTGTGAAACCGATGGAATATCAGTGAAGATGATCATCGCAGGAACTTTCCCTGGGCTGCGCCGGGATACAGAAGACCGTAGATCATCCTGAGCCAAAGCCAGGCCAGGTGATGCCAGGTGCCGGAAGTTTCAAATGGAAGTTTTCTAAAAAAAACAGGTGTCTCCAAATCATCCAAGTCATGGATCACTGGATCACCTAGGATTGAAACCCATGGTGACTTGTGGATTCCCCAATGGTAAGAAACCACCAAATAATCAAACAATAATCAACTAGTTGTCACTTCAAGTTTGAACACATGTTCAAGAATCTCTTGTGACTTCACTGGCAAATCCACACACTAGACAAGAATGGATCATTATATGATCCGGCAGGAACTGAATCCTGAAACATGCAGATTAGATACGAAACAATGAAATTAACGAAGCATCCTACGAATAATAGAAGTTCACCTGAATGGTTTCCATGTCCAAATTCGTCATCAAAAAGGAATCGGCGATCGTAGTGTTGATACAATAATCCAAATACATCGGCGACATGTCGGCGAAAAAAGCAGGTACGTCAGGAAAGCGTCCCTTCCTGATATCCTAGTCTGACACCTGGAGCTTCGTTGGCCCACGCCAGGAATTAGACCCGTGGGCCCCCTGCACTAGGTTTAAAAAGGGAGAGGACAGAAGGAAGAAAAAGAGAGAAGTTTTACATCTATTCAGATGTTACACACACACACCCGGCCAGAGCCGGGTCAACCCTGAAAGGCAAGAGGAAGAAAAAAGCGGACACACGAAGGGCAAAAGGCCAAAAACAGCGCAGGGGGGGGAGGGGAACAGACGGACCTCCGGAACCAACCTACACGGCGAAACGGACCTGACCAAAACAGCGCACGCACCTAAACCCCACGACACATTACGGAGAAGCACGCGGGGGAACTAGGGACCAAATGGGGGACTAGTTGATGACAGAAGGAAAACCAAAACAATTAGTAAAACAACAGGATTCAGTCCCTAGATTCCTAAGAGTCGTGCGATTATTCCCTGCACCGGGACCGTGGTCAAGTCTTGCCCCAATTGGCATATGACGGCTTTCAGGTTCCATCGAATTAGATGCACAATATGTTTCACCTCACCAGAGAACCAAAAGGAAAGAAAACCACACCTGCAAGTTGTGTGCCTGCCTTGTTTCCTTGTCATGTAATGTGAGTGCACAAATTGCTGCAAAAACGGAGGTTTCTGGCAGTTCGGCATGGCTTCACTTGACAGAGTGCAAAACACTAGGATCCCTGGGACCACAGGAGCCGCGGGACGTCGTCAAAGGTGCAAAACGGAAAGGCCAGCTGTTACACATTACTTAAACGAATTACTAAGTTAAAATGTGTGAATTCAGAATTCAAGACTGTCAGCACTCACCCTGAAAAGGGTTGCCTCAAATGGCTCCATGGCACCATGTCGGAGCCACCATGGAAATCACACTAGACAAGAATGGATCATTATATGATCCGGCAGGAACTGAATCCTGAAACATGCAGATTAGATACGAAACAATGAAATTAACGAAGCATCCTACGAATAATAGAAGTTCACCTGAATGGTTTCCATGTCCAAATTCGTCATCAAAAAGGAATCGGCGATCGTAGTGTTGATACAATAATCCAAATACATCGGCGACATGTCGGCGAAAAAAGCAGGTACGTCAGGAAAGCGTCCCTTCCTGATATCCTAGTCTGACACCTGGAGCTTCGTTGGCCCACGCCAGGAATCAGACCCGTGGGCCCCCTGCACTAGGTTTAAAAAGGGAGAGGACAGAAGGAAGAAAAAGAGAGAAGTTTTACATCTATTCAGATGTTACACACACACACACATCACTCACATTGGAACTTTACAAGGATTTTTGTGCTTAATGCACCCTGTAGTTGAAACCAAACGTGACCTGGTGGAAATCAATGGCCGTCCTCCATTTTGAATCACTGTAGGATACAGTATGGTACAGTCATCATCCAAACTCAGACTTTCTCCTGCAGGGTCTTCCGTGCGGTTCGTAAAGGATTCCCCCAAAAAAATGTAGAACATCTCCGCTCTATCAACATGGCGCAAGAATGACCCATTCACCAACTATTCACAAGATTCACACGCTACCAAGCAAGACTTGTCATCGGCTGCACCGGCTGCACTTTCTTCAATGACCCAATCGCACCTAATCGCGGAAACCATTCCCATCACCATAATGTGGGTAAACCATGGTAAACCATCCCCAATCATCAGCAATTTATAGATATTTATAGGACTTTTTCCGTAGAAACCATTCAGATCATTCAGTGCCATGGCGAGCTTCCCCAAATGCTGGGTCCCAAAGGTGATGCGCAAGGCCGGCGGCACGATGCCCAGCAAGCCACCGTAGCCTGGCGCCGAAACGACCACCGTGGAACCATGGGATAGGCTGGATAGGGATCGTATGGGCCAATGGGGGGAGAAAAAAAAAACAGGATTTGCTAAGAAATTGTTTAATGGAATTAGTTATGGAATGACATGGAATTAGTTATCAGAATTTGATTATATATGGAATTATAATGAATTCTATGGGACATGTTACTGAAATTTAAGTGGGTACAAATGGCCTATGCAGATCTTAAGCATAGGAGATATTATAATATAGGTTCTCTATGAAATCTCATGATCTTATCTATCATATGGGATTTTAGTGAAATGCTGTGTTGGCACGGAGCACCATGAACTGGTGCTTTCGACCCTGAAGCAGGGAGATACAAGGAGCCTGGTCGAAAGAAAACGGCAGTGGCAATGCAAAATAATATGCTAATGGCTAATGTGTTTTTTTGGGGCATCTTTTTACATACCAATGTTTTAGGATGATTTCGGCACATCCACAGCCTTCCAAATCCTTGTTTCACAACTTGTACTGCTTAAGTCTGGTCCCTGAGACTCCACAGGATCTGGCTTATGCGTTTGGCCCACCATTGGACCAAGTTCCCCAACACATTTTTGGAACGTATAGCGGTACCACATGGCATGGCGCGCCTAAGGATGCAAAGACGTTGGCCGTTCGCATCATGGTGGCTGTGGGGGAGGCTGGAACGGCAAGAATCAGCATAGAAACGGTGTAGATCAAAAGCGATGCAAAGATGTAAACCTCAGTCTTTTTCCCTAGAGGATCAGCTGATGGGCACGGGTCACATTGAGCCCTTGGACGCACTTAGTTGGTTGGTGCCAACGGCTGATAGTACACTCGGTACAATTATTACTCAAAGATAAAGAAAAATAATCATGCCTGTACCATCTTTCCATATCCTTCCTATGCCCGACCATCATCGCGTGGTTGCATTATGTTGCATTCTCACATGCAAACTCCATTTTCAACAGACCACCATGAAAAAGGATGAAAAAGGGCCATGGCTGGTCATGGTCACCCGTCTCAAAGGCCTAAGATACAGCAACAGCAGCTGCACATAGCTGCACATAGCTGCACACCAAGAGACATAAACGCCCCCCCATCGATACTTGCCTCAGATTCTTCACAGCTCTTGGTGGTAGAAAGTCCAGGATCTCATGAATTCCATCGCGTAATCCAGCAGCACTTGAAGGAGACGTCTTTCAACATCTACGTTACTGGTTCATGATATCAATATACATAATTCAGTTGACATCATTTGATTGATGAATGAAACCAAGTTCATCATTTCAAAAGGCAAGTCTTCCCCGTCTTACTCAGAACCTTCACTGGCGGCAAACGATCTTGTTCACACACTTCCGAATGCTGGTTCATGTGAGCTACTTGCAGTGCTTGTCATTTTGCCAGTCATGGCTACCGAACATGAAGTCGTCCTCATTTGAATTCTTTCTGGCCCTTGCCATCTACTGAATTGGAATGAAATGGATGTCCATCTCCCTGCTGCCCGGGCACGTGTGTAGTCGAGGGGAAGGCACACCAACAGCCGCCCCAAAGCATTGACCAATCCAAAGACGCTCCCCAACTCCGTACCGCTGACCCCCACCTCCGCGCTAAGACGACCCAAGCAGTTCAAGAAGCCTGGGGATGCCGAGGCAAGACCGGGATGGGAGATGGGGCTAGATTAGACAAAGAAAGGGGAGAACGATTTATTATATATCCAGTTCATCTATGGATATGCACGGTGGCTGGTGTATAGTTGCTTCGATCTAGGTGATTTCAGGAAGGCAAATGTACTAATGATTTTTTGGACCTTGGGGAAGCAAACACACTTTCAAGTTGTGATTGAATTCCAACAAGGAGGGCAATACGGATAGCGGATACCCTTGACTTCCAAGACTCAAGATCGAAAGTGATGGCTACTTCGAAGTAGCAGGAACCAAACACAACTGTTCCCATGTTGTTTAACAAATGTATTGACACCTTCCTGCCACCTTGCCAAACGGATTGCAAACATTCTCGATTGAAAGTTCCAAAATGGTTCCGATTCCTTCCACCAATGTCGGGACAAACCAGCTGCAGCACTTGGCTGCTGCGTTAAATGACAGTTAACAGGTCCAGGACACTAAAGCTGAATCCAATGGCACTACAAAATAGAAGGAACATGTAGGCAAAGTCAACACTGCACCTAAGAGCTGCAAGGTTGCTCTCATGTGACTCTCATGTGAGAAGAATCTGTGCTTTCAACCAGATTCTCCCCTTGAACCTCCAAAATCCTGAGTTTTAAGATGATTTTGTCATATCGAAACAATTTGACCTATCCATTTTGCGGTTTTGTTTGAATTTCAGGGGGCAACATGAGGTTTTTAGTTTATATTATATAATCACCAGAGGGGACAACAAAACTTCATATCGTAGCGGTTGACGTCATCGCACGTCATTGTTGAATACTGCGATATTTACAATACACTGACAATTTAGATAGATAGATAGATAGATAGATAGATAGATAGATAGATAGATAGATAGATAGATAGATAGATGGTGGGTGGTAGGTAGGTAGATAGGTAATAGACAGGTACCCAGGTAGGTAGGTAGCTAGGTAGCTAGGTAAAAAAAAACAATAAGTAGATTTAAAAATAGTTAATAGATAGCATCTCTCTCTCTCTCATCGCCTTCAGGTCTACCTGCCCGAGCGGTGCCGGGTGCACATATGGCGTTGTTTCCATGGCTGCAAGTCAAACGGGAATCAAGTGCTTCTGTACATCCAAATTTCAACAAATGCAAAAAAAGGAACTGCGCAAATAGATAGAATAGATCGCATATAGTATATACAATTGCTATATAAATACATAGGCAAGGTATGCAATGGTTGTACAAAGTATATGCCTATGTCAGTTGAGTATATAATATATTATATATACATATATATACAACGTATAAAGAACATGTAGAACGTATGTGTATATATACATAAATGCATACATGTAAAAACTGTGTACATGGAGTATAGTATCAAATACGTATGTGAATTAATATATGCATGAAACTATACATAGTATGCATGTAGCATATGTATAGTGAATATATATATATATATCATACATATATATATATATCATATATATATTCATATGTATATATATATATCATATATATATACATATACAAATATATATATATATAGTGTCTATAAATATATATATATAGATAATATATATATATATGTGTATACCGAATTTACCAAATTATCTATACACACCTGCAATATATTCAATTAATGGAGAGTTAGGCAGCTGCAGCTCTCCAGTCTCTGTCGTGGCGCAAACATTTTCTCAAAGACATCTCAGGCTCCATCCCTGCCAGCGGGCAAAAGTGGATTGTAGAATGAGGATACCAAGATGATCACCAGTTTGATCATAGTTTGATGTGTAAGACCTAAACTGATCTGAACTTTAAAACAAACAAAAACGATGCACTTCTGTTGGAGGGTCAGTACTTGCGTGTCACAGCCCTCCCTTTAGAAATTGCAGCTTGGTGAAAGGGCTCAGACCACAGTGCGACCTGCATGATCAATGACTCTGGTTTCTGGGACCCTAAACTAATCCGATAATCATGACAATTGCAGCTGAGACAAAACTTATGAAGCTGAAATGATAATGTGCAACGATATAACTGTTTTGGCCTCTTTCTGTGCCTGAGGCCATAGCTACCTAGAATCTATTTATCGAAGGGAGTTTAGAGGCCAAACTTTCGACAACATGGACAGATGAAGCAGCAGAGGTGGGAAGAGTCAGAGAAAAGAAAGGAAGAAAGACTTGAGAGGGGGAACACGAAAGGTAGGTGAACAAGAAGGGGAAGCAAAGCCTCTCTGTGCAAAAGTTGGCTGTGTGTAAACGCGTGCTGTGTGCACAACTTTCTTTGTGCAATTTGTGTCTGTGTAAAGACATCTGTGTGTAAAAGCGTCTGTATGTAAAAAATATTCACAAATGCTGTGCGTAATAAAAAAGTCTGTGCGTAAGATTTCTGTGCGGAGAACTTTCTGTGTAAACACCGTCTGTCTGTAAAACATCTTTTGCACATGTTTTTTATGCGTAAAGGCTTCTAAAGGCGCCTGTGTACAAAAGTTTTTTTTGGTGCACAAACCTCTGTGTAAGAATATCTGCGCGTAAAAGCTGCTCTGTGCAAAAGCTTCTGTGCGTAACGTCGTCTGTCTGTAGAAACGTATCGGTGCAAAACGCGTCACCACAGCCAAAGCTCAAAAAAAATAAACAAAAGAATCCAAGATCAAATGCTTGATGTCGTTACCGTTGTTGATGATGGCGATGATTCGATGATGGGCGCAGGGCCCCACAAGGCGTCATTTTGGCTGTCTTAAGTCAATTGCTGAAAGCCTTCGGAACAACTTACTTTCTTCGAGTGATCCCCACCAAGTGACACTTTTTTTGACATATTTTCTGACATGCTATCTGGCATTCGCATTTTATCTCATATATTTTCTGGAATTCTTTCTGGCATTCTATCTGGTATATCTTCGAGGATTCTTTGTGAATGAGGTCCGGTGGGCAACACTCTGATCATGAATTTCAATATGTTTTTTTTTGTTCTTGTTGCTGCTGCCGCTGTTACCCGTGGAGCTTTTTTCTCAGTCCGTACTGGCCGAAAATCGTCAAATAGACGTTTTATTGAAGCTCTCGGAGCACAAAACACCGTAAATACTGATGTTTGTTGCACCTCGGAAGCCCAAACGCACGGTATTTACGAGGTGTTTGCCTCTGGTGACAAAAATCGCGGTAATTACAGTGTTTTTTGGCCAGTGCCTAGCAAAAACACCGGTATTTACGCAGTTTTCAGCATGTTGCAAGAAGTATCGTTTCCATGCCAAAGGCACAAAAACACTGTAAATTAGAGTGTTTTGGGTCTGCTCTTAGGGTTCGTGGAAGGGGGCGTGCGGGGGGGATCCTGAAATGAACAGCAATCGCTTGAATAATCGGGTACCTGGGCTGGCCAGCCTCCCCTTTACTTCGTAAAGCTAAACTCAAGGTAGTACCGCTGGAGCTACCTTTCGTGAAAAGCAAAGAAGATAAATAATCAGAAAAAAAAAGAGTAATTAAAGCGCATGAAAATGTAGAAAAGTGGCGAAAAGTGCTGTACTACTGGTAGAATATGTCATGATATATGCAAAACGACATGACAATGATATGCAACTGGACTGATATGTACATAGGATGTTTGTGCTGGCTTCTTAGACCCCATCTTTCCCTCATCTCCGTTATCGGCACAGCCGGTCCTTGATCTTCAGCTTCTTCGCTCTTCTTAAGAAGGCGGGAGCTGAAGTAGAAAACAGTGCACCTCACAGAAAAGGAGCGCAATAGGGAGATGACGAGATACAAAAGGAAACTGTATGTACATATAACATCATATATGTGAGCAAATTCTACATGGACAGTAATATGCCCTCAACCCCGAAAGACGTGAAGCTTAAATTGTTGAATGACCATTTGCACATATTTCCACGAGACATCGGAACTTACCCAGGGAGTTGCTGGAACAGGGATACCGTATATCTCAAGGGCTCTATATGATCCACCCGATTCCGTCATCGCCAAGGTGCATGAGGATGCCAACCAAGTTGAAAGACACCAAGGCATACTCCAAATAGTGCCTTGCTGGTCAGGAAATTCATGGGCTTCCTATAGGTGTGGAATAGTCTCCCCACATCCTGGGGATATCTTCAAAAAAAATAGTTTCAGGAAAGCTATCCATACTTTGGATCCCACATGGATGTCCGAAAATAGGGTATCCCTAAATTGAATTCTTCACATTGTTAACCATAGTTTTCCCATATAGGCCATTGGGGATACATAGGGATACCACATTTTCAGAGACATTCGTATAGAGGATCTGTCATTAGTCATTTGTCATTAATGGATCCCAGCTACATGATAGGATCACCACCCAGCTTCTTCAGGAAGTAGTAGGCCTGTGTCTGAATGGTAATGCCTGGCGCAGCTACTGAACCCTGCAACGGGTTGAAATCTCTGGCACTTGAGATCTAAATCCTGCCAGATGTGACAAATCGACCATCTCTCTGTGAACATTGTCCCTAAAAAAACGCCACTGCTTGCACCTCAGCCGCCCCGCAACATGATCAACATGCCTGAAATCAACCAGATCAAGCGCGCCTAAAGACATGCAAACTTGAATGCACGCAGAGACTTTGCCCACATATTCCACGGGGAAGGCTGACAAAGGTGCGAAAGAACCAATGACCTCAGTGCAGCTCAGCCATGATGAGCAATCAGGAACAACGATTTGAAGGAATGAGAGCCAACAGAATTGGGAATGTGGTAAACCCAATGCCATAGACCATCCCCAATATCACCAGAAATGGGTGGGTATTATATATATATATAGCATTATATAGCCATCAAAAAATTGAAGTGCTTGATTCATGATACTGTGTTCACATGGGTTTACCACATTAAGGCATTTGACTGTAAATTCATAGTATAATTAATCTGCATAAGCATACTGGTGGATACAAGTTTGAAGTGCAACTCTCACTATCATACGGACGCTGGCTACTAATTCGCCAGTGGTTTAAAGTGAATCAGGGGTTGTCATCTTTTCCCGGCAACGGAAAAACACAACTTTCTGAAGCATCTTGAAGATCACGTTGAAGAAAGTGGAAGCAAAACCAAAGCAAGTGTAACCTGAGTGCGGCGCAAAGGCGTCTTCACCAGCTGACACAGAAGCTCAAAAATAAGTAAGTTCAACGTTCAATAGATGTATAGACCGAGACCTGTCAAATTGTCAACCGAAAATCTCAACCGTTTATACTTCAAGAGCCTATCCGTGTCACCGCCTCTCTACTCATCATGGTTTCACATTGTGATTTCTGGACGGTCTGGACATGCACAGACCTGAAGTGCCAAAAACAACATTCATACACAGTTCCATAGCATGCGAGAAAACATTGGTTCAACCTTCAACCTATATACATGTGCTTGAATACATACAAACATATAGGGTATAAATATCATATTGCACCAAAACAAAGCCCACCTTCTCCGACATCCAGTGGTGTTAAAAAAGGAGGTCACACAAGAAGCACATGCTATCCTTGGGATCCTTGCTGGACTGGCTTCGGGTTGGTAAATGGCCTGATTCTACATCACCTGCTGGGGATATAATCTCCAACAAGTACTTGAAAGTGATGTTCAAAATCCCCAGAACAGGACATGTGAGCAGTTTTCAGAATTCCTATTGGATCATTTTAATTCCCAATATATTGGGTAGTGTATATCCCCGAACTAATCATCAACTAACCAGGGTTTTGAACACTGCTCATTGACCAACCCCTGCCATCGGACCGAGCCAAGGTGCAAAAGGCTAAGCCTCCCATCGTGCTGACGAACTCAGGCCAGTCTGGTGTCCACACAATCTGCAGCAGCACGCCGCAATCTGCCAGCACCGTCCCTGGTTTGAGGGCACAGAACTAACCTGAAATGGAAACACCATGAAACAATGAAACAATAAATGAATCACCCAAAAAGGGCCTGGACACAATTTGAAACATAATTTCCTAGATGTTTTACTTGAACCATTGCTTACTAAGACCCTAATTCTAATGATTCCAAAGGGTTCGAGCCACCACCTATGACCTCCCGAAATGGTTTTCCAAAGTGATTTTGAAATTGAAAATATGCTGGATGTTTGCCTGCTTCAGCCTGAACCTGCATCCAAGTCTCCCAAGAGCATTGCCGTGATGCACCCCAGGCGGTCATAGATCAAACCAGGGACGAAGGAAAGGGCGCAGGCCTGACGTGATTTTCCCCCAAATGCCACCAGTTCATGCCCTAACATGTACTAAAATCAACCTGGGGCTTTTGAAAACTGCTTTATTAGTCTTTATTTGGTGCACATCAGCGAAGCCAAGAGACGCCGAAGTTCATGCAACCATAGAGGAAGTCGCCCTGCACGGTGGGCCCTGCTCCCAAGTACTAATCGGGTTACAAGGGAAAAGCAATCAGAGCACCGCAAAATATCCCAACCACCTCACTATTGGCAAACCCCAAGCCAGTTGTACACAGCAAAGCCATGCATACCCACATTCTACCATGCACCACTATTGTTGGCTCCATGATGGTCTACATTTACACACGTATATTATATATATATATATATGAATATATTAATCTAAAAAAACAGTATACATATGTACATGTATGCAGATGCGGACAATGTTTAACGGGTTGAGTCAGCTGTGCATGGCTGCATGATGATGCAGCTACTTATATATGCATATACTTATATATATATACTTATATACCTATATAGCCTATATATATATGTATGAGTGACTATATATATATAAAGCAATATACACATAGACGCACATGTGTATATACTCTCTCTATATATATATATTGAATTATGTGTATACATGCATATGTATACACATGTATATTTAGATTATGTACAGTCACCAAACACATCCAAACCTCATATGCACAGGTCCTACCGGGGTGGCCTCCGCAGTGGTCAGCTGGTAGTAATCGTTGAAGTCCTTCACGGTGACGCCATTGGTGAGCACCAGGCCGTACCTTGGCGTCTTCATGGGCCCCGCTTGAAAGTCAAAACGTAATTGGATCTAGACAGGGTTGGGACCTCGCTTGTGTAAACTATGGACTTGGGATTTTCCTTTACCCGCTAATGCCTAGGATCGTCCAATGCCATTTGCAACATATGTCTCCGCTTCGGTATAACGTTCCCTCTGCCAACCTCCAAGCCCAAAGTGATAGCAGTGGCCAATGGTGGCCATAAACCCAATTGGGGATTCCCAAAGCAATGGTCCACTACTAAGAACATATGGGGATGTTCATAAATGGGGCTACCCCAATAGCTGGAGGGTTTATAAGGGAACATCCCAATAGCTACGGGTACCCCCATTTATTGAAACCCCCATATCAATCATATCACTATTCTCAATGTTATGCAAGGTGATACACTTTGAAACCTGTAAGTAAACTGAGCGGAACTGAGAGAAAAAAGGTGCGGTGGGTCCCCGCCCCAGCGTCCCCAGGGTCGATGTTGCAGCAGCCCAGGGGCTGAACGACACCCAGGAGGCAACTGACCAATAACAAGAGCCGCCGGAAGGTATAGGCCGGATACCCTGCGGAGCGAGCTGGCGCTGTGGCTAAAAAAACACCGTTGTGTATGGAAGCGCTATGTAGCTATATAGGGCGGGATAGGTATCTCAGTAATCTGATGAGATAGAGGTGGTAGATTAAGAAAATCCCCATGAATAGAACGCAATGTAATTTGGCGGAAAACACTGCAGTTGCTAAGCATTTAGAGAAGCTCGGAAACATTCAAGTCGCATCTGAAGAACACTCAACGAACCGTGGAACACCCTCCTCTGAATACACTTTCAACAGTACTACTAGCGACATATCACGATTACAAGTACTACTAGCGTCTTTGTCTTGCTATAGCTTGCTTCAGTCTTTCCAGTCATTTCATTTCAAGTTGTCCTGTCTATCTGAGATTAATTACTGCACCAAAACTACTACGAAATGGACCATAACAATCAAACAAATCCACCAAGTTTCACATGTTTCCATGTTTTAAAGCATTCGGCATGTCATCCCTTATGCTGGTTGGTTGAGAACGGGATTCCCCTCATGGATTGTCATTAGGCCCTATATATTGGTTAGTATCATCCCCGAACTAATCATCAACCATATCAATTTTATCCCAAGTATATCTCCATATGTTCGTGTTTAAAACCGCCATGAATGGTTTAACCATCAACCATATCACCATCATATCAATGATATCCACTTATATCCCCGTAGTTTGATGGTGAAATTCCCTGTGAATCCCAATTTTCCATCAACCAACCAGGCTTTGGAACAGCGTCCTAATGCTCGTCCCAAACTCAGATTCTCGGTGATCCAGGACCTGTACTGAAGGTGAGAAACGGAGCCTTTAATGGGAAACTCATGTATCTAATTCACGATATAATACTATATTATATATCTATCATTATTACCTATATTTATATATATATACATATACATATATATATATACATATGCATTCACATCTATCTATATCTTTCTATACCATAGTCTATATCTTCTATCTCTCTCTCTCTCTCACAATGCATATATAAATACCTACTTCCAAAGCACGTAAAATTAACGTGCGTGGTGCCAAAGGCTATTAATTGGATAAAAACATATAAAGACTATCATTTGCTATTGATTCAAAATCTAGTCTGCAGGTTGCAAACCCAAGTTTCAAGCGCTTTTGGCTACCTGGGTTCTACGGAAATTAATAGTCGTCCTACGGAAATAAATGTCCGTTCTACGGAAATAAATGGCCTTTCAACGTTTTGTCTACGGTTTGTCCACGATTTGTCCACGTTTTGTCTACGGTTTTTTCCGACCACTTTCAACCCCTGACAAAATTAAAAGTCGAGTACAAATTAACGTCCTTACCTGGAAGCACGTGAATTTAACGGTCGAAGAAGAACAGGGATATATTTATTTGCTTATTTGTTTATTTGCTCATTCATACCATATTAAGACAGCTGCCATTACCATGTTTGATTGTTGTACTGAGACATTGTGGCGTTCTCCAAGAAATGGTGAGTAGTTCACACAAACTCAGTGCGAATGGGTGATGACCAAGCAATGTGATTCGGGGGTGGCACTAAAATCCCATCCCCCAAAAAAGTGCAACACCCAGTAAATGGTTCTAAATATGCGCAAATCCCTTGCTAGACCATGGTTTATGCGGGTGTTTCATACTAAGGGGAAGGGACTAGTCTTGGACCAAGATATTTGTAAGTCCTTAACATACCCAACATCGGCGAGTTGGCTCCAGAGGATGCTGGACCCAACGGAGAAGCATATAGAATGCCTTTACCATTTGGAAACATCTGTGTTGCGTTTCAACACGCCGTTAAAAATCCATTTGCATGGCGCATGCATAGTTGCACCTTTATATTAACATGCATGCAGATGTATATTCTTCATTATATACATATGCCCAATTATGCACATACATATGCACATACAAGTGCCCAGAAAATCTCAATGACTCATGTTTACCCACAGGTTCATGATGGGTAATCACTACTACTGCTGTGATTAAAAAAGTCATTTGACTTCAGGGTGCGTGTGACTATACACATACAAATATAAATATCTAAATATATATATATATATATACAGTATATATATATATACGAGTCCGGGGGGTAACTTGCCCCAAAATCTATGAACTTACGCCACCGCATGGCACACCGCTTACCCCACGACCCCAAGAACTTAGCCATATCCAAATCACCATGGCACACCGGCCCTCACGGACATGTTTTTGGATTGGTTTGTCACTTTCCTAAGGGATTTAGTACATTTTACATCAGTTCGTGAATTCTTTGACCTCACCCCAAATGTCAAGGAACGCATGGCACACCTACAAATTGTTTTCTATCAACCCAAGCTCTCAGATGTAATTCCCATTGTCGGAACAACATATTTAATCTCTAAGAATGTCATCCATGATGTTTTCCCCATTGGCACACCGAGCACATCCAAGCACTCAGGTAACACTTTTCTGCAGCCAGTATATATTACACAGTAAACAAATATAATTATACATAGCAAGCCCCAAAACTATAGAAACGTATATTTCACTTGACTTCGGTGGAACCCCGCCAGCGCCAGCTTCGCTAAGTGGCCCCGTCCGCTCACGTCCGGCGGGAGGTTCCATGGCGCGCGGATCAGCGCCGCGGGGCGCGGATCGCCGTGCTCTTTAGCTGCGGTGGATTCACCGGTGTTAGATCGAAAGGTGGAAAAGGATGGATATTTTCTAAAAAATAAAAACTGTTTTTGGCATGGTGGAGAATGTGTTCTTTACCAGCTCAGCATCTCTAAATGGAAGATTGTCATATGAATTGTATAGAATTTGACGTTAGTCTACCGGCTACCGTGGCGTTGATAATGTGTTTCATGTTCCATTCCTCAGGAAAAAAGGATGATCCCAATCGATTTGTATTTTCAGGGGCTTGAAAGCGCAAAAAAAAGGAGTGGTGGTACTTGGAGGATCCAATCAATGTGCCAAAGCCAATGAAAATGAGTGAGCCATACAGTTTTTACATGTTTTTACCCAGTGGGGAACAATAACTTTTTACACAATATCGGGGATATTTGATGATATTTGTGGGATAATCGATGCAAGTACTATTTGGATACTGAAACAAGGCCACAAGTCAGCAAAGGGTGAATATTACAAACCATACTAACCAAAACCAAACCCCCAAAAGGGGTTTTACGCATTTTATGGCATTGGGCTCAGCACATTCATGTCTTTGGTGTGACAACAAAAGTGGCATGAGAGAGTCCAACCTGGCTTCATGGACCCCAAAAAATACTGGCCATGGATTACAGCTATGGCTCTTCAAATCAAAGAGTTGGTTTTCGATAGTAACACTACTCATAAAAAGGATAATGACAATCATAACTATATATAATAATACTACTATATTCGCTCTCCATTCATCCGTCCACTGATCGGCCCTTCAATAATTCAGTAAGTGCAAAGATTGCACTAGTACTACTACTGTTAACAAGTTGCATGCAAGGTACCCCCTCTAAGTGTGGACATTTACGGAGGCAATGGACAACCAATGTGCGCGCGGCAAAGAAATATCAATCGCTTGCGGATGCCATCTTCAACCATAGTAGCACTTGGAACCCCAACGATGTTAGTTACCCCGGCGACTAAACAAAGTCAGCGCCTTGCCAGTGCTTTAGAATCAATTCTCAAAGTATTGGTGATTTGGAACGATCTTCTTATTTAGGGAGGCGTAACAAAAATCAACCACCCAGCTGGTCTGCTGGAAAGCGCTTAAGAGTCATCAGGTTATATGGGCAATTCAAATCCACGGCTTTGCAGAAAACCTGGAGTACCCAGGTGCCCTTAATTCCACTGGTTTATCATCATTTTCTCAATCGACATTGACATTGCTACTTGTTCAATAGGTCTATGTAACATTATGTAACCTATGTTCAGTCCATTCTCCCCAATTTTGATCAATTTTGGGGCTAACAACACCTGGTTTCTCCAAGTGCCCGAACTGCGTGGCGCGCGGGTAGCAGCGCTGCCACCCAACAGTAAAGCACCGAGGAAAGCAAGGTTTGCCGACGACCTGCATGCAGGTCGCGAGTTGGGAATATAACTATATTATCTCATGTCTACATTTGGGTATATAGTTCAAAGTTAAATGTGCCGTAATCTAACTTGGTAATCTGGTACAGTGGTCAACACACAAAGTGAGGGTAGGCCCGTTTCAGTACCAAATTGGGCATTTTGAGAGTGGAACATGTTGACCCTGACTTGGATTTGTTTCGGGCCCGCATACAATACCCTTCCAGCTATCTAACTATAGTAACTGTAGCCCCCTACATTGAAATGCATGTTTTTGCCAGGTTAACTTGCTGCGGGGTAGGTCATACATGTTGTCTCCACCACATATTCGAACACAAATTTGTCATCGTGTGTCAAAGGTATCACACACACACACACTAAAACAAACAGCGTGGGAAAAAAATTGAACCCATGTTGAACAAATATTTGACTGATCCGCTCCATCTACAGTATACCTGAAACAACATTTTTAACATAGGAAACCACCATTGCTGGACAAAATATCATAAAATATCATATAAATATTCAACAACCCTCAGAGTTTGCTGGTAAGATTTTCATACTCATAAAATAGCCTCCTATTTTTCCAGCTTCATGGGGACTTCACGGGGCCTGCCATCATTGCCCTCAAGGTGCGGCGGAAAATGCACCAGGATCGCCTCAATGGCGAGGCAGAATCTTCGACATCGCTTTCGGCAGTGCCCCAGATCATCCTGTATCTGTAGCCCAGGATCCGCTTATTATATATATATATTTTATTTATTTATATATATTTATATTTATATATTTATATTTATATTTATTTACTTATTTATAATTATGTATATATATATATGTATATTTATATTTATGTATATATATTATAAAACATATTATATTGGACTGTTCAAACTCAACTTAAACCTATACTAAAGTTTATAAAGTATCATAGGTAAATCATCTGGAAACTACAGAGTTACATGTCTTTCCAGCCCCCCCAATACCATAACAGTAACATATATTGAATGCCCCCAATATATACAATCAAAATTAACAAACCCAATACACAACAAGGGTTTGTATGGGGTTGTGAAACATAACATCAAAACTAGTGCAAGTTTTATATTTTTTTATATAACAAACGGATCGGAAACTCCAGAGTTACCGTATGAACATCATCTACAAATAGTGGATTCTGTTTGCTAACTACATGATAAATCACCATTAAAATCACCATGAAATAATGGTCCATGAATCGTGGAAATTAATGGGTTTTCCAGGTTCTTTCCCATTATTTTTCACCCAGTGGCAACTTGCGAAGGCCCTCCTGTCCCGCGCGCCGCAGTTGATCCGAGGCCAGCCTGGGCCCATGCTAAAGCGGTGGGGATCAGCGCCTCTTTGATTCGTCGTTTCTTAGGGAGGGAATCCCAATTTCGGGAAAAATATTAAAAGTATATAAGAGGCATATTGACAGATGTTTTTGTTTGACAATTTCATGTGACTATTGTGTTGTTTTTTCTATAGGAACAAGAAATGGACGACATACATTACTGATCATTACTGCATGTGTATGTTGGAGTGGATACAGCTGTATGACAAACAGAAACTGTAGGCAGTTGATGGAGGTTAAAGCAGCAATCAATATAATCAATAGCATAATTATACACCTGCACACCCTCCTGGAACTACTGGATTTCTTACTCCGAGCTGCCATGGACTTAGACTCTTAGACGATATCCAAATAATCCAAAATAATCCAAAATATACAAATTCAATGAGGAAAGGAGGATCGATGAGGAAAGGAGGATCGATTCCTCCCGCACCGCTCTTTCGGCTATCGTTCGGCTGTTGGACAGTCTTTTAGATGCTCTAAATCGCTGCTGTTTTCACCTAAACATACCTGCTGAATTGGGGCCCCATAGGCTCGCTACTTCATGCGCTAGTAGTGTGGAGAAAACCAACCAAATAATTGCATATCAAGTAGCATGAACGGAACATGAACCCGAGTATTCCTGTCCCTTTCCCCCTCTCTCTCTATCCATCGCCAACGAATATCCCTTGGAACTACTGAACAAAATTAATTGATTGAAACCCCATGACGCCCCGTGATCCACTATTGCAGATTACCCTCTGGTAAATGTGCCAAGGGAAGATCCAAGTTGCAGGTTTTCTGCAAAATTGGCCGGGTGCCCAGGGGGTTACCACCAGCCTCGGATGGAAAATCTATGGAATTCCCTGCGGCGAGGAGCGATCTTGATGCCCAGCTCAAAGTCTTTTCTCTTCGCGCCTGCAGCTCAGTTCCAGCTCGGAAAACCCCCGATATTTCCCGCATCATAAGCCCACCTAAATGGAACCTCCGAAGGGGCTGATTCAATACCCGCCATCCAGGGTGAAATGAGATTCCCAGTAAAGTCTACAGTCTGGGTAGGTGGCCTTTCACCTTGACCTAGACTTGGGGGCTTACCGTAGATCATATTCAAACATTCAGTGAAATTCAGTCTCACAGAATGGATCCAGTAAAAAGGTGCGATAATGAGCTGGATGTAACACATCTTGACTACAACAGTAGCATATTAAAATTGTATATTATAAAAAATTAATATTATGTATACGTCATATACGTTGACTATATATGCATATAATATTGTATATAGGAATGTATAGGGCCATAAAATATATAAATACCTGTTAAGCAATCTCAGCTGCCAAGTCCATGACTCTCACGGTGGCCTGTGTCAGCCAAGCGTTGAAGACTTGAGTAGCACGTTTAGAGGAGACCTCATGCGCCGATCTGGAAGGGTCTATATAGAGAAACTATATGGATCGACAATCAACTATTTATGAATGATTTATCTATTGAAATTGGTGATTTTCAACTGTGTTATGTTAAATTACGAAAGGATACCTGACGGTATGGGGTGGTCTGGAAATGGGGTATGCCGTATGCCCTCAAAAAAAGGCATCTTGATGGGAACATATTATGATATATTATGCTAAACCGGCTAAGCCATAGGATTTCGTGATAAGCCGATATTCATGCAGGGAAGTTGCCCCATAGAAACCTCCAAATACGATGGTTTTTCTTCTCTTTGAGACAATATGATAGGCCTTGGTGGCAGGTGCAAACCTTCCGATTACACGACGTGGCTCAAATGCACAACGGCTCCATCCAGCTCTAAGGCCTCGAAATCTGAGCATCCCGGCATGGAACGCGCGACCTCAGCAGCAAGGTTCTCCCAGTCAGACGTAACACAAGTGCATGCGTCCCTTCACCCATCAGAATTCCCAGGATGGTGATCCACTTCAATGGTTTGCATATTCTTTTTGCAAGCTCAACTGCCATGAGTGGACACAAAGGTCCATGTTGCCCGGGAAATCGGCTAAAACCTGGTTGAATCCCTACTCTACATTGCCACCCCCAAAAAAAACATGCAGTTGTTGGTTGGATCTTGCGCTCCCTCTCTCTGTCTCTCTCTCTCTCTCTATCTCTCCATCGGTTGGATCATATTGGATCAAGTAAACTAAATTCATCAATGCGCACTAACTACGACCATAAATGGATGGCAAAATCATCCCCAACTGTAGCTTCACTGTTGAGTTGACAACATTATATCCACATACCAGTACCACCCATTCGCACAAAATCGCGCAACTACACCTGAGCTTAATAGTTCTACAAGGCAAACTAACAAATTCTAACATAGATGTGGAAAATCAGCCACATTTTAAGAGATCTATGATACTTCAGCCATAAGTGGGCAATTTTCCGCGTCTATGTTAGCATATGTTAGCTTACCCTAGGGTAGTTCGTCCATGTTAATCCTCTCCCCCAACCACATGATACGCTGAACGCCTGGCATGGGATGATCCAAGCGACAGTGGGCCGCCCAAGAGCCAAGGCGTTGTGCCTTCCGCGCCAGGCACAGCTCTGTGCCCAAGTGCTTCGCCCGGGCCTGGCCGACGGCGCGTAATAAGGACCGGCCAAGGATGGCCAAATAGGCTGGTCGTGGAGAAGTCCCATCCAAAATACCTGATGAATTTCAGAAAAATAGAGGGAATTTGAATACAGAACATATTTGAAGCAAGAAGAGAATAATGGTACCCGCATCACTTAGGGTAACACCAAACGCAGCACTTCAGGCAACATCCAGAAATCACACACCCCTCACACTTTGGAGGCTCACTTTGGGCAACACGGAAAACATATGAAAACATCACTTTGGGCAACCATGATCATTCTGCTTACATTATCACTGGAAACTGCCTTTAAGGGATTCCTTGGCACGGTGGGAAGGGATCATTCTACTTACATCATTACTTGACTCAGCCATTTAGGGTTTGGTTGCGGGATGGGAGATGGGGGTGCGGTGGGGTGTGGTGGGGTGTGTGTGATAACGTCCTGTTGCTCTTGGCACAAAGACACATATGCTACACTATGTGCCGGTCTTCTCGTGCACCTGCACACCAATATGACCTCAGGCTATCACATCTTCTCCTGACGCTATCATCATCATGATAATGATGAAAATGAAGATGGAGATGAATAATGCTCGGAAGAAGAGAATGATTATAACAAGGATGATGATGATAATGATAATGATAATGATGATAATGATTATGATTATTATGATGGTGATGAGGGTGAAGATGATGATGATGATGATGATGATGATGATGATGATGATGATGATGATGATGATGATGATGATGATGCTGATGCTGATGCTGATGCTGATGATAATGATGCTCACATGATGGTATGATGGCCAGCCCTTAGTGGACAACATGATGATGGGGTACCCGCCCTCCGATCCCACACGATGGCCAACATCATGATGATGATGATGATTATGATGATGATGATGATGACGATGATGATGATGATTGATGATGATGATGATTGATGATGATGACGATGACGATGATGATGTGATGATGTGATGATGATAATGATGATAATGATGATGATGAAGATGATGAAGATGATGAAGATGAAGATGAACATCATGATGATGATGATGATGATGATGATGATGATGATCCTACCACGCACCACGTACCAGTACGTAGACGTCCAGAAAGCGCTAGTTACAGCAGGTAGTTACAGCAGGCGCCCGAAGCGATGCATGAGGCGTAGCCCGAAGCGATGCACTCGAGGTATCCCGAAGCGAGAGCCTTACCGAGAATAATAGTAACAATATATCAGTAAGTGGCGATGCTAAGAATGGTAATAATCATCTTAACAGAAATAAAATAGTACATAATTCGTACAGAAATTGGAATGGAAGCAATAATTCAGCTGCAGTCCCCCATGTGGGACTCCAAGATGATAGATATGAATCAAATAGAATGAATACGAATATATAGTAAACTGGGGATTACTTGACCACGTCAAGTGTTGCTTAACACCCGAAAGAATGAGATGCAATGACTCTAAAGATATATAAGACCCGGGATAGTCTGCAGTTAGCAATGAAATTTACTTTTATCATTTGATTGTCTATACGGCGTGCCTGGACAAACTTCAAAGATGGTTTGGATCGCGCATACTCTATTTCATGCGTCAAACTCGTTCAAATGACTGCTCGAAGGTTCCAGGCGCACCTGTATATACACAAACAAATTCCACTCATTGCGATCATGCTTGCATTCATGATAACTGAGCTTACAACTGTGCCCCACTGCACTCAGGGAGTTACAGTGTGTTGTGGCGACAGCTCCAAATCGCAGTATATAGCCCTTGGGGTCATGAATAAATGCGAGGTATTTTGAATGGAAGCAGTAGTAGGGATCATCATACCGCAGCGATTGGGTATGAGTCATGTGACAGTCAGCACTGAACAAAAACGACATGAAATACAAACATCGCGGGACTTGATGGGTGTAAAGTGTAAAGGTGTAAAAGTAAAAGTCCGAAGATTTGACTCTTACTCGGTACGGGAATCCACAAACACCGGATAATTCCAATGTAAGTACCGATATTCAATCATTTTGTTTGACCCAGTGACCATCATAGCCAGAACCAAGGTTTGCCGCCTGAATACTTCTCGCACGCTTCACCCAAGCAGCATACCTTGCCAAGCGCCAGGATGCTGACAATCCATTGAGACAGAATACAGTAGCTCCTCAAGGTAGCCAAATATTATGGAAACATTGCCCTTAAAATCATGTGTTTGTCCGAAACCTAGGGAACATGCAGAAAATCATCGAACATCTAGTTGTTTATCATAGTTTATCCTTTTTTTTCATCCACTATTTAGTCACTATTTGATCAAACACCCTCATGTACTCCACCCATAGCAACTCATTGGAGGTTAGGTCGTTGAGAAAGCCGCAGTTGGAACCCTACCAATCATGGCAAATGTATGTAACTGTATAATTGTGTGTATGCCCATGTCTGATCACGTGGTTTTTCTGGATAAAAAAAGGAATTGTCCACTGCCAGAATGGAGTATGAAAGAGTAGCCTCAGGTTCTCCTGCCCTCGTGCTAGGAAAATCCCTACACCTTTTGGACGCAAATGCTTACTGACTGGATGTGACTGGGGGAAAACCTATTCATATCATAGTGACATTTCGTGATCTTCTAGATTCTAGTCAGTTTCGACCCAACCGCCTGTTCTTTCCGTACAATAGGCTACATATGTAGCCCCCCAAATCGAATTTATCATCATCATTGGACAGCCATCATTGGGGATTTATCATTATAATCCAAATAATCCAATTTTACCTGAGGCATCATCATTGGTGCATCATTTATACCATGGATTTTCTCCAATTTTGCACGCCCGCAGGGCCCGCAGGTCTCAACCGAGCAACGCTTTGAAGACCTTCCGCAGCAACGTGGCGTGGCTGTGCTTCCGCTGGACCTTGCCCGCGCGACGAGCCTGCAGCGCGGCTATGGCTTTGAAGGTGGAGATCACCAAGAAAAATGGTACCTTGTTAATGGTCAGTGAATGGTCATGGTGGCTTGCCACCCAAATGCTGAAGATTCTGAATTTTTGATTTATTGGTTATGAAAAGTCATAAGCGAAGAAATTAGGCAGTTGTCACACTGGAGTTCGCGCGGTATTAACTCCAATCCATTTCTATCTAGTTCTAGTCTGATTCTGGAAGGTTCCATGCCTCCAACCCTCAGCTCGGCACGCAGCCTTGTTAAATTTCACTTGGCGATGGAAGTACCGCAAATGCCGCCGCCGCGCAGCTGCCTGCACCAATGTCGCCCCCTGGTGGGAATCATATTTTGGCAGTAGCTTGGAGCAACCCTGACAGCGATGGCCCAAGATTTGCGGTTTCTCTTCGATGGCGAGGGATGGCGGGGTCGATGCGGCAAAGCTTCTTTGGAACCAAGTTGTATCTGTGTCATTAATATTTGGGTCCTTTTTAGAGAAAATCATGCATAGGATGGCATAGTTGCCTCCGGCAACAAATGACGGGTCTTGAGGCTAGAATATGCTATCAAATGATCTTTGAAGGGCCATCTTTAGCACTTGTCCAGGGGCAATGCTTCGACCTCAGTACGAAGAACTTTCTGGAAACTGATGACCCGAAGCAAGATCTTCGGACCATACAATAGTAGGTATGGTCGACACATCCCACATGGTATAAAAAGGTTTGGCTTTGATAACAGATCGTAATATATCGTAATAACATATAGGTTAACAAATATGTTCATAACACTCCGAATATATCGATTAATTATTATTATATTATATATAATTATATATATATGCGTTATATGCGTATACTTATTATATATTAGTACATAGTAATAGTGGTAGATGAGTGGTAGCAACGGTAAGTTGCGTGCCTTCAGTGCCTCTTCCTTCCAGGCCATGAAACAAGCGCTGATCCAAGTCTTTCGCCGTAGCAACCTGGGGATGAAAAAGCCGAAACACACATGGACGTTAACATGAGCCAATATAATATATATATATAAGTTAATATGAGTTAACATGAGTTGACTTTATTTAACATAAGTTAACATAATGAGTTAATATGAGTTAAACTTCGCTGAGTCTAACCAGTTGAAACTGGGCTTTGAACATGTTTTAACTGTGAACCAGCGACAAACATGTGGATTTGAAGGGAACCAGCGAAAAAATGGTGAGAGAATTTGAAATTGTGCTTTGACCAGCGACGAACGTTGCATTGTGCTTAAGGGGTTCGTCATCCGATTTTTGGCAATGATGGACAAAAAGCAACCTTCAGAACAACCGATTAGTTGATTGATCATGAGTCCCACCTACCATGTGGGGAAGCTCAATTTGAAGCTCCTTGGCTCCCAATGGCTACCAGGAACAGTTGGATACAACATGATACAACTATAGCCGCTAAGCCATAGTTCCTAATCTGAGCCGGGTGACGTGAAATCTGAGGATCCGACCACATGCCCGCAGCCAGGTGACGTAGATGAGGCCTGGAGAACAAAAAAGAGTACCAAGCCAACACATGTTTCCGTTGCACAAAAAAAAGTTGGAAATTAACAGAGTCTCAAGAATAAAGAATTATTGAACCATTCATTTTAGGGGTCTTATACTTTTGACCCATCCCGCCAATGATCTTAAGGTGAAATAATACCGTTTAATGGACCTCATGGGAAGGTTGGGATGAAATAAAGAACATGTTCGATAACATGCTAGTTTGAAAGATTATATATATATATGTTCAATTGAAAGTTCCGTCCAGAATGAGGCTGATAATTATAGTGATAATGTGGGTAAAACAATAATAAACATCCCCCAGTCATCACCATAAATAGGTGGTAGAAACCATTCCCAGTCATGGGTGGTTTATGGCATTGTTTTACCCACTGGTAAACTAACATAGCTATTGAAAATTGTCATCTATATTTGAATTAACATGATTTAACCATGAAAAATTGTGATCTTCCATAATAGTTCCGTTCGTTTGTCATTAAAAATGGTGGTTTAACCATTAAATGGTTCTGTTACTTTGTCATTAAAAATGGTGATTTAACCATTAAAAATGGTGATGTATGTGTACCTACCGGGCATTCCAAAGTTTACTCGTGCCTCTGCTTCCAGGCATCAAAGCTGCGCTGGAGTCGTTGCAACTCCAAGTTCTGCAGCGTCTTCACCACCTGCGTCCTGGGTTTTCAATGGGATCAAGTAGGGTTAATGGAAGGAAAGCTGGTATCAATATCAACTTCCACTTTTCAACAAGATCAATCAATAGGATCAAAAATAGTAGGATTAACTATCTATATATATGATTAATATCATTATTGATTAGTGGGAGGAAAAGTAATATAACATGATGTAACTAAGTTACTGGGATTAACTATCGTTAAATCAAAGGAAAAGTATGGAAAAGTTATATACTACATTAATCGTCTGTATTATATATTTGTTAAACTAGCATATAGGATCATATACCTACGATTATGGTAGTAGGAACAGTGATATTTGGTATAACTTAGGAACTACAGCAAATCGAACTATAGGAATTTCCAAATGTTGAATAGGATTGTGGCAAACCCAGAAATAAACCATCCCCCATTGGGGTCCATGAAAATGAATAATATAATGCTATTGGAGACCCCCCCCAAACGATTTTAATGATTATATATATATTACATCTATATATATATACTATTATATACTGTAATTGTAGTTCATCGGACACTGATATTGCCCATGTTTAGTGCAATCACCAATTTCAATACGCGAATCATCAGCTGAGCTGCGCAAAGCCGGCCCGGAAGTTGGTATGTTGCTTCCAGCGCAACAGAATCCTCGACGAGATGTCTCGGGCGTCAAAGGCGCCGGAAGCGGCGTTTCGAAATAGTGGGAAATACCATGGGAAATATCCTGAACTGGTTAATTCAACAGCTATGGAGAATGGATAAAGATGGCCCATGTGCAGATGATCTGCAAATGAATTCCCTGTTCAACACGGCCATTTTCCAAGGCTATCTGAGTTGACTGAGGGTACGTCGATACACCTTGGTCGCCGCAGTCGGTGCATCAAGGTGCCCCATGGACCTTTACCGGACACTGCCGCGTCCAACGTCGAGGCCATCTTACCTGACCACTTAATGTGGTTAAAACAATAACAAACCACCCCATTTTTGATGGTTTATACCACCTATGGTGATTTTGGGGATGGTTGATTATTGTTTTAACCACATTTTATACTTGGAAAACCCTCCTTCCAACCATTTCCCAAGCCCTTTTTCATCACTTCCAGCTGCACCTCTTCAACTTGGAGCGTCCCAGGATTCGCGAGGCAAAGAAGCTGCTGGACTCCATCTCAAAGGCCTCCGGTGAAAGCGACATTGCCTCCATCTTTGAACAACGGTGGTTCTGTAGCAGGTCCCCCATTTTTTGTTGATCTTGGGAGGGGAGTTTTATGGTAAGCCCCCAGTTGTGACCTGAAAAACATCGAAAAACCAAGCACTTCATGGTGTATCGCATAGAGTACGTCACTTGCTAAGGACTTGCTGAGTGGAATTGGCGACATGTGCCGTTTGCACCAGTCTTGCAGAGCCAGATGTCACACGCTGAAAATGGTTTAGTATCTATGTTTATCTTTCCTAAATCCACATGCCATGCTTCCGCCTACCAAGATCAAACACTTCGAAACACGCAAACTATCAAAAACCAAAAGCTCAAACAGCTTTGACCTTCCATTTTTCCGTTTCAAACCCACAAATAAATATCCAAAACATATTATGCATCACCAGTCACCAGCCCATCCCTGGTTCTAACCGACCCCAACCTTGGCCCAGTGATCAAAGCTACGCAGGAGGCGCGACTCCGATAGCTTTGCTTGCACTGCCTCCTGGGGGTTTCGGGAGCTATCACCAGTCCCAATGGCATTTAACATCTGGGGGTTTCCATAACTCGGGGTACCCCAATGGATGGTTATTTACAACGGACAATCCCCAAAATATGGATGATTTAAGAGTACCCCTATTTTAGCAAACCCCGATATGGGTATGGGTCAAGTTGTTGGGTACGCCAATAATTGGATGGTTCATACTTAAAATAGACTTTCCAATCTGTGGTCCCTCAGATCTTTCATTTTGACCCATACCCATGTAGCTATGATTCTATGATATAGATTGGCCATTAATGTCTTGTATATACATTGATTTACAGTACCTCTTGAAAATGGACGATTAATCATGCTGCATTTGTTTAAAATAGCTATGCTAAATTACCAGAGGGTGACACGAAGCATTCTGGAAAAATATCACTGGGATATGTGCTTGATTTTTGTTCCTGGGAAGATCGTGGGAATGGGGCAGGCTTGTAAATGTACTGTACTCTATACAATCCCAGAGTGATAGTATGCCCGTGCCCAAACAGTTTTGCCATGTTTTGCCGTCGGGTACTACAATGATACCAACAGAATGATCAAGAGCCCCGGGAGTTATCAATCCGGGTAAGCCATGGGGAGTTTCATGTCTGTGTTCCTAGAAAATGGATGAAAATGGAGGGTATAAAACTGGTCAGGAACTGAGTAATAGAAATTTGGGATGAAAGCTACAACAAGTGCGTTGTTGTGGGGTCAGTAGTGGAGAACGCAACAACAAATGGGGCTAAACTGCAGGTGGTAACAGTTAACAAAGCTAAAGGGATAAATAATCTACACACATGACATTGGGTGGGGTGCTAGTTATAATTGGCGAGCAACCAACAACCCAAGATCATCCAAGATCAACTATCCATTCATCCAGCCATCTATTCATCGAGATGCTTTTTTTTGGCGTGCGGAATCAAATCCCCGAAAATCCACAGTTTGGTTGGTGAAATCCAATGGCAATCCACGTGGCTCTTCTTCACCCTTTCGCTCTCCTGGGCGCGTCGAGCTTTCCGCCTGAAGTGCCAGAGCGAACCCAGCCGGATGGCACCCTGTGTCATAGCTGGTGAATGGATGTTGATTTTGCCCACTCATATCGGAATTTCATAGGTTTTGACATGTTTTGACATGTTTTGACCCATCCCCAGGTCAAAAAATGACAATGTCGAACCCATAATTAATGTGGAGTAATGTGAACAGCTTAAAACATGACAACGTTTGAAAATCATATTCCAAACCTCTCTTATGGGCGAACATGGACAATCCAGTCATCTACATCCGTCTGTGCCACAGATATCCATTCTCTATCATTCTCTGAGTTTGCCTGTCAATTTCCATGAATCATGGGGATTTAAGCAACCTCAGCGATTCGGTGACACCGGTGACCCCCTTCAGTAGCTGGTTAAGATTCACCCCTACTTATAAACGTGGTTGGTTAAGATCGTTCTTTATACACCTGGCTGCTGGTGATCAAGACTATTACTGCTTGGAAGACCATCCCACTGTGTACCTGGTTAGCAACCCTGGTTTGGAAGTCCCCTAAGTAGCTTATTCCATCAGTATTCCATCTATGGGTGAACTACCCTCTGGTAATTTAACATAGCTATTGAAAATGATAATTCATAGTGGATTTACCCATTGAAAATGGTGATTTTCCATAGTTATGTTAGTTTACCAGAGGGTAACTATGATTATCACTGATGATACGTGGGGAGATCCTCCAAGTGGGCTTCCCAACCTGTGAACGCTCCGTCGCGCCAGCGCTCGAAAGGCCGTCTGTAGCATTGACTGAGGCGCGTAACTACGACTCAGGGGTTGGGATGTAACTTATGTAAACCCTATAGCTATGGTGATATATATATATATATGTATTTGCAGTATATATATATACACATAATTGTAGATATATAATGTATATATATACACAAAATTGTAGATATATAATGTGTATATATATATATGTACCTTGAGAACCAAAACCCGCAGAAATCTTAGGGTTTGAAAAATACCTGAGCTTTTCTGACAAAACCCGGGGTATTTTAACCCATTTTGAAAGTACGGGTTAGGTACGGGTTAGGTACGGGTTAGTACGGGTTAAGTACGGGTTAAGTACGGGTTAGGTACGGGTTAGGTACGGGTCAAGTACGGGTTCAAAATCAATACCCGAGGTCTTCAATCGAAAATCGGGTTTTCTTATTTTTTCCGAAATACTTCAGGTTCTTGCGTTGACCCGAAGAATTCTTAGGGTTTTGGTTCTCCAGGTATATATATATATATTAATATACACACATAATTGTAGATATATAATGTATATATATACACAAAATTGTAGATATATAATGTATATATGTATATATATATGTATATATGATGTATACATAATTGTATATATATATAATATACCTTAATATACTGTATACACACTGGAACTGTACCCCCAACTAATATATCATAGAATATCTGTTCAGCCATCGTGATTGAAGTCAGGGGATGATATCTGGGTCCTCACAATGATATGAATGAATTTAAGGCAATTGATGGGAAACATTGCATGATAAGTCATCGGCAATTGGGTTTGGGGTGGGCAGCAATCAATTTTCAGACCCATACAATCCCATACATGTATTGGTAGAATGGGGTTAAACCAAATCATTCGAACCATGCGAAACCATACAATGGCACCATGGTTTTCACACAAACATGTTCCTACCCCCAGCATATATGGCATTATGAGTCATGAGTACATCTGATCATTGTTGATTCACAATGATCCGCAAATACAGTACTTGGATGCTCCCAAGGCTATCAACCTATCCAATCTGTTGGATGGGGGTCTCCCCAATTGGAATGGAATCAAGCAAGTGCAGAACAACGCACAATGTACACTTCGTTTCTCACAGCACTATATGTTCGGGCACCAAGTTTGCAAAGTTGAACTGTTCTTCGACTCTGGTGGGTCACCCAAAGGAATTTCTCAGGAGCCGCCTGGCCAGTGATGGCCATGACCAAACGAGGTCTGATCTCCTGCCACAACGCGGCCTTGTGGAACAGCAAGGCCTCGCAAAGCCGTTCAAACACAAGGTGAAGGCCGGGTGGTTGGTGAGTATCATAGCTACCTTTTAGAGTGTATGATTTTATGATAACATCAATAACAATGGATTGGTTTAAGGGAAAATCTGCAGGAAACCCAGGAAACCATGGAGTTTTTGCTAGTAATCATAGGGGATTCCATGGGAACCATAACAGTTGAGGCTCGCTGGGGATATTATGGGAGGCCCTAGACCGGGCCACAGCCCCCTGAGGGGAACATGAGCCTTGAAAGCTACGAATGCGATGGCCTAAAGGAACCAGAATCAATCAAAGATTCCAAAGAACATAGGGGCAACCCCCAACATTACGAATAGTCTGAAATTGGGTTTACTAGTATGAGTATCATGAATTGTGGTGGTTTGTCTTAAAATCGCGACATGGCAACGTACAACCGCTTCAGAGTCTCCTTTGAAGGGAAGTTTAAGCATGGGCAGTCATTCTGGTTGGAGTGCTGTGTTGTTGATGTTTGGACTCCAACAGCTGCCGTTGCCAATACAAATTTCCTGTTGGCTACGAACAAATATTGATATGGCTCAGAAATAGGCCACGGGCACCAGTGGCCCAAAAAATTGTCTTCTTGAAACCAGCTAAGTTTTTTGGTGGCTAATTTTGACCCAAACTCATATTGATTTGTCCCATACCGTGGCTGTACAAACTGCTGGGGTGTCCACCCTTCTGCGGACGTCCCATGCCGCCTCGCGCCACAGATCCAAAGTAGCACGCTGTCGGAGCATGGTCACTCGCTCTCGCCTGCAACAGTTCATGGGGCTGGTGCCCCCAAGAGAAATCACAGATTAACACCATTCCGAGGGGATAGGTTTCCTAAAATGATGGGTACCATGGGGCACCCCGAATCCACCATCTGATTCTTGGATGTTCCCTGTTTTTCCATTGAAATAAACATCAATAAACCATCCAGATCCATCCAGCTATTGGGCTGCCCCCATGATAAAGTCTCATGGAAACCTCAACAGCCACCTCTGCAAATCCTCCTCAGCAGTATGACCGTTTCGCTCATCCAAACGGCGTTCTTGCAGAACCTGCCAGGGAGACAGTGAAAGTGACGGATCCACTGGATGCCCTGGGCCCTTTCCTGACGGCTTCAAGTGACTGTTGTACAAGTGCCGTGATCTAAGCTACCCAATCTTCAACCACAAAACAACAAACAAAGAAAATCAGAACATCCACTGAATGTTTCCCATCCAAGATATCCAAGTGTCAAACAATGTCAACCATGCATTAAGAGTGATACATGACACTAAAGTTGGTACCGTACCCTCCCCATTCATAAAGCGAACAAAAAGCTGGGTTGACATGTTCCATCCATAGATTGTTGCATGAAATCTCCAGTTATACAGTTATATCATGTTATCCCCACCATTATACAAAACATATTAAAACGCCATATTAAAGCCCCATGAAACTACCACCAGTTTCATCACCAGCCACGGTTCAAAGCCACGTCTTTTTGCCAAGCCATCAGACCAGCGTTGCAGCTCTCCAGTAGCCGCCTCCTGGTAAATGATCCTGGCCACAGTGGTTCACTGTAAGTAATCCCACTGATAGAGGAACAATTTTATCGTATGTCGTCTATGTTGTCCCTATTTTAGTGGGATTGTATACTTTTCATTACTGTTTTCTATCGTTATATCTGTTTTTTGGGTGCCTGCTGTACCCTCTGGTAAATTAAGATAACTATGGAAAATCACCATAGGTTCATGGGTAAATCATGGTAAATCAACTATTTCCATGATTTCCATGGGCCATGGCTTCAAGTTCGCAAAGATTTTGAGTCATTACCAGAGGGTAACCCTCCATTTTGAATGGCTAAATATACCATGGCCATCTCCGGTGAGTCGACCAGATTAAAAAAATTGGGGAATGCGACTAGCAAGGTGACCAGCAGCCAGCAACGAAAACCATGCACATATAATACTTTATATACTTATAATATATATATATGTGTGTGTATGCATGTATATTGATATACATACATTTATATATATATATATATTATATTGTATCTTTTTTGTGGGCTTCTGTTTGAACAAATATGGTATTTCATATGATGAGCAAACCAAATGGGGACTGAATCAGCAAACATCGGGATTCAGCCAACAAAAAAATTGGATTTCAATGATGTAGGTGTAGCGATCAATAATTGTGGATTTCACACCATTCAGAAACGGTTTAATCATGATTGAAGGGGATGGGGAGCCTAACTCATAATTATATATATACATAAGAATCCAACATGTTCACCACATTCCAATACATTCCAAGAGCGTTTCCGGCGGTAGGCGTTGATTCGGAGGACAAGGGATTCTTCCACCTGAAACTTCTCTAGGGAACTTCAGCGACCGAAAACAAATTAGCCACGCATATCGCCGCATATCTCAATATCCACCCCCCAAAAAAAATGGAAAAGCAAAATCTGACTAAAACAATGATTTTCAATCAATCTGTTCTATCTTTTTGAGAGGTACCCAGAAAAAAGCTAAGACACCTATCTCGGAAGGCTTGCAAATGTGAACTCCTCGGAGCCAAGAAGCTGCTCGGAATGGGGACGGAAGCACATCTCCAGATCTATGGTTACAACCCACTTGGACTTGACACTTGGTAACTAGTTGGTAGCTTCAGGGACATCAAAACTCAGAAAAACCGGCAACTTGGTTACTCGGTTACTCTGAATATCATTGAAATTTCTTGGAAAATGCTCACCACCCATGCGAATGTTCCACACGAATCCTTGTCATGAACAATATGCCACCGTTGTTCCAAAGCCATTTACGCTTAGGTGAGGCACGCAGTGATCCTTGTTGACTAATATCCTTAGTCTTCCGCTAGTTGAGATCCCATCGATATTCGAACTCAGTTTACTCCTGGGCCAACAATTATCATGATGGGCAACTCCACGTCCCTTCCAAGGACTTCCCCAAAACTGCCCTGAACATCCGCTTGCACTCGGCGAGCAACTGCAATTCTGGGAAACCAAAGGTCAGATTCACCTGGTTCTTGTGCTCGAATCGAGCCATGTGTGGCCTAGAGACTTGGAGCCCAGGATGAGATGATACGTTGGTGTGTAGATATGGTGCCGCATACAAAAATATCATAAAAATCAGTGATTTGTTGGCAATACATCCATTAAGATCATTAAGTTAATGCTTCTTCTCCTCCCAGAGTAGCTGTTTACAACCACAAATATCGCAGGTTCCTTGCCTCCATCCCAACCCACACATGAGCCATGTTCTAAATGTCTTACATCCTGCACCAAATAAGGAAATGCTTACGCCATTGCTTGTGTTTTGTTTACGCGCGCACACGTTTTGCTTACGCGCATACCTTGTCTTACGCGGAGCTTGCGCTGGCTTACGCGCACCACAGTTTTGCTTACGCCGCGCCCTTACAAGGGGCCCCTTGCTCAACATGAAAACAAGGGTTTAGAACGTGGCTCACATGTTTCCACCGGCGCTCCCAAAAAAACAGGCCCCCAAACGCTAGTAGATAGAAGCAACTTTCCGGTGCACTGGGCATGGAAACTCCTCAGGGCGCAAGGGATGTCTGTTATAAACAACGATTGCCATGAACATTTATCCCCTATAGGGATCTATAGGGTATAATTATCCCTATTCATCGAAATCATACCCATATATACCCATATTTGTCGCCACAAGGCAAGTGCGGGTATCACTGATGTCAAATGATCTGGCTGGGGTCCCAACAAGGCCATTACCCTCTCATGGATGGCCCATGGAAACAAATGAAGTGCCGAAGTGCCGTTGAAAAAAGTTGTGTTTTTCAATGTCAAATTACTGGGTATACTATAGGTGTGGATACCGCTGAGTGGTATAGGAATGACACGAAAGCCGAAAAATTGACCCGAATATCTACCACACATAAGGATATAGTCAAGCATCATAGCGATTTGGCATGATTGGGTGAAATACATAAATAAACGTGTATGTACACATATATATATATGTATATACATCAGCAACAAGTTAATTCTCATGATCTATCCACTTTAAAAGCACGTGTCATATGGGTGGCGACAGGGTTTCACACATTGTGTCAAAAGATGTAGGTGCCAAGAAACTTTGCCCCGTCTGTTTTCAAAACTATTCCACAGATATCCCGTAAATACTCCATAGATACTCCATGGATATTCAGTAGATATTCAATGGATATCTAATAATTACATATCCCATAGATATGCCATAGATATCCCATACATATCCAATAAAGCATATCTCATACATATCCCATAGATATTCCTCAAATATTCGATATCCCATACATATTCCATAGATATTCCATACATATCCCATACATATCCTACAAATAGTCCATTGATATTCCACAAATGTCACATACATCTTGCACAGATATTCCATACATATCCCATAACTATTCCATAGATATCCCATACATATCCCATATACTGTATATCCCACAGGTATTCCATAGATATCTCGTAGAAATTCTATAGATGTGCGAAATCCCATTCATATCCCATAGATATTTCACAGGTACTCCACAGCTTTTCCATATATATATATCCCACACATATTCCACAGAAATCCCACAGATATCCCATAGATATTCCAAAGATATCCTATTGATTTTTCGCACATATCACATACATATCCTATACATATCATAGGTATCCCATTGATTTTTCATACATATCACATACATATTCCACAGAAATCCCACAGATATCCCATAGATATTCCCATACATATTCCAAAGATATCCCATTGATTTTTCACACATATCACATACATATTCCACAGAAATCCCACAGATATCCCATAGATATTCCCATACATATTCCAAAGATATCCCATTGATTTTCCACACATATCACATACATATCACATACATATTCCACAGATATCCCATACATATCCCATAGATATTCCATTGATATTCCACAGATATCCTTTACATATCCTATACATATCCCACAGGTATTTCATATCCCATAGGTTGCTGATTCAAATCGATGAATCCAGATCTTCAACCACGCCGGGCCACTGGAGTGCTCTGCCAGCGCCTCTTCCAAGAAGTTCGGCGCGAAGCCCCGGCACCAGAGGACCAAGGCGCCCAGCAACCTGCGGGTTGAGTGGGACATGGGACCTATAGGATGACTTAGGGTCTACGTTTTTTCCCATTGAACATGGAGTTTGTAGGTAAAATGTGCCTTAAATTCATCCAATGATATGGGATATTGTGGTGTAGATGTAATAAGTAGGACTACAATTGGAGATATATCATTAATATATAGTTTACAATACTGTATATATATAGTGGGATATTATGGGATAAAGAACCGTATAACCAAGCGTTTTATGGAGACATTATGGGATAGAATTTCGGAAATCTACACGCATCCACACCATACTTAACCAATTTGGGGATATGGGTCTGTCCAAAAACGTTTTTTACTCCAAATATCTCTTGTTGTTTGCAATCTTGATGGAAGAAATAATGATAAACTATAGTATTTTGACATGCTCTGCATTTCCAAACAAACAGTGTTTTGTGCGGTTTCCGATTGCATCTTGAAGACAGTGAGGCTCCATTACAAGGTTGTATGTTTTTCGGCAGAGGCATGACGAGGCAGATTGCAGTACCAATTGAATATACATACATATATGTATTATATATACAGTATATATATAGGCAACATGCTGCACATGCTGCACATGCTGCACATGCTGCACATGCTCCATCATCATGCACATCTCCCCAGTCTCTGTTCCATATCCAGCTTTGAAATCCTCAAACCTTGGTTTGAACATGTATATTCCTTAAAAATCTATCAATGACAATCTACATATGCATACATGTATATATATATAAATATATATATAAATATACATGCATACATTACATGAAAGGAGGTTTCCTAAAATAGGGGTACCAAAAATCATCCAAACTTAGATCATTTTAGTAATTATCAATAAAACCCCATTTTAGGAAACCCCCACATATATGTTATATATATATATATATCGATGTGCGTATGCAATCACGCACTCCATTCCCAAAATCTCATGCGGCTGCCTCGGTATCATCTGCGGCAGCGACCTTTGTACCGACAGGCTGATGAGGCACCAGCCGGGGCGTTCCACGGTGGCTGCAAGGCGATTCATGAAGAAACTGGGCGGATCCCCTTGACTCACGGACCTTGCAGCGGCTCATTTGGACCCAAAAAACGCCGGTTTCGATTCATATCTGTTCTGCATCTGTTCTGCTATGTTCTGAAATCATTGATGACTTAGATGCTTAGATGCATGGAAATTAGGGGGTGGCGCATGGCTGGAAATCTTGATATGATCAACAATATCGGGACATATACCCAATGATCACCAACTGTGGGTCATGGGTGATGACGGCTACCGTCAAATTGAAGGGCTCCAACCCCTCGGATAGTTGGGAAATCATCCACCGATGCCCCCTTTGGGTACATCCTCCATGCGAGGTGCGTGTATGTCATAGAAATTGACCTAGATGTGGATCATCCGAGTGGTAAATGGAGCATATTTGTTCAACAGTACGTCACAGCAAACCATATCAAGTTCAGGCACAAAGGCCCTGGGAAATACCACAGTTTTTAGTTGGCCAATGTTGGTCAAAACCCCCGATGCGACCCTTGGTTCATCTTTGCGCATTTCAAAATATAATTTATTGTGCAAACTAAATACTGCACATTCCTGAATCAAATCCCAGTAGACATGCATATCATTTCGTATCTATCTGTCTATCTATCTATCTATCTATCTATCCATCTATCCATCTATATATCCATCTAATCATCTATATATCCATCCACCCACCCACCCACCCATCCATCCATCCATCGATCCATCCATGAATCCATCCATCCATCCATCCATCCATCCATCCATCCATCCATCCATCCATCCGTCGCATCTATCCCATCTATATCGAATCTATCCATCTAATCTAAATCTATCTTCCACTTCTATATCTTCCCCGTTGATTGCACAGGTCAAGTGGCCGTTCACAGAAATTCTGCCAGTGCTTTCCCTTCCGTAGCCTTCGCAGACCCTGCTTCAAGCGACGTGCCAAAGCCCGGTCGAAGGTCACACCTCGCGTAGAGTCGGTCCTTAGTTTTTCACTGGTCACCAAGGTGTGCTGTATCAATATGGACATCACAAGCTATCATTCAAAAAAATAATTATAGATTAATGTAGATAGAACAGTAGATCATAGATTTCTGCAAATAGAAAAGTAGATGATAGACTACAGTAGATAGAACAGTTAGAAAAGTAACTGATAGATTCCTGATGATAGGCATCACTCATCAGTAGATTCTGCAGTGATAGATCTACAAGCTCTGCATCGTAGAATTCTCTAGCATTCTCACGCAGAGGGCACGCCACAAAGTCCCGAGCGGAAAGCTGACTTTTGTGCGGAACAGAAGGTAAATGAAGGTAATATGGAAAGGAACCTAGCACTCACCGGACATTGGCTGAAAAATGAAATGGTGAGACGGCAGAGCCAGAGCCCAAGAAGAAATCCAACTCAAACCATTTCTGCTGTCCCAAAGCCACTTGAAAACACTTGAAGCGGATCAACATGGGATAAATTGGGCTACGTCGCAACTCCTCCGATGCTTCAGAGCCAAATACAGACCAGGGCAGCAACCTGGGACTTCCATAGCCAGGTGCCCCAGTTTTTGTTTGCTACGTGGGCTTAGTTCACTAACTTAGTTGTGGTAAATTGTTGGGTCTTTGGTGATTTCGACTATAGCTAGATGGGTTTAGTATGAACTTAAAAGCCAGGGGGTATCACCTTGGGGTCTGAAGCTGGGAATGAAGAACTTGAAGGTGGAGAACTGAATTATACTAAAGATTACTAAAATGCTTTAAGATTGATGTAATTGCAAAGTCCAAGCCCTATTTTGACTCCTTAGCTGTGGAAAAAATCTATCCAAATCACCTTTACAACCTTATGTTCTTTGAGACTTCCATGCGTTTCAGAGGCAACCGTCATCCGTAAATAAAGATCAAACAATCGCAAATCATCATTGAAATTTCCTGTGGAATCACTTTCCATATGATATCATATAATCAAGAATTAATTCATGTACCGATTCTTTTTCAAAACCCCCAAAAACATATAATTATATAACTATATAAAATTATATGTATGTATGTATGTATGTATGCATGCATGCATGCATGTATGTATGTATGTATGTACGTATGTATGTATGTCCGTCCGTCCGTCCGCCCGCCGGCCTGCCTGCCTGGCTGGCTGTCTGTATGTTTGCATGTATGTATGTATCCATATCCATGTATCCATAGCATTCCATAGCATTCCATAGCTATATCTATATCTATTAATATCATTTAATATCTAATCTATATTAGATAATATCTATATATCATTATATATCTCTCTCTCCTTGAACCAGCCATTCTTTAACGCCAGGCCACGCTTCAAAGCGTTCGAGCTCGCAGCAGCGCCTGGCGTTGAAGTTGCAGGGCACTTTGCGACAACTCAACAGCTGCGGGCCGCTGTCGCAACCCAGGGCCGCGCGAAGCCGCTCCTTGGGAGCTGGGGAAGTCTGAGGAATCTTGGAGGATTTAGTGGGATTTAGGTGATTTGTTGGGAAATCAACCGAAACCATCCAAACCAATCAGGGGTTAAGAATATGAAAGGAAATTACCGGGAATGTGGGAGTCGGGGAACTTGGAAGGACGAGCCAATGGTGGGATATAGACTCAACAGCTAGACCCTAGGCTATGGCCAACATCAAGAATTAGATATGAAAACAACATCTTTTCAACCAGCAATGGGGTTATGAAACTGCCAAAACTACAAATAGAACTATTCATGAATCAACACAAAGGATGACATGTGGATACAGAAGTGACAAAGATCAAAATAGAATAATGCAGCCAGCGATCATGAGATTCAATCACAAGCTTTAACTTTGTGAAGCTATATGTATACCAAGAATTTGCAGGTAAAAGTCCCCAAAGTTACCATCAGCCATCAGTTCTATCAATATCTCATCTTTGCAAGTTATGTTCTATAAATCAACCATTTGTTGCAGGTAGATCGTGTCAAATCACATGTTCTAAAGATCAACCACCAGCTCTAGGGGCATCAACCATCTTTGCAAGTTAACTCCCCAATTCTCAACCAACCACCCATGACCATTTCTGTATACTTGTGACGCATAAATAAGTGACTATTTTGCCAGCTAGCACGTGTACCCGTTGATGAATGTAAATCTCCCAATTATCATCACTTTGTGTAAATTATCATCACTTTGTGTAAATCTCTCAATCATTGCTTGTCATGGTAATAAAGCAAAAACATGTAAACCATCCCCAAGGACTTACAATCTTTTTGGTGGTTTTCCCAACCATCACTTCATATGGGTGGTTTATGGCATTGTTTTACTAAATATATGACTTGTATCCCCCTAATCATGACAAATGCTCTTCAAAACCTATCATTCCCCCCCTGGCGATGATTTATTGGGCATATAAATATGTATATTAAATATGTACCCAATCAATTAAAGATGGTTCAAGTGTCATTATACCCAATAAAGACAATTAATTACCTGGAGCCTCTTGATCTCAAAACGTCAGGTCTCCAGGATCACCTCCTCCTCGACCGTCTCCACTGCGCGCGGCAGCCGTAGGCCCAGCACATTCCCTGCCGCCGCGCCGCGCGTGGGCGGCACGGCCCAGGAGATGCGGGGCGCCGGCGCCGGCTCCGCGGCAGAGGCCGGGAAGGCGGCCAGGGAGGCGTGGAACAAGTGCCTGGGCCACCGGGGTCTTCCGAAAGTATCCAAAATGGAGGTGTAACATGGCATAGTTGGGTATAATAACGCTTGAACCATCTTTAACTGCTAATTATAGGATATAGGTGTGTGTGTGTGATTAACTGGGTATAACACTTTAACAATCTTTAATTAAGAGAGGTTTAAGGAGATTAACTATGGATCAGTCAAGCCATAAGTCCATATTTGACCAGGTTGAAGAGTTGTATAATGTATGAACTATCAAAGCATGAGGTTATATACAGCTGGTACGTTTACACAATATAATGTTAGTACGTGTATATATATATATATTAATACGTATTTTAGTAAGATGATCCAACTAGCGAAACTGGTAATCTATTTGTAGTATGGAGGATGGCTCTGTAGAGTAGAGAATATAGAGGACGGATCTGCTAAGTCTAAGTTGCACAAGAGGAACAGAGAAAGTCAAAACATTCAAAAACGGCGTTTGGGCTCATGAAAATAAAATGGTGTAAGATGGTGTAAGCAAGAGTAAGCCGGGACCAAACGGAGTCTATATGAGTTTAGGTAAGTTTATATAATCTTATACATATATTATATATATACTATATATACATAGATATTAAGGGCTGTGTCAATACTTAACCTGTCTACTTCCCAATTGGGCAACAAAAACAAATTCCCAGCATTGCAAGGTTTCTTCACCTACTGCCCCATGATATTCAATGGTTTAGAGCACATTGGGGCGCCAAACAGCCCCTGTGCTCCCAAGAACCGGCAGATCAAGATGAAGTCCATGGTCTCCAGTTGAGCCCCAGTTGCTCCACCCATTCCTCTGATGGCTTTTCGTTGTAGGACACCAGAAGTGCCACCTGCGCCCTTGGTCCGTGGCAGATCTGAAACCCCAAACTTACCGGATATCAACCGGTGGACCAAAAAAAATGGTAGCTGTGTGCTCTAGTTTGCACACCCAGACCCTGGCAGAATTCCACGTCAGAATCCCCTGCAGACCTCTCCCGAAGTCCGTCATCATGGTTGCTTCATAATCTTCATATTTCGACATTCAAGGAGATTGAGTCAAAAAGAATAAAAAATGCATGGCAATACTTCTGATAGAAGTCCTTCATTCTACATCTAGCGGAAACTCCTCCGTCCCATCTGTGGTTCTACTGAGTTTCGATTCTTGAACGATACCCAACTGGAAGTCGCACCCCCAATAAACGGCAGTAGTACACACTACTATATGAACATGTTATTATTAAATAATTGTAACATTTCCCGTAATATCCATAGACAATACATGAGAATTCCTCTCAAGAGAGGGCTCACGCTGTGTCATGCATCTTGGCAAGTCAAACTTATTCACTAACCTGAATTGAAGCCATTTGGGGATTAATGTCAAGTTAGGATTAATAAACCCCGCGGAATTAATCAACCCCCTCTGCCCAAAAAAAAAAAAATTAAAAACAGGTGGTCCCCCCAGATGAATAAACACTTTGGCCTACCCCCGATTAATAAACCACCAGTGCTGAAATCCATTGTTTTTATCCAAAAGTTTCAATTGGTTTCCTTTTGGTTTCCTTTTGCTATATTTAAGTTGAAACCGCGTGAACACCAGAACCCATCACTGCTGATCATTGAAAATTTGAAAAAACAACTATTCCCCAAATGATCGATTTCTAATTATATAATTTTTTTATAAAAATCATCAGTTTGGATAGCTCCCAAAGGGTACCCCCCATGAGCCCATGTCCCCCATTAAAAATAAGCAGGGTTTGCCCCTTATTAATTATTAATCAGCCCCCATGTCCCTAATGTATTTTCTTTGGATCTGCCCATTCATTCCCAATGTCCCCCATAGCTTTCAGCCAATAGTTTTTTCAAACCATATCCAAAATTTTATGGTTCCATCCAGCCTCGACTCCCGTGTTGTCTCCGACGGCGGCAGTGGCACCAGCCGTGGCACGCAGGCGTTCACCCCGCCGTCCCGGCGCATGTGGCGGAACAGCGCGTTTCTGACGGAGCCAGGGAGTGGTCGGGAAACCCAACAAATTTGCGGTTTATTCGTTTCTTCTTGTGTACATTTGTGTACCCTACTTGGGATTTAGAGCCCAAAAACTGTGAGTTTTTAAGGAACCATTGAACCATCGTCATGGTTTGGTTTGAGGGCACATTACCATACAAAGGAAAGGTCAAATACAGAGGAAACCGCGTGATTTTCTCCTTCACTCAATTCTAGGAAATTAGCAGGTTCCCTCGGTGATTGGTACAAGCTGTCACTTAAGTGGGATGGTCACCCAAATTAACAAATGATTTACTGTAATTAACAATGGTTCAAATGCTATATCAGTAATTATTCTCTAAGCCCCCAGGTTATCAGTATTTGCGCGATGGTGCATTCAGGAGTTTGGAGGCTAAATGTTGGTTTTAAAGATTTTCTCTTGTACATTTTTTCGGGTATAACAAGTCACAAAAACTATCAACAACGCATGGATGATCTGGGTCAGTCCAACTGACCATTGGAATGTCAACCCAAGTCCTTCTCCCATCTGCTAAGGGCTCCTGCACATACCTAGCCTCTGCCGCCAGGGAGAAACCAAAGTCACACAGCCAAACATAAAGTATATTCACATCACAGTCACAGTAACAAAATGATTTGATTCAACATGTTTGAAGGAGTTAGTCAATCAACTAATTTATAACCATCTACTACCTGTATAATATCATGTGCATCCATTTGCTCCAACCAAGACACCACTGCTTTAGGATTTACTCCTGGGTCCTCCCATCTACTCCCACCAAAAAGTGCTATATTTAATGGCTAATCGTAGCAGATACCTTGCCAGCAAAAAGAACGCTGGTAAGTAAATATAATATATGTAGCAACCCGCAGAAAAATCGAACAGGAAATTCCACTAAAAAAAGTGATAAATCACGGTTCTATCTTTTGGTGGTTTTATATCCCTTTAGAATATTTATATATCATTATATATATATATATATATCTCTCTCTCTATCTATCTATCTATCTATTTATTAATATTTATTATATCTTTATAGCCTCACCTTACCCCGTTTCCCAAGATCTCCAGGTTTTTGCCTCGCCCGTCCTCGATGGAAAGTGCTTCCCACATGCCGCGCAGCTTGCGGAAATGGCTTGTGAGGCGAAGGCGGTCGGTTCCATGCGACGCATCGCGCTGAGGGTCGTTTCGGGCGCCCGGAGTGAGGAGGGCCAGCGGAAGTGTTCGCCATGAACACTTTGCCTCCGATGGGTATGGGAACATATGGGAACATTTCATGAAATCTGCAGGAAAAATTAGGAATCCCTCTAAAGATTGGGGATGGGTTCAAGGGTTTCGGGTAAACTTGTTCAAAAACCAACCCGTTGCATAAAGAAAATGAGTCTGAAAAGCCCCAATGTATGGGAATGTGAATGGTGATTGGCTCATGGTTTGGACTGTCCCCCCTTACACTAACAGTCACCACAATCCAGACCACACAAGCACGATGGACCCAAAATGCCATTGAGAAGTTGGGTTGGCACATTTTGTCAGTCTACCAGCCCACAAAGAAGTTGGTTTTTTCACAGCATGAACCCAATAGTTCATAAAGAAGTTGGGTTTGTATATACTTTGACCGGAAAAGGCCAATGAGAGCTTAGGTGTGTATATTGAAAAATCCTGGGCAATCCAGTACAGAGACTCAGATTATGCACCATCCTATCGAACCAAAGGAGGGAGGCCCACCAAATAAATGGGTTTATGCTTTGTAGGCTGCCACCAGGTGGTTTTGTTGGATAAAATTTCTTCATGACTAATATGACTTATCACAGAAAAAACAATCATACCTCGTTACATATGACGCCTGCGACAGAATCATGTGTGCTGATACTCTGACACACCCTAGTCTTTACTTTGAAAAGCTTTGTTTCTCAGTTCAAAAGTATCATTGGCCGAAAGTTTTTCATATCGAATCATATGAATCACATGAATCATTTCATTGACTTGGCTGCCTGGTGTTCTGTTTAACCTGGGGCTTCACACTAACAGGTGCCGGAGATGGCCACACTAACGGGTGCCAGAGCTGGCTACACTAACAGGTGCCAGAGATGGCCACACTAACGGGTGCCAGAGCTGGCGACACAAACGGGTGCCAGAAGCCACACTAACGGGTGCCAGCTGGCCACACTACCGGCGGCACGGCCCTCAAGCAGGATCCAGGCTCAGGCTGGGCTGGCAGGCCCTTAGTCGACTGCAGGTTCAGGACAACCTGGGGGTTTGGGGGGGCTGCGGTTGTAAACTTTTGGGCTGGGAAGTTGTGCTTTTTAAGCCTAAACGTTGTGGTTTTTTTGTGCTTTTTCTTGTGGTTAGTTGTGCTGTTTGTTGTGCTAATTTTTGTGATCAAATCATCAGGGAAGTTGTGCACTTTTTTGAGCTTTTTTGTTGATGAAGTTGTGGTCGGTGCCAAATATAAAATCAATTATAAAGATGTTGTTATTTTTTCCTTGGCTTGTTGTTGTGCGAAAATGATCAGGGAAGTTGTGCTCTTTAAGCCTAAACGTTGTGGGTTTTGTTGTGCTTTTTCTTGTGGTTAGTTGTGCTGTTTGCTGCGCTAATTTTTGTGATCAAATCATCAGGGAAGTTGTGCACTTTTTGTGCTCTTTTTGAATGGGAAGTTGTGCTTTTGATATTTTCTACCTTTTCCAAAAGCACGGCCGAGTGCACAAAAAAAAACACAACATCAAGCAAGGGTTTTCCCTTAGCAAAATTTGTCCCTTAGCAAAACTTGTCCCTTGGCAAAATGTCACTGAAAAATTTGTCCCTTAGCAAAACTTTCCCCTTAGCAAAACTTTGTCCCTGAGCAAAACTTTGTCCCTGAGCAAAATTGTTCCCTTAGCAAAACTTGTCACTGAGCAAAACTTGTCCCTTAGCAAAATTTGTCCCTTAGCAAAACTTGTCCCTTAGCAAAATTTGTCCCTTAGCAGCCTTAGCAAAACTTGTCACTGAGCAAAATTTGTCCCTTAGCAAAACTTGTCCCTGAGCAAAATTTGTCCCTTGGCAAAATTTGTCCCTTAGCAAAACTTGTCCCTTAGCAAAATTAGTCACCGAAGAATTTGTCCCTTAGCAAAACTTGTCCCTGAGCAAAATGTTCCCTTTAGCAAAATTTGTCACTTAGCAAAACTTGTCCCTGAGCAAAATGTGTCCCTTAGCAAAATTTGTCACTGAAAAATGTGTCCCTTAGCAAACTCATCCCTGCACTGCTGCCTTTCCCTTTGCCCAAAAGGGATTGTATCCAACTTTTTTTTCTGCAAGCTCCAACTGAATAGATTTGACCCGGTTCCAAGTAGGCTGCCCTCAGAGTGATTTCATACTTAGGTTCAACATCAGAAAAATTTGGATTGAGAAGATTGGGCCTCTCAAATTGTTTGTGGTTTTGGTCCCTGGGTTGTTGTGCAATTTTGGCTGGGAAGTTACAATTAAAATCCATTATTCCACTGTTAGTGGGGGGGGTCACTCCAATACTCATGGTGATCAAGGATGAAAACTTTGCCTCAAGACTTGCAGCTTGCAAGAAGTGGCCAGAAGCTAAGGTTTGTAATACTTGTCAGGTACGAGTATGTTCATAATATATATATATAATATATGCGACCCCCTTGTATTTAAACCATAGTCGGAGCTCCACATTCCTTGGCGAAGCTTAGATGCCCTGCACAAAAATATGTGTAGCTAATCAACATACTACCCCAATTGAAGTAAACATATTTTTATTCGGGAGTTCTCAATTTCATAGTCATAGCCTACCCTCTGATAAACTAACATAGCCATCATAGCCATGGAAATCAACAATAAGTGGGCCATCGGGGCCATGTTCCATAGCTATGTTAGTTCACCTCTGCAAGTTGGTGGGGATCTCACTATAAGCGAAATTATCTGCGAGTGAAGTGCCCCGACACCTGGAACCAATTGATCCCAACATCTATGCGAGTGAAAGAAATAATTTATGGATATTTATACTAGATTCCGTGGTGAAACACGTTTTGTTATGCCAGTTTCCCTGATTTTCAATGTTTTTTTTGCAATGATTTGTGGCCATGGCTGCCATGGCTCATGTATTCCTCCAGGACTTTCAGCTCTTTGACATCTTCCGAAAACTCCAAGATGGCCACCTGAACGAAGCGCACCCGCTTCTCCTTCTCTGGGACGCCTTCAGTTCATCAGCTGGATGTCAGAGATGCATTGGTCAAACATGGATGAAACATGGGATAAGGGATTCAGTGTTAGGTTTCAAAAGTGGCATAATAACTAGATAATCATGGATCGTCTGAGATGTTCAGACTCTCAAATCGGTTTTATTACTTTAAAATTACTGTGGCCTGCTGTGGCCTCGACAAATTTTGGGCCTTCTTCCTGAAATATCGAGGGAACATCATCACAAGCCACTCGTAGCACGACTTGCCAAGCAACGGTAGCGGACGTTGTCAAACTCTGCCAGCCACTTCACCATGGCTTTGCGCTTCTCTGGATCCAAGATCATGTCGTTGACCACGTGACGGAATTGGATGTTGGATTGCCTCACACTGTGAAAACTTCCGGCAAAAACACGATGTGGTTTTCTCACCGTTCTTGCGGATTCATATTGGGTACCCTCTGGTAATTTAATATAAGTATTGAAAATGGCCCATAGAAATAGTTGATTTACCTATTATTTAAAGCTGGTGATATTCCATAATAGTTCTGTTAGTTTGTCATTAAAATGGTGATTTAACATGATTTAACATGATTTAACCATTCAAAATTGTGATTTTCCATAGCAAACTGTTACTTTACCAGAAGGCAATTTCAACCACCTGCGCCCCTGTGGGCCCTGCGGGTCTGCCAGGTGACTTTCCGATGACCTGAGTCTCCCAGTACTCCTTGATGGCCTATCAGGCTGCGAAAATCAAGACGATAGAGACCTGGAATGCTTGAAATACCATATATCATAGATACATATATATATATACATACATACATACATATATATATCATAATGTTGTGTATACATATATATATAGTGAAAGATAGATTGATAATATATATATATATCATAATGTCATGTGTATATATATATTGTGAAAGATAGATTGATAATATATATATATATCATAATGTCATGTGTATATATATATTGTGAAAGATAGATTGATAATATATATATATATAATATATACTATAGCAATATGTATAATAAATACCTGGTGTCAACGCTTTCACACCCAATATCATTTCACAAGACCAAGGGGCAACAAAACAAAAGCAACAACGGTAGCATCAGACCGCATCCTCTGAATCTCATTCTCAGTGCCTCGCGGCCACGGTATGTGCTTCTTGTGTCGAAAATCCGTTCGATGTAAACCGCGTCGGGCGCGAACAGAGATGCAATCCTGCCAACTTCGTCGCTGGACGTGTCTGGAAATAGGGCACCACAGTTGATGGCCATTTCATGAGAAAATTATGATCAACCAGTGGATTTGTACACCCTATTTTCAGACCAAGCCATATGAACCCCATTGTTGAATTTCATTGCACCCAGCCAATCATGGAGGTTGATAAGCATTTCATACGCATGATCACATGGACAGTGACAATTCAATCTCCATTCCCATAAAAAAAATAGAATGAATAATTAGTAATGATAGCAACCACTTTTCTAAACAAGCATCAGCCAAAGGGTGAAGTGGCCACCTCTGACTCCAGAACGCCTTGGGAGGTCTGGAAATACAAGTTATGGAATCGCTGGGATTGATTTCTCAGAGGAAACTGTTGCAGCTCACCTGGTTGCCCTGGCGTTGCTCCATGCACTTCTGTGATGCTGCTTTCAACCGATTTCAGGGATTCAATGGGATTCAATGGGATTCAATCATCATGAACAGATCCACCGAAACACCACCATAAAATACCGCAACAAACACTTGAGCAGTGTTCAAAAACCTGTTGCCTGATAGGGATTCCTATCATGGATGATCATCTTCAATATCTTCTTGATGTTGGGTATCAAGACCCCCCAAGTACAATCATTAATCAACGGGGCCCCAGGGCTTTTGCAGTTGCAGCCACTGCTCCCTTCAGGATGCTCTTTTCCCAGTCCTGGCAGGATCCTGCGTCACCCAGGCCTGCCGGTATTCTTCAACCATCTCGCAAACTCTGCTCGATGTCAACTGGCATGGCACAGCCTGCCGCAACACCTGCAAAGGTACACAAGCATTGACACATTTGACATCCATTGACCCTTGGGCTTGGGCTGTCTGGACATCATGTGTTCATATAGAGTTCATCATTGGCATTGCAACCAGTGGCCACCAAAGTCACATTTGAACACATTTGTTTTCATGACTCCTCTGTCGTGCGCCTAAATTGATGTTTAACTCCCTTCCCAACATTGCGTACTTTCTTCAAAATCTGCTCGAGGCAAGAGCAGCATTTGTTCGCGTTTTTTGAATTTGCGCTCATTTGCGAAATTTAGCATGGATTTGTGCTTGTTGTCCGGATTTGCGCATCATGTTTGAAACAGGGATGAAGTGCAGAAAGCCAAAACAAGATCGAATCGACGCTTTGTGCTCTTGTCGTTTTTTACATTAAGAAAAGTAGGTTTACGTTGCGCAGGATCCATTTGTATGTACATATATATATGCATGTATAATTATATATACGTATATTAATCGAACAGGCAGAGGGACATAATTCTACATCATGTTGGAGGTTGTTGGAGGTTCTAAGAATATATATATATTAACGGAAGACACCGTATTTTCTCCTCATCCTTATGATCATTGATGATCTGTAAATTTGTGAAAACGCTATCATTCATTTCTCCAATCCTTCAAATTCAACAAGCTACATCGCCAGCTCCATTGATCCGTCCTCAATTGCCAGCAGTGGATGTCCTGCGGATCTCGCCTTCATTCGGCGCCAGCTCTGCAGTGCACACAGCACGGCAGGCACCGCTGGCCACAGCGGCAGCGTCCTTGGCGGTTTCTGTCGAAGCGAAGCCGCAGGCGCTGGAGGTGCTGGCGATGCAGTGCGGGCAACCGGCTCCATGAGCGACCCCTGGAGGGGTACTCCGACCCATGTCATCGGGGAAATCCCCTTTAGGGCCTAAATTAGAAGTGGAATTTCATGATATGTCATGGGCTTTCCTTCCCTTTCGGATGGTATTGTAATACTTTTTTGGCAATGATTTTGGCCAGAATTTGGAGCCCATACTGAGCTTGATACATGATGGACCCTGCCACAGGGTCCGAGCAGGCTTGGTAATACGCTGCAGTTTGGGAAAGCAGTGTTGTTCTGAGTCCCTGGGAATATGGCTATCCCTTCAAATGCCTCCTCTTACAATATATAGGCAGTCTTCAGATGTCTTCAGCATTGGCTCATGCCAGTCATCACACTGGATCAGAGCCATGTGGACGGCAAGGCTGTCATCTGCAGGTGTCCTCTAAGTTCATCTATATATACTAAGACATGTTCCTTTGTGACGTTGATTCCATCTTGAATGTGGTGAGTCATGGGAAGGGGCTCCAAGAGGATCTCTTTCCGGACCGCTCAGCATTCGTACTACCGAATAGGCTGCCAGTAACCCTGTCACTCTGGTTTCACAACTCCCCAAATAAACGGAGCTGTTTTTCCCGTTTCACATGCAATCTTCTAATAATTGTCTCATCTTCTAGGCAATGTGATAAACGCCAAGGATAAACCATCCCAATTTTACCAGAAAAGGATGGTATAGTTTCCTCAAGTGGAGGTTTATTGTCCGGTATAGCCATTACATGCAATCAGCATGTTTGATCATAATCAAAAAGTAGAACCTCACAAAAGCCCAGAAAGATAACAAGTAATTTGCAATTACATGTAATTACATGTACCATCTGGTTATTTAACATAGCCATGGAAAATTGCCCATTTATAGATGGTTTACCTATTAAAAATGGTGATTTTCCATGGCTATGTCAAATAACCAGAGGGTAATTACCAACATTATGGGGTAAACCACACATTTTTTTAAGCCTGGCCCCCCTGAGACAGGAGAATATTCAATGCGGCCTCTCGAACACATCGTCGCCACCAAGTGAGGGCGGAGGCTTGGGCGCGTCGTTGGCCCGAAGACTGAACGATGGCTCGATATGGCTCGATGGTCAGTGTTTCTCAGGCCAAACACTCCGGGAATTCGGATGAGTTTGGGATAAATATATGGATTATATATTATAATATATATATATATATATATGATTATATCATGATATTATATCATATCCGATCCCCATTGAATATATCATGGCTAAAGTTTGGATAAATGGATAAACGATGGATAAACTCTTCATGAACTGAGCTGCATCCCACCTGCAAACGGCTGCCGTGGCTGCTCACGTTCTGACGACGTTGCTTGCGATCTTGGACATACCTGAGTCGCGACACATGAAAAAAAGTGTGCAACTGTGCAACAGTAAAAATAAAGAGCTGTAATGAACTGTAGTAAATAATATGTATATACTGTAATCAGAATAAGCTGGCTTTAGCCAACCATAGCCAACCCAAACGGGAGTTGAACTAACCGATTTCGGGATTGACACAGCCAAAAGGATCTCAAGAACACAATCAAGATATGATACCAAAAATCAATACGGCAAGATGCTTTGCGCTTAGCTGATTGATGCTGGTTGCCGGTTTAACCCCCCCTGAAATTTCCGGTAACGTGTGCTGGAAACTCCACCGTTTGATGGTTACAAACCATAGAAAAAAAACACCCGTATATATTATATATATAGGGTTTCTTTAGTTGCCGTTTATATGGGATTTATAGATCAACCTGGGCTTTGACCTAATGGACCCGGGCCAGGTCTTTGTAAGCCATAATCTGCCTGGCCCGGGTCTGCCCCTCTACAAAATACAATGTGTACCGAGGGATTGCCGGTACAAAATGCAAAACCAGGTCAAGTTTTGCCACTACAAAATGCAAATATACCCAACATGAATATTCGGTACAAAATTTTCAGGGGATGCTACTTGCTGATCTACTGCTTGCAATTTGCATTTTGTACCGAAACCTACTTCCACCCTTAAAAACATGTACCACTTGTTGCCCCCCATGAGGTTTGCATTTTGTACCGAGCTGTGATTAGCTGTGATTCAGGATGAATCTGACCAATTTTCAATATTTCTTGGGCCGTACCTTATTTTCAATAATTCAAAATGAAATTAAGTGAGGTCATCTGAAAAACGAAATTAGAATTCCAGGATAGAGCTTCACAGGGCCAAAAAATATTGAGCGAACAGGAAACCAACAGCTCCATGGCTTGGTAAACTTTGAAGATCCTGACCTGCTCCAGAGGTGTTTTAAGAAAACAAAAGTGTTGGCAGAATAGGGGACCGTCCGCATTTTGTAGGGGCATCATGCCTGCTTTCTGTTTGTAGATGTTTTTAGGGCCCTTTTTGAACTATGAAGCACAAAGGGCCACCAGCAAAATGCTGCTACAAAATGCGGCAACCAGGAGAACAAATGTGCAATGACAGCCCAAAAGGGGCCCTACAAAATGCAAAATCCTGAGGTAAGATCTTCCAGAAACCAGAATTTTGGAAACAACATGGAAGCACTACAAAATGCCAAACCAGGTTCATTTTTGTTTCATGAAAAAATGGTTTTGGTACAAAATGTATGGCCCAGTAGGACTTTGGCGTATAAAATCTTGGTCCAAACCTGCTTTGTACCAAACCCGGGTTGACGTATTTTGTAGAGGAAATTCAAACCCCGATATTTATAGTGGGTTTCCATTTATTTTCCAATATTTGATGACTATTTACAGTGCTAATATGACACCAGGCGGTTGTGCTTTGGTGCACGCAGCCCAGCTACGCCACGAATCGTCGGAAAGTGGGCCCCATGGTCCAACGACCCAGCCTGCTGAAGATACAACGGTGCCCTTTTTCGACCACTGGAGTTTGGGGGTAATTCATGGTAAATTCCCAGGTTTAAGCGGCAAACCAAAGGGTTTTTTCACTACTCAAACCATCGATTGTGAGTTCACCCGTGCTAGGACTTGACCTAGAGGGATGGATGTGAACCCCCTGAGGCATAATGCAGTTAAATACCAATCATAATCATTTCAAATCCGTGATATGATGATATTGTTTCGTGGGGGGTGCCATTCACCTCCATCAAATCACCGTCCCCTCACCTCTCAAGACCCCGCTGCACTTCGCTACAGCGCTGCAAAAACAAACGCCAACGAGCCTTGGTGCCATGAATGTTCAGGGCGATTGTACCCGACATGGGGGAGGTTAAGCGGCAAACACAGGGGGTTAAAGCCAAAGCAATACACATAGGATCTCATAAATATCAAAGTAACTTCGGAAATATAGAAACCAAATGAGGGGAGAATTTCAACCATTTTATAATACTTGGAACTCATCAAGAAGGGTAAGGATCAAGTTGAGAAAACTGGAATGTAGATTTAACCAATGAATCTAATCTCGGGGGATTTGCTACCATCAGAAATAGGGATGTATCCAGGAGATAGAACTGCATGATGCCAAAGAGATTGGGCTATACATCAAGATTGGGCCCTGCAATCAACAAGCATGAATGGGGCGGGGGTGAGTTTTCACCAACGAAAGATCCTGGCTCATCCTCTTTGCCAAAACTGATCCGCAAAACCAATCAAAATTTTGAGGGTTGATTTGACGAGAAAAAAAGACGAAACGGCGGGTTTGGGTCTTGCACAGCAAGATAGGTATACAGAGAAATTTTCCTGATCCTTTCATCCTTTCCATCAATTTTCTGGGATATGATCTCTTGTGATTTGTCATGCACATCTGTTGAAAAATACTGAAGGCCGCAAAGATTCTGTATTTCAATTGAAGCTGATGCAAGTTTGTGGCTCTTTGCTTTTACTGATCGAGGCACAACCACGTCCTGCGACAACACGCCGTTCTCGGATCCTGTTGGGCCCCGTACCATGATCTGTCGCATTAACTGATGCGGTCGCTTCTCCCCCACTAGCAGGAGGAAGGACCTCCATACCGTGGCTGTGGCTGGCCTTGTAAATCCCAAAAGGGTCAAAACATGCAGGAAAACAAATGGAATGTGTCTACAACAGCGCAGATTTAGATTACAAAGCCACCAGCGGGCCTAAGGATGCCTAAGGATCTGTGACATCAATCCACAGCAGTGTTTATCCTTATGGGATCTTATGGGATCATATGTTTACTCACCATCTTATGATATGCAGAATGTTAAGGTAACATGGTATTAGATGCCATTTCTTGGATGAGACAAGTCCTCATGTACAGATATGTACAGTACAAACACATTTAAGCCATGATCGAATCAAATCGCAATATTAACACCAAATTGTTTTTCTTTTAAATGGGATGGGATACCACAATCATCCACAATCAATCTATGATGGGTGCTTAAACCCCGAGTTTAGTTGGTCAAATGTTAAATCCCCATTAATTAAAATCCAATGTTTGATGCTGAAATCCCAATTTTCAGTGCTTAAGTCACTTAAGTCCCATAAAATCTTCCATTTGCAGATCATGTTCCCACTAAAACCTCCATTTCTACATGCTTCTCCCAGCTATAAACCTCCATTTAATTGAGGATTTCCCAACTTTTGACCACAAATCCATCTGAGGTGGCGGCCAGTGTCGCAGCATGCGTTTGGCGCGTCTTGCGCCCACCGCTGCCGCAACCTGCAGCGCTGGCCGGGCCTTTGTTGCACTTTAAGGTGCCGCTGCCGCTGCTTTTGATGGCAGGGACAGAACAAAAAGCCGTGAAAAATGCACGTATCTATCCACAGATTTGCTCACATGGAGGTCCGCCGGGTTTTTTTTTTCCGGGGCTTCTGCAATCACAATATCGAAGCCACAATTTTCTGGAACTCCGGGCAAATACTTCCTTCCCCAGGAACTCTGTGAGGCGCACAGTGACCCAACTGTCAATGTGGGGAACAATCAAATATGTGATGGTTACGGTAAAATGACGAACATCGGCAGAATCCTTGATCAGTACATGATCAAATGTACGATGAATTCGCCATAGGCCCCTGTTTTGCTTCAACTCACCATCCCAAGCTTCGACCCAAACCTTCTCCCCACAGGCATACAGACCCATCCTCAATGCCGGGCAAACATGTTACGCAAGTTGGCATCTTGGCCGCTGAAGTTTGACACTTCCAGGGTGGAACAGCTGACAAGAAGTTTCGGATCCCCATGGCCCCCACAGCCAAACATTAATCGGTTTACGATTTGTTTATCTGGGTCTTGGGCAGCATGAGCTACTGGAAGCTACTGGAGATGATGGAGGATTGCGCATACTCTACGCAATGGAAATAAATGTTGTTTTCCTGCAATGTTTCATTAACGTCACTTCAGTCTCTTCTAGATGCTGCTGCCATGCTCCATTGTATTCCAGGGAGTTCCTGGTTGAGCCCCCAGCATTGCAGACCAACCTGTGAAAGCTCGAAGCACCTTATGGAGCACTGGCAGAGGGTCGGCACTTGGCATGATGGCTGTTGGTATTGACTATGCCTATAAATGCCTATAAATATATGACCATATAATATTTATAAACATTATGATGATGATGATGATGATGAGGAGGAAGAGGATGAGGACGAGGAGACGGTATATCGATATCAACATTGATAGTGATATTGATATCATCCGGTTGGTTGAAACGTACTTCTTAGTCCGGACACATGTTTCTTGTGTTTTTACCATCAAAACATTCGAGATCTCGCAGATCGAGGTAGCATCAAGAAAACCGATAGAGATGGGCCAGTCCAGAAACTATATCTACAGATATCTACAGATAGTTACAGATATCTACAGATATCTACAGATATCTACAGTAATTCACTTGGCATAGTGGGGTCTAGCCCAAATTCAGTGGTGCCATGATTTCCCCATCCGAGGTTTCGGGCCAGCTGTTTGCAAAGAACCTGCGGTGCGTTGCTGGCTGGGCGATGAGTCATGATACTGTTGTACCCTATAACCTGGTGAACCCAAAAATAGCGTCTCTACTAGCAATGGATGTTCATCACCCCCATATAATGTATTATAAAATAATGTAAAATATATGGTATTGTGTGGTATGGTATGGTTTCGGCCCATCACATGGTGCTTCACTTCAAGAAATCCCCACCAGCAATCAAGGTCAGGGCTGCCTGCCCATCCCACTTCTCGGCCACATCCACCAAACGTCGAAAGCCTCGTTGAGGCATTTGCCCGGAACGAACCGCTGAGACCAACCAGCTTTGGGCTCATCATCTCAGTTGGATGGAACATGAGAACAACATCTAACACCAACAAACCAACAAACAACAAGTTTGTATTTGTAAGGTGGGAAATGTCCTCATTTGTTGGTGGTTCCATCTGGCTAAACAATAGCACGTAACAGTAACCTCAAAAAAATAGAAAAGTAGCTTGTCACAGTTTGTCACTATTCTAATAGGATTGTACTTGTCTATCCTTTGGGGGGCTGCCATACTGCTATACATGTGGCATCATGTGCCTATTCATAGAAACTGGCTTAACCAGCCTCTCACATAGAAGCACCACACCTCCTGCCATCTTGTCCAAGTTGCGTCCAGCAGAACACCAACGTTCGATGCCCCACCGCTGCCTGTTATGGAGCACAACTGGTTGGTGCTTGGGCCATTCATTGCAAGAACTATGAGTGCAGTGGGATGAGGGAGGATGAACACTACAATAGGTCAAACAACGTTCAACAAAGTATGACGGGATCCTTGGAAAATCTGAAAACAAGTTGACATCACCAACATGTTGATGCTATAGTGGTTCAAACTGACACTAACAAACAAACCTGGAACAAAGTAATCTGCATGCCACATGTGTGGCAGCCATTGCAACCGCAAAAACCCGCAGAATGCACTTGGGATATATTGCTGCAATCATTCCATGATGTCGGTTGTCTTGGGTGACTTCAACCAAGTGATGCTACGTGATGTCCTGCAGTTGGTGCCCCAACACGTTGCACCCTGGGCCGCCTCGATTGTCTGACGAAGGCTGTTTTCACCTCGTCTCCTTCCCTGGCAACGAACGGATGTTCATCTACGGGGCATTGAGGATATCCCAAGAGTTGTCGGTGGAACATCAGCATCTTCCCTTCCAAAGAAATTGCTACTCTATTGTGATCAATAATCTCAAAGATCCAATCAAATCACTGTTGATAGTAGAGAGCACATGAAATCATCGACCAGCCTAACGCTGGCTAGACAACACCCTTTGGATGTCTTGGGTACTCTGTTCAGCTGTGTTCATGTGGGGGGAGTTTGCCATGGTATACAGTAGTTAGCCCTGCTGAACTCCACCAAAATCATGAATCCAATTTAGTTTATTATTTAATCTTATTTATTGCTTTCATCCATCAAAAAAAGTAATCCACTAATTATAGCCCACTTATAATCATGACTCATGACTCATACTCTCCGGCAATGCAACAGTGTGCTATGGAAAGTCATCATGTCAATAGCTAAATTTACCATGGCTTCCATAGCAATGTACCTAATTCCCCGAGGGTATAGGTCATCATTTCCCCATTATATCCCCATTATCCCACCGTTGTTCTTGGTTAAATCGCTATTTTTGATGGTTAGATCCCACTAAATTCTATTCTTGTTAAATTCCAATATACTCCAATTTTTTTCACCATGTTCGCCCGGGCAATCCGTTAATATATCACCATGTTTGCTCCTTCCCCGATAAATCCATTAGATTTTTTTCCTGGCACGAACGACCTGGCCTCCGCCGAGCATGGGCAGAGGCCCAAGCCTTCCAAGCATGGAGCCATTGCAGAGCGCGGCTCTGAAGCACCGCCTGCCATGACTGGCGTGGAAGATGTTGGATGTTGGAAGATTCATTGGATTGGTTATGATTGGTTTAAGGAAAAACATGGAAAAACTTTACAGGAACCCAGACTTCATGGGAAATGTCATGGTTTCCTTTAGATTTTCCCTTCGACCAGTGCAATGAGAAATGAGCTTCAACAAAAAATGGACGATGCTCTGGGTCCCACTGTCCTTTTTGGGGGAGGGGATTTGTAGGTGTTTCTATTGTTTTTTTGCGATTATGATTATATATGTTTTATTCATGAATATGATTAACCAGCGACATTATATATTGTGTACTGAATAATTAACCATTAAATTGGAATGAAACCCAGTTACATCAAAGGGTCATCTCCTCATTTCTGGGTTGAAATGCGCGTTATACAGTAAGCCAATTACGATGCTTGGGATGCACATCCAGCTAGTGTCGCAGCGACACGATTCATGTGAAAAGCGGCGGCCAATATTAGGCTGGCAAAACTACTGCGCGAAATTTGATACCCTCTGGTAATTTAACATAGCTATGGAAAATTACCATTTTTAATGGGAAAACTCACTATAAATGGCCATTTTCAATAGCTATGTTAGTTTACCAGAGGGTAGATGATAAGTAGACTGTAGACTAAGTAGACATTATCCCCCCAAAAAAGAGAAGCGTCTCATCCCAACCAATCCAACATTCAAATATATTCAAAATATGAATATGCATAGATAATCATAAATACGTGGAATCTCACGGAATATCCACCAGCTTCCAGGGCAACTCTCTGTCACCTTAAACATCTCGCGAAAGTTCCCGATGGAAACTATGGCCTCAGCGACACCCTCTGCGGTGATGTTTCGTAGCATCAGCAAATGCCAGGAATTCAAGAGGGCTGCACGCCTCAAGGCTGCGGCAGGAAGTGCAGGTCTACACCCTGCAAGGCCACCAACTTTTTTTGGTCAATATAGAAATGGTCATGATTGCTCATGACTCTAGAAACACCAAACAAAAAAAAGAAGGAACGTGGGAACATGATGGTTTATATTATATATATATGTGTGTATATATATATATATCATAGATATAGTGTCATTTGCTGCCACTTTAGTTCCAGTCTGCAAATCCCCCAGGAACCACACGCTGGAGGATGAAGCAGCAAGGTTCAACCCTCAATGAGAAAGCACAAAAGTCAAATAAATAACATAATTGACATATTACATAAATTTCATGCCAAACAAGACTATCAAAGGGTACATTCCATGCTATTCCGGCTTGAGATGATTCAATTTAAGCCAAGAAGGCCATTTTTTTTGGTCCACTGCCACCCTTGTAAACCCAACAATAATACACCACCCAAATCACATCAAATCACCATAAATGGGTGCTATAAACCAATCCATATGGATCCATATGGCTGGTGTATGACCCCAGGCCCCAGGCATCCCCAGGCACCTCCGCTGCATGAGCAGCTGCTGCCCCTGGCGCGCCCGCAGGCGGCGGCGACAGGTGCCATGCCAGGCAGCGAGAACACGCAGGGCGTGCTGGGAGTAGCTGTTGGCTGCCCAAAGCTCCACTGAGTTCATCACCTGAATCGCTAGCTGAATCGGGATGGCGATCGATATGTATATATATATTGTTATAATATATAGTGGTATAGATATAGAATGATATAGATACTTAATATATCCGAAAGATCAGAATGTTCAGCAGCACTTTGAAGTGGGGTCGTGCGGAGGTCGCTATTTAAACATTTACCCCGCTGGGATGGCACAACGGCCTCGGGTCCTCGGGTCTTCGGGTCCTGTTGTAAGTGGATTAGTATACCCTGCAGACCCTGCAGCAGACTAATATATAGCCATAATATCTATGGCAAATATGGTAAATAGATTGTAAATAGCCACTTATAGTCATATATAGTTAATAGATTATATATTTATCCACAGTATTAAACATGCGGATTTTCCATAGCTATGCTGCTTTGCTAGATTACCGGAGGGTATGTTCCCATGTGTATCCATTTGTGGGTATTCTGAAGTGTTACAACTAGGGTAACTAGGGTGTGGGGGTGGGGGCCGCCATGTTGAGGTTCATCTTTGGGCAAGAACGACTGAATTATGAGCCCCTGCTCCTCCGTTGTAAGTTCGTTTGATGGAAATTGACGGAAAATCGTTCCCAACAAATTTCAATCGGGGGCCCATCACTTCAAGATGGGGAACATGTTAATGAATGGATGCATGGTGGATTTGCCCCCATTTTGAGGGTAGATGTAGATGTTGCCGAATGCATCGCGGAGCACATAGCTCCACATAGGACATAAAAAATGCAGAGGTATAGATCCTGGAAATTGAGCAGTCGGGACCTTAACATTCTTAGAGAAGAGCCATGTTCTTCTGGAAATATTATGTTTTTTCTTGCGGGCATGTGTGCTTGTAAATCCTGCAACTTCAGCGGGGGATCCTGCCAGCTTCCCATGGAAAATGCATTAATATACCAATTACTTTGGCACTTGAGCCATCTTTCGCCCATTTTTCCTAGGTACTTGGAGGGTCTAGATATACCATATATACCATCATAACGCCAGTCGTGATACGCGCCCAGTTACCGAGGTGAGCCGTTCCACGCGCCGTTTCCAAGCGAAGAGCGTCTTGCGTTTCATCCGGACGTCGCGGTAGCGTTCGCAGAGCCTGAGGCGTCCAGGAAGACCTGTTGATATACAGTATATGATGTATATGGTGATTGAATGGAGAGAATATGAGAAACCCAATGCCATAATTGGGGATGGTTCATACATACCACATCAAAATAGTGATGACCTGGGGATGGTTTATGGCTTTGATTTTTAACCCATTACTCACCTATCAAATGATGATTAGTGGCAAATGATGGCAAATGAGATCCATCGAGTTTGAACAAGAATCATCTATGAATCTGATATTGTGATGAATTTAACCCAAGAAAAATGGCGAGAGAACGACTTCAATGGATTGATACACATTGATTTACATAACACACACACACATATATATATATATCATAAAGTCTACTGGAATCACAGGTTTTTTGCCCCAAAATAAAGGGAAGAGGCATGAAGAAACCACGATGTCCACAATTTTCTACCCAACATGTAGGAGTTCATATGGATTCATGGCTGTCATATATGGTGCCGTTGTGAAGTCAGCGCCAAGGCCAAGGTACAAGTGTACGCCGCGCTTATGACGTTGTTCCACCGAGCCATTCAGCCAGGAATGGAAGCTGATGTACAGCAGCTCCTGAAATGATCAGCATGATCAACTTTTATGTGGGAAAATAAAGGAAAATCATGAATATGTCTCCCAATGGAGAAGAAACAACGAAAACAAATGTGAAAACTGGTGGATCTTCCGTGTTCATAGTCAACTTGTCTTGTTGATCATAGTTACCTTACCCTCTGGTAATCTCAATGGGGAAGTTCCGATGGCTCATGGGAGCATGAGGAGCTTCATCCAAGTCTATGTGCAGGTGGATACTCCATTGAATGTTTCATTACGAGAGGGTAAAACTGGTGAATCGTCTGTTGTCAATCCACTTATCTTGGTCATAGAGCTACTTTGGGTCCCCAGCCAACTGGTTTATGATGAGTTGAACGATGTTGAATAAAATCATCACAAATCGGACTGGAAGAGCAGCACAGTAAATCCTACGATGTAGAGTAGAGTGTCCTCAAAAATCCAGCTTTTTGGGGCAAAACGCAGAACAACGATCGAATGTCCGTCTCTCAACTCTGTCTTTGACCTTGGAGTGCGCAAACCAAAAACCGAAAGTTCCGGTTCAATACGGCCCACCTCTTTTACATCAACCTCCTTTACTTATTCACCCTCACAAACACCATAACTTGCCGCAAAATAAATTGATGTCAACCCCGAATCATAAACCCTGACTATGCACTGGGCAGGAGTACCGCAAAAACAGTGATAAATCTAACTACATCTAAGTAATTACGATATGAAAATTAGCACACACCCTATGACAAACTGGGTTCTTAATCCTGGCTTAACCGGTTCAGCTCCTCACGTCCTGCCTCGTCATCAGCACGTCGCCCTTCTTCTACCCAGCGCCACCAACGACGCCAGGTGCCATACATCTGACGTTGGCCATGTGCCAGGCAGGCCTGCCGAACAATGGTTTCCTATGGATTCAACAAATATATTATAGGAAACCAAATGGAACTTTATACAGTAGATATATTTCTATTATGATGAGCCAGTTCCATTTGGTTTCCTATCTGTTGAATCCGCTAGAGTCGCTACATCTCTCTCCATGGCCCTCAAGCTTCAGCGTCAGGCTAAGGGCGTGAGCAGGTGAAGCCAGATCTCTATGTGTATGTGCGTTTATAGAGTTGTAATCCCATTTGTGACCCACAAGCCACCATACATTTGCCACATTTTGTCACCATATTCGGAGGGGCCCTCAGCCCCTAGAAATCCCCGAGGCTGTTGTCACTTTCCGTGCCTCTGAGAGCGTGTCCATCAGCACTGGAACCAGGACCTGATTGTACCACGCTGGTCCACTCACCAGTTGGCATCATGAAAAAACGAAAAACTGCATATCATTGCCTCGGCAAATTGAAATAAATCTGGCCATCTGGCAGACCTCTCTCGAAATCGATTGAGATCTATTTCAATACATAATATTGACATATTGATCCTATAGCCCATAAATATCCATAAATCCATATAAATCCTATTGAATATATATATATATAATCATATATATATATATATTTATTTATTTATATACTGTAATACATATATATATATAATTATATATATATATATATTGAGATCTCTCTAGCATTGGATGGTGCCTGGTCCCATGATCCCAATGATGAAACGCCACGAATGAATCTTAATCAGTCTTAACCATTCCCAAATGGAACCTTGGTTTTAGCTTACAACGAGGTATAATAACCATACTGACTTATAATATATATATATATATAGATTATAGATAAATAAATTATAGATAAATAAATTATAGATAAATAAATTATAGATAAATTATAAACTAATTATGTTGATCGTTGTTGACCATTTTTGATCCAATTCAAACATTTTTCGAAACTCAGCTCTCCACGCCTTGAATTCTCGAATCCTCTCAAGGGCCTGCACCCACCTTGCCAGCCATGGGCTACATGAAACTTAAACCGTGAAAGAAAAGAACTCTCTGCAGCGGCCAAGAAACCATCATTTCTTTGCAGCATTTTGTCTGCGAACAACCCTGCGGGATTTTGAGGAAGCTACTGATCTGTGTGGTCTCAACCCCTGCTCATCGATTTCTTCGAAATGTTGGTGTGAGCCTGTTTTTAGTTCCCTCAGTGGTATTGGCAAATCAAATGCCAAATCACCAGCGAGTAATGCAGGACATGCATTCAACCAACCAAATCCTGGAACCAAACAAGTAGAAAGACCCAAGTCTCAAGTAACAATGTGTTTGCTTGCCCTCAGGTAAACATTAGCACGGAAAATCACCAATCATTGTTAAGAGGTAAATATCGGTAAATCCCATCTTTCTTTCACTTTCCAATGAATTTCCAATGAATACCACAGCTATATCACCATCCAGCACCACAGCTATCGCCCAAGCCGCCACGAAATCGCAGCTTGCAGCAGGAAGCCCTTCCGTCGGGCAATGCCTTGGTGTCCGGAAAAAAAAGGATGTGGCTTGGTCCACAAAAAACAACAACAACAACAGCAACAACAACAACAACAACCACAACCACAACCACAACCACAACCAGCAACAACAACAACAACAACAACAACCAACAACAACAACAACAACCAACAACAACAACAACAACAACAACCACCAACAACAACAACAACAACAACAACCAGCAACAACCAACAACAACCAACAACAACAACAACCAACAACAACCAACAACAACCAACAACAACCAACAACAACCAACAACAACAACACCAACACCAACACCAACTAACAACAACAACAACAACAACAACCACAACAACCACAACAACCAAACAACAACAACAACAACAAAAACAAAAACAAACAAACAAACAAACAACAACAACCACAACCACAACCAGCAACAACCAGCAACAACCAACAACAACAACAACAACATAACTAACCAGCAAACAAAATGCAGAACACGCACTTAACCAACAAAAATATGGATGTGTAACATGGTGTAGCTTCAAAAGTTGTTTCATCACTTTTTCACAATGAAAATTGCCATAAATTGCGGGGCAACTCCCAATGTGCCTTGTCCGAGCCGGTTCAAGCACCCTGTGCTGGCAAACGCCAGTGGAGAGACTTGAGCCTTTGTGGTAAACAACATGATAAGCCATCCCTAAAAGCAACTATCTTGACACACAGGTGATAAAATAGGGATCAGAAGCATTCCATATAGATGCCATTCGATTGGCAATTTAAGTGATTTCCCTATATCCAAATTAAATCAAATAATATGATATGATATATGTATATTATACTTATATATACCTATAAATATATATATACATATAATAATATATGGTGTTTTCCTAAAATGGGGTATCCCCAAATCATCCACTTTAATAGGATTTTCCCTTATAAACCATCCAGCTATTGAGTAGCCCATGGAGAAACCCCTCGGGACGCCCCGGCCGTGGCTGATGCGTTGATGTGCAACTTCCATGGAGTGGATCGTCCGGCCCAACCAGGCATTCCAAACACGCGCCTTGAGGAAAGAACAATGACAAGTCAGGATTCGGTCTTTCATAATATGTATATTTACGATGGAATTATACATATATATATATATACACATACCTCTACACACACAAATTTATATATATGTATATAATTATATATATATAAATCAATGATATAATGATTCAATGATGTGATGATGATATCTTTATCTATAATTCAATGGGATGGCGCGATCATCTACTATACATCCACCGTCAAAAAAGAAAAATATATGGTTCACCGGATCAACCCAAGAGAGCCCCAACACACCAGGAAACTCCTGAGAAGGGTACTTGAGCCTTGCACCACTGCTTAAGTTTGAGATTCTATTTCCCTAAGTCTCTTGGATACTGCTAGCCACATGCACCTATATATAACCATTAAATTTTTATTACAGTAAATGTTCCACAAATTTATTTTGTGGTAAACTGGTAAGCTATGGTAAACTCAACTAAAACAGAAAAGCACCAACCATCTGCAAATAGTTTTTAAAATCCAATTTAGTATTGGGGATGTATACTTACTGTACTTATTGGTTTTACCACATTAAAGTCATCCAGTTTTTCCACCAGGCTCGACCCATCCACCCACCTTCAGCACAGTGAGCTGCTGCCGGTGCCCCTCCCCTGCGCGGAAAAGGCCAAGCCAACGTTGGAGGATTCGAGAGCTGCCCCTGGCGACACCCTGGTGCCCCTGGTGACCTTTGGTTGATATTTTGGGGGAAACATCTCTAGGAAACCCCTGGGTTTTGGCCAAAATGTGAACAATTTATGGGTGAGAATATCTAGGACACCCAGGTTTTTTATTGTTTTGACCGCTGTTTTGGTCAAAGTATGAACCATCTTCGACTCGACCATCTTCGACCCTCATTGGCTTGGGTTTTGCAAAGAACGAGTTTTGCAAAGAACTAAGATCCAACGTTTTTCCATCCTAACGACCTGAATGCAATTAAACATAGATGCAACCAGTTGGACAACCACTGCCCATTTTTAAGAACACAAAGATATGTACTCACTCTTCTTTGTATATTGTGTTATATAATATATATATATATATACTTAGTATAGTTAGTTCCTAACATTCCTAACCAATACTTCAATAGAGCTTCACAGACTTTTTCTCGCCGCTTCGCAGCGGCTCACCGCGTCGGGACAGCTCCTTGGCGTCGCTGCGTCGCCATGGCCTCAATGGGGCAGGTTTAAGGAGCTACTTGGCGGGTCACTGTGCGGATCATGTTTGTGGTGAATCACCATAGTCGGTTCACCATGGTTCACCCATTTATAGATGGGATAACTCGGATAACCATGGATAACCCACTGAATGCGGACTGACAATCACCAGGGTGACTATAAGCAGTTGCGATTCGTGGGATGGAGGTCATGGACACATGCAATTAATCGCAGTGATTCGCAAGACGATGTAGGCAAGAGTCATGGGTTTGCAATGGTTTGCATTCCACTCTGGCAGTTTCTTAGGTATGACACCGGCACGCAAGAGTCATCAAGACAGACAGCATCTCAGATATCTCATGTGCAACTCGTTGCTGGGTGAGTTAACTACTTGGTACACGCTTGATAGACGGCCGTGGCCTTTTATGGAAATAATACCACACCTCACCCGCCATCAAATTTGCACCTTATCTCAAAAAGGCCCCGAAAAAACTGCTGAAATCAATGATTGCATCGTCCTTTTTCTTCAATGCTTCAGCAATCCTGGCAAATCATGCAGGAAGTCGAAGGGAGATGCCGGTCCAAGACTTTGTTTCCAGACCCACTGGTATACCATAGATTGACATCTTCTGACATGACTGTATGGCCATCTTTTTCAAGGTGATTGACACGCAGAGGCCACCAATAATTTTTACGCCATGCTCTGTCAATGATTGTGTGCCTGCAAGGAAAAGTTAAGAGCGTAGCATCAAGAGCGTTTATAAATTGCCGATAAAGTTAGGAGCGTAACATCAAAAGCGTGTTGAAATTGCAAGAAAAAGAGCGTCTTGAAATTGCAAGGAAAGCAGTAAGACCCTGACATCAAGACCATCTGAACAAAATATAACAAAATTACAGGTGAGAAAACGTTATTATGCCCCCACCCCCCGAAACCCCCAACCTAATGGTTGCACAAATTCCAACTCAAGTGCAAAACTTAAACTTCTAAGTCATGTGCAAAATAAGAGGAAAAACGAGTGAAAAAGGGCTACAGAGAACATACTGTAAAAACCCATAAGAAATGACCCTAAAATTAGAACCAAACAGCTGTGGATTTCTGACACGCTGGAAGATCTAAACGCTTACCAGGAGCAGGTTCCGGGTGCTCTGTCGCCAATGCTCCGACGTCACCGCACAACAGGGTGTAGATTACTTCCACCTCTGGAGGAAACATGTGACATGGTCAAAACATATCAAAACAATTCAAAACATGGTATGTAGCTTGTGGTCATCCATTCCATCAGAGAAATGCTTATGGCCATATAAATCCACTCCAAAGGTTGATGTAAGGCCATGTCGAAACTGTCGAATCTCTCCCCCAGTCTTAGCGATCAATATCGGGAGACTTGGTTTCAGAAACCTGGATGGGCTAAACAGCGTATCGAAATTCTATTTTAGCACGTTGTTTGTGTGGCAACAGCATGCAACAGCCCCGCATAAAACCGCAAAGAAAAGCCACGAATTAAACATAGCAACATCAAACCTGATCTAGCAAAATATATTGGATACAGTAGTCACAGACTGTAGTCCATATATGTCCATATCATATATCTAGGCCCATACAGGCTGACGTGTCCGGAATACAGAGGCTCAACCTGACCACTGGCCACCTGGTTCACTCCGGATGTCAGCGTCACAAATCCTCCTCGTCCGATGGCACTGCAGTGGCTACAGCGACGGCCAAAACGCCACCGTCCTGTGCTGATGGACCTTCCTACCCCGGATTCAACAAAACAAGAAAAGGAATATAAGTAGGGCCTAGGGTGATATTGGAGGCTGAAGCTCTCTATGAAACTGGAGTTTGAGCCTATTTTGTCTGCTTCGTCGTCCTGAAGTACGACGAAAATTCCTCCAGTTACAGAGTTCTTCATCTTCCATCCACGGACAGTTTTCATGCCAGCCGATATGAAAAAATGGTCCCACAGTACTTGTTCCGGAAGAAGCACCAGATCTAATCATCGTCATCAGGTGGAAAGTTGAAGATCATCTTCATTGTTTTCCCCAAATCCCAAGCACATTGCAGCAGTTTCACCCCTAACTCTATTCCTAAGTGGACCAAAGTTGCTCTCCTTCAGCGACATCTGCGAGGCGGAGGCCGACACTTTGCTCAGCTGCTGTGGTGTCAAGGCAGCAAAGATCTCAGCTGGCGGCACAGTGGGATGTTCAACATCTACCCAGGTTGGTTCAGGGGATACCCTCCTGCAAACTAAAATAGATGTGGAAAATCCATCATTTGTAGATCATTTTCCCAGGGAAATCACGTGTTTTTTTTCCACATCTATGTTAGTTTACCCATCGTTTACCCTAGGATACTTTGTTTGCACAGACATCCGCCAGCCAAAATAAACGGGAGTATCTCTAGAAATCATCTGAAAATATCTGAAGTTCATTGGATATCTACCATCCACGAATTCAGCTAGAAAAATGCACACACAGATGTTGCACGCACAGCAACCCCAAAAAGCAGATGGTTATAGAAGTCGTACGCATGAGTATCAGCATTTAACATAATCACCATGTATCGCAAACATAACGCAAACTAAGTCAACACATAAATAGATCAATGGATAAATCAATTCAATAAGATCACAATAATCATTATCTAAACCAATATCAACACATCTAGTAAAATAATATTGATCATATCCCCGCCGTGCCGTCCTATGTTCTATAACCCAGGAGAAGCCATAAGAAAACCATCAGAGACGCATTTTGCGATAATAATCATCCTACGGTCCTATAGACCATTATCAATTAGGTAGTTAAATAACATTAACTCATTTTTATCATCTATGTCTTCTCCACAACATACAAAAAATATAAGCATAAGCCATAAGCATTATCATAACAATATTATAATTAAGTAATTAATACTATATAATAATAATCGTCATCATCATCATCATCATCATCCACAATAAACAATAATAAACCATAAAGAAAGCGACTTCTTCTCCCAGCATCGCCCTCCCCGGTTCGCGCTTTGATCCCCCACCGACTCCCAGGGATGCGCAGCCGCCCCAGCCATCGCCAGCTGTCGCAGCTCTTGGGGCCAGCAGCCCTCGGTGGCCTGGAGGATCTGCTGCTTCAGCTGATGCGAAGGACCTGCAAAAATTGGGAAACATGGCGATTTCATGAGATATGTGATACAAATGGTCCATGGTGGACAAGTGATAGATATATGGTATTATATGGTGGATATGTGATAGATATGATACATGGTATATGTAGATAATTGTAGCTGTATCATATGATATATATATAATGATATACCTATAGAATTCTATAGATGGATTTAGCCTCTGGCAATGACTAACACTAGTGACATGGATGGGATGACCCTGCTCGGGGTGTCAAAGTTCAACGGGAGGCAGGAGGCTAGTCTTACATGCTTACATTAATTGAACAGGCATACCTCAAAGTCATTCCAAACATTTCAAAACCAACATGCGAGAGAGTTGCTCACCCGCAATGGTTTTTTTATAGCAGCAGTCCAAGCTAATTACTGTAAACATCTATAAACCACCCATATACCACCCATATACCACCCATTTTTGTTTTTGTTGGTCTACAACACCTGCTGGACATGGGATGGACGATGATGGACGCCCACATTTCCATCATTTCCCATCCAAATCCACACATCAAGTCGCTTTCTGCTTCTAGATCTGAGATGAAGTGCTGCAGCATCTCCCACCGATCATCTTCGTCTGGCAAAGTGACCCTTGGTGGCTGCTGCAGTGACCAGTTTGGAGCTGCAGGAATCTGTTCCTCTCACATTTCATCCCAGCATTTAATTCAAGACGATGTGTCCCAGATTGTCCCAGACTCATTGCGTGGTCTCAAACGTAGAAACAAACATGTTGATCCGTGTTCGTCCATGGACCTGTTGGTGGGTCGGAAAATGCTGCGATGACATCCAATCATATACATTTGGCTTACCACTTTAGCACATAAAAGGCCAAAGGTATTCAAAATGCAGCAACAACTCCAATCATATATGGAACAAATACTACAAACAATCCAAAGAAAAAACAAAAAATCGTGTCAAACAAACGTATCCAAAACCAGATCTCCAAACAAAAAACTATTTAATAATCATTCTCTGGGTAATCCAATATGGCACTGGAAAATCTCTCATTTCTAGATGGTTTTCCCATCAAAACCTCTATTTAGAAGGGATTTCCCAGAAAAAAATGGTGAAAGGGGGAAACTAGGACAACAGAGGTTGGAGGTTGGTTGGGAGGTTGTTATGTTTTTGTTCAATATTGTAAATCTAAATGTTTGACTGTTTCTTTTTGATTATCTTGCTAAATGTTTTGTTGAGGTTGTTGTGATAATGTTTGGTTTGGATGAGGGTAGGTTTTGTTGAGGGCGTTTTGGCTGTTATGGTTTTTATGTTGTTGTTCAATGTTTCTTCCTTATCTTTGATGTTTTATGTGGTGGGGGTTTTGGGACTATTTTACCCCTAACTTTCACTTGATGGTTTGGTTTAAGATGAGGGGGATAATTGTTTAGACTGTTGTGGTTTTTGTTTGTGTTTGGGCGGGTGGTTACTTCATAATATATTTTGTTAAGATATTATGAGTTAATCATTTATGCTTTCCACTTTCCTATTCCATCCCACCAGTGTTCAATTATCCTGACTTGACTTGTGATAGGTTTGTCTGTATCATTCAGTTCATCTATTGCTAATGCTAATAGAGTTTGATTTATTGCCATAGCATCCCATTTTCCATCACGGCTAAGTTCCTTACCACAATCAACGATGACCTTTTCATCAGTGAGGTTTTCATACATCTTTTTCATAATGTCAAAATTTACAAACGAATATATTATCATAGCATTTATTCCTTGGTCGTTTTTCAATCTGTTAATTACTTTCTTCCAAAATTTGTCTCCTTCCTCATCATCTGGTGAAGGCATAGGATGACACCTTACAAAGTCTCTAATCTCTTCATCGTCTTTTTCTATTGCTTTTCTTTCCCAGTCATCGTCTTCGCTTTAACTACCAAAGTCAGCATATAAACCGATATTACCTATATCTATAACCTCAATTTTTGCTCTACTCATTTTCTCTTATTATATATAGTTATTTTTTCTTTAAGTATTTATCACTTTTTGTAGGTGCTCTTTTATTTCTTCTTGATTACAGTATTTCTCATAACCATTGAACAGTTCTTCGGTGTATTCACGCAAGAAAATTTCCAAAATGTCTTTTATCTTGAACTCCCTGTTTCTAAACATAAAAGTTCGTTCAACATTAGGAAACCACCAGCATCTTCGTTGCTTACTGTGATTGATGAAATTAAGGTCGTGAAAGTTCTTTAGAATATGATAAGTGTATTTCCAATGGTTTTTGACATAAGAATTAATCGCTTGAAGATATATCTTATCTTTTTGAAATTCTACCTTCAGTTTATAGGTGTCCATTAAAGCATCTATTTCTCTCTTCATTACTCTAACATTTGTTCGGTCGGTGTTGGATAAATAGATAGGTGATTTCTCCATCCTTGTTTTAAAGAAATGCATTTGTTTTTCAACTCTTGTTAGTTTTTTCTCTTCAAAATGGTCAAAATGATAGTTGAATGTTATATATCTGCGCTCCTTATCATTCAACTCTTTACATTTAGAACGGTGAAGGTTGTAATTACATATCTCATCACAAATTCCAGCAGGAAAAATGTTGTTCAATAAAACCTTAATGTCAGTCATTTCTTTCTTACAACATCCACAGTTTTTATAAGTAAATAACATCCTCTTACTATATATAGTCATTTTTTTTTTAAGTAGTTTTTGGGGGCTCGTTCAGTTTTCGGGTTCGGGTTGGTTTTTATTTTCCCTTTCCTCCTCTTCCAGTTCTCTTATGGACCATATCTATTTCACTCATTCCTTCGTTGGGGTCTTGTCCATTGGCGAGGTTTCTTAACCTCTCAAAATCCTTCACTTTGTGTCTTTCATTGGGTGGGAGGGTTTTGAGATGTTCCTTCAACTCTGTCAGGTCAAAGTATGTGTCTTCCTCTTCATCCTCATTTTCCAAAAACATTTCCATTTTTTGCTTTTCCATCTCCATAAGTTTGTTTTCCATATATTGGAATTTCATTTGCTTCTTGTAGCACTGCCACAAACATTCACGAAGGTTTTGAGCAAGTAGTTCCAATTAGGTTGGTTTCTGTCGTTCAGGGTTATAACATCTGCCATAATACGACATCCACAGTCAAATTTAGTCATCTTATTTAGTCTTATACTATATATAGGTATTTTTCTGATAATTTTAAAAATCTAATATTATAATATATGGCAAGGAGACTATCAAGAGATGACATCATAAGCAATGTCTATTACAATCTTGAAACGGGTTTCGGTTCAATCAATGAGACCCTCAAGAAAGCAAAGGAACAAGACCAGACCATCAACAGGGTGGATGTGGAAAATTTTATGAGGAAACAACCCAACAAACAGATTAGAAAATGCAGGGTTCAAACTCCTACACCACACCCTTCGCAAGGTTTGAGTATCAAATTGACATAATGGATATGAAACCCCTTTTATTTCTTTCATCCACTCAATGTGGATGCCCCCAAGAATGAAAAACAAAAGAGCCCGAGTCCAGACCCTACGAAAGACACGGTCGCCTGACATCCTGACAAATGAATATTGTGGGGTGTAGGGTTATAGACTATAGATGTATCATATATCGCATCTTCAAAGAACGGGTGTAAAACCAATGAATATACAGTTTAGGAATTGTCCGAAATCGACAGTCCCTACACGTGTTGGTTGAACTCCTCACTGAAAGTTGGGCTTTTGAAGGTTACCCGCAATTGTTCTTGTGATCTTCACTTGAACGGATTTGTTCCAAAAAAACGTTGAACATGTTTCCACAATGTTTGTTTGAAACCCACCCAACCCTCAACGAAGGTCTCGTCAGTGATGATTTTTTGACCTCGGAATGGGTGCAACACCCCCTCACACTGGAAGGCTCATCCCCTATGAGGGTAGGCTCATGAGAGGATGATGTCATCATCATCCAAAATCCCTACTAAAAATGAATAGAAATGAGGGCTGTCTCATATGAGGATGAGGTCATACTTGATGAGGACGGGCTCATACCTGATGATTGTTGGCTCGTCCCCTATGAAGTTGCGCTCATATGAGGGAGTGCTCATCAAGGCAAAGGGTCTCACTGATCAAGGTGTCTCGCAAAAGCCCTACATTTTTTTCATGAAGGCTGTCCAAAGGTGTCTGTCCGTGTGATACCGCAATTGGGCAGTGATTGTCTGAACATTACAAACGCCCCTCAGTGGTTCTACAGGTCAAAGACCTTCGTGACGGCCTTGTGCTGACAGTCAAACTGCAACTCATAACGACCATCATCTCGGGGCGTGAAGATGTTGGTCTTGACCATATGCTGGATGAAGGTCTCCTCGGGGTCTGCACCAGTGAAGGTTGCCAACTTCCCGGATGTAGCCGCTCTGACAATGTCTTCAATGCCGATCGGCTCATTCAAGGCCTTCTGGTAAAGTCCCTTGACATTTGTGAACTGAGTGTTGGTTCTGAATGGCACTCACCCACCCTTGCATCTCCTTGTTGCAAAAGGCCTCCTTGCCTGCTGATTCGCTCAACTTCTTCAACTTCTGAAAGGTTCTGGGCATGTTGGTGAGCATCTCTTCGCTGACGTTTTCCTCACCCAAGGCCTTGAGGTATGCCTTGGACTTGGAGATGGGCAATTCCCTTCCAAGCATCTTGTCAAGACGAGGCTCTCCTAGGGACAGCATCATCAAGCCCTCGCTGGAGGAGATGAGGGCTGATGACACATGCCTGTCTGCGCAAAGGTATTTGACCTGCTTCACAAAGAACTTCGCAGCAAAGTTGGTGGGGAAATGCAGGTATTCTTTGCCCGTGGTCACCTCAATGATGTTGGAGACATGCGGCTCATCTATTCCGTGCTTTGTCACAGCCACCACATCAAAGCCGAGGCGAACCGGCTTCTGGGTCTTGTCCCTTACTTTCTTGAAGACCTCGGTCACCACATCCTTGTGGGTCTTTCCCCAATCCACCCTCATGCCATCCAGAAGCCACGGGAGCTTCCAAATGTTTTTGCGGAGCTCATTGTGGATGGCTCGATGCACATCGTCGTGGGAGACATCCAGGAAAAAGGGGTTCTCGGCCTCCCACAGAACATGCTGGAGCGTGGTGGTCTTCCCAGTGTCTTGCATGCCAATGAGAGCCACCATGCCATTCTCGCCAAGACCTCGGTGGATGGCTGAGAGGTCAAAGTTCACGAACCCCCTTTGGAAGTCCTTCGGATTTTCTGGGCGGAAGCGCCCCCTTTGGACGGCACGAGCCATCCGGTCTTGCTCGGTGGCATTCCACACAACGGCCATGAGAGAGCCGCTGACACCACTACCAAAGATAAGGGGCACACTTCTCTCCCCAATCCATTTCGCCCACGAACCCAACATCCTCTGACTGTTGTGGGGTTTTGAGCCCCCATGGTTGCTGGAGAAAACAAAGATGGCAGACACGAATGTTCAAAATCAACACCATCACATACCATCACAAAAATAACAACAACATGAGAGCAAGTCTGCACAATGACGCAAGATGACACAAGATGACACAGGACAAGTTCGCACAAGTCCTTTCTCCAAGCATTGGGCGTCCCGACGTATTGAAAATGAGGGCGTCAGCGAAGAACAGGAAGAACAGGAAGCATAGGAAGGACAACGGAAAAAACGACAAAGGCAGATGGGACACTTGGCAACCTCCTAAAAAAAACTCCAGTCACGATGCATGTGTTTGGCGTTGACACAGGTGTTGGTGATTGGGGAAACCAAGACAAGGAAACCGGAGAGCATAAGAAGGACTGCTTCAGAATATAGCCCCAACAACCTAGACAAACCCTAACCAAAGCATAAATCAAGCAAAAAAATATCAACAAGGTAAGCATGAACACTTTGACCTAAAATGTCCCAAAAACAGCCCCAGAAAAACATCAAAGATAAGGAACAAACATTGAACATAAACCTAAAAACCATAACAGCCAAAACACCCTCAACAAAACCTACCCTCATCCAAACCAAACATTATCACAAACAACCTCAACAAAACATTTAGCAAGATAATCAAAAAGAAACAGTCAAACATTTAGATTTACAATATTGAACAAAAGCATAACAACCTCCCAACCAACCTCCAACCTCTGTTGTCCTAGTTTTCCCCTTTCACCATTTTTTTTCCCAGCTAGCCACGCTTGATTGCCAGAGGGCATTAGTGGTTGTAATGGGCCCCTTATCAACCAACAAACCAATTATCCAATTGGAAAGACTCATCATGTCTTTATCACATTTGACAGGACAGGGGTGAAGTTGATATTTTCTCAGGTAACAGTGTGATTCCCAAAGGTAAAACAATTTCCAGCTAGCCACGTTTTGACTATAGTCACTATAGTCATCCCATGATATTCCCCATTGTATCAAGTCCCATTAAACATCATTAAACCACCAGTTCTTCCCCATTCAAGTCCCATATTTTTCCACCAAAAATAGGTGGCTTCCAAAGTCGAAGCAAAAACCCCAGTGATCATCCCATTTCTAGAGATTTTCCATGAAATCATCCAGCTGGGATATCCTCTGGTAAACTAACATGGCTATGGAAAATCACCATTTTTAATGGGAAAATCACTATTAATGGCCATTTTCAATAGCTACGTTAAATTACCAGAGGGTATCCCCATGTTAGCCCACCATTTCTCCCCCAGATAGGCGCCTGAGCCATCGATCCATGCGCCCCGGCCGTGTGAGACGCGCATCCAGGTCCTCCGCTGGACGCCGGGAGGTGGCGCAAATGGCCAGACCCAGGCGCGAGGACCTGGAAGGGCTGCGGAAATCCAAGCGAAAATATCCATGGATAATTGGATTAAATAATGGTAATGGTTAATCATTAGTAAGATTAATATAGATTAATGGCTAATAAACATAACAATAATAAGAACAATAATAAGAACAATATAGTATTGGAATAGTTAACACTATAGAATAGTAATGATAATAAAAAAAAAAACCAATGATTATTATTTGATATGTACTATAATAATTATTTGATACTAAGAATGACTATTTGTATTAGGTAAGGCATTAGGTAATGCCAATTCGTATCAAATATTAGTTGTAGTTATTGAATATATCCAAACTAATAGTAATGAATGATGGCTAGTTATTAGTGGATAAAAATCACAATAATAATGGCTACTAATTAGTAATAAGTAATAAGTACCAATTAATATCAATTATATAACTATATAATCATAAAAATAATACACTAGTTGATAGTAGTAATAATGACTACTAGTTTGCAAATAGTAATAGAATAATAAAAAGTGATAATAATGACAGTCAAACTTAATGATGTAGTTTTCCCAAACCGACTGATGGCTGACAATAAATGGATCCCAAGATTAATGACTTTCAACCCCCATGTCCATTGATGCCAACATGGATCAATAAACCTCTGGGCTGTTGATTTTCAATAAACCTGGGGGGGATCCCTCGGATTGTATTACTACTTTTGGGGTTTTACATGAGTAACAACTGTTCATGTCCAGTAGTTGATTAAAAATATGCATATATATATACTGTATATAAATTGTATAATTATATATCACATCTCAAGTTTCATGATCATGAATGACACATAAGATGTCGTTGTTTTTTTAAAAAAAACATGATCAACTGATATCAACTAACATGATCAACTCTGTGTGTGTTTCCCCATAAGTTTTGTATCGTTGATCAACTCCGCCTCCCCGCATCGATGCCATCCAGGAGAGTCAAGAGGGTGGCTGCGAGGCCTGACCGTTTGTCCGTGACTGAGGATGGGAAAGATACGACCAGGTAAAGATACCTTCTGGTAATTTAACATAGCTATTGAAAATGGCCATTTATAGTGGATTTTCCCATTAAAAATGGTGATTTTCCATAGTTATGTTAGTTTACCAGAGGGTACCAACAATGAAAACATGCTGATGACTTGGGGATGGTCTATGATATTGGGTTGAACTAATGTTGTCTAGCCAATAATGATACCTTGTCACTAGTAGAAACTGTTTTTCCCAACTCACTCGAAAAGTAGAGGAACTAAAGTGACAAAGAAGTACTGTTTCCGCAAATGTCTGTTTTCCTCTGACTGCTTGTGACGAGGTCTTGTGTTTACCTAGGTCGAGCTCTAGAGCCAGAACAGTTACATGGACAACAATGAACCTGAGGTATGATAGATCCTGTACCTTTCAAGTCGGGTGTTCTCCTGTAAGTTGGTGAGATGCTGTAACTGGCTCGAGCTCAAACTTCGGTATCTGTGTTTGCCAGAGGACGTGTCCCTCTGGTCTTCATGAATTCAGCGGGGTGTAGTCTTCGTACGACCCCTCTCATGGCATTAATTAATTGCGATCGATCGATGGAACCTTTTGTCATTCCATCTGCAAACATATCGCGTGTGTCCACCCATCCTAAGATGGTGATGATCCTTGCAATTGTCAGCTGCTTTATCCATGAGATGTGAGAGAGTAATGACTTTTCCGTTGGGTATTTGAAGTTTTCATTTTCTACCGCACTGAAGACGGACCTGGCGTCTATCCAGACATAGAGTTCGATAAGGTAACCACCGTTTTCTCTTAGATTTATACTGGATTGGGGGTTAAGGGGTCCGAAACAAATTTCATGAAGGGTAGTTATAATTATAAAACTTTGATCAACGGACGCAGTGAGCGCCAACAGCTCAGCGGCGAATGTGCTACGCACCACGAGCTTATGAGATTGAGAAACAGCCTCAATCAAATGGCATCTCTTCACACCTCTTGCATCAGTGCCCATTCTCAGATATACTGCACCTCTCAAAGCGTATCCCTTATCATTTTCTCTGGAGAACGCTGAATCAGAGTATAGCTCAACAACCCTGCTACAAGTCATTGAGCTATACTCCAATTTCTGGGGACGACGCTGGAGCTCACGGGTGAGTGCGTTTAGTCTTTTGACATGTGTAACAGTGGGGTTCTGGGTTACACGTTGGAGGGAAATGATGTAGACTAATACCCACGCCTGTGTCAGGGAGGAATAGGCAACAGCTCCTAACAGGCTCCAATACAGCGCTCTGAGGTGCTCGGGACATAGAGCATCCTTCTGGAGATTGGCATAGTGTTTTGGGTTTATGGGTTTTAATGCGCTAAGATATTCTGACTGATCAAGAGTGATAGTTCCATCTGGGAGTCTTTTATGACAAATGCCACAGTTCGTAAATTCACTTTCTTGATACGTCAGTTTCCCAAAATGTCCTTCCAGGGTTTTAACCAAAGAGTCTATTTCTGATTTCAGACCTGCCATTTTGATATCATCTACATGGACGGTTATGGCCAAGACTAGGGTTCCCTTCTTATGTAACATTAACAATTGGGGGTCATATAAAGATGCCCGGAACCCTAATTCCTTGAGGATATTGATGAGCCTCAAGTTGAATGCTCTGGGAGCGTCTCTGCAGCCAGTACCAGGCTTCAAACATTTGAGAGCTTCCGATCGCTCATCAAAGTCTTCATATCCTGGGATACGTCTGAGATGTTTGGCTGTTCCCGCCGGGACTGTAAAACTTATGTGCTTTTCGGGCTCTCCGGTCAGTTTGTTCATCTCGGAAAAGGTGAGCCCTTGGAGAAATGCTTTACTTATGTCCACGGCGACAAAGCTCCAGTCCTTGTGGCAGGCTGCTTCACTAGCTAGAATCTTTTGGGAAGTTCTTTGCGCAGTGGCCGAGAAGTTCACTTCATCTTCGGTTTGCGGTTCTTTGAACCCTCGCAAGGCCAATCGCATCCTGATGATGCGCTTCCCGTCTACGTATTTCCACTTAGAGACTAGCTTAGCGTCAATCAGAACCTTACATTTCTTTTTGGGGATTCTTTCAAAGCAGCCATATTTATGCCAGGTTTCGTATTCTTTAACTGTTGCTTCATCAACTTCTTTACGATGGTCAATCAGTTCCTTAGCAGTAAGCAGGTCCGTATCTCTTTCGATGACTTCTTTCTTGGCTTCTGCATTAAGGAATACTTTCATTATGTTGGGCTTTGACACATCGCGACTGTCTTGGAAGCATTCAGTGATATTTTCTGAGATCAGCACTTCAAGAAATGGTTCATCATTTTCATCAAATTCAAAAGTGTGATCATATTCGTCGAAATCTGGACTGACTGTTGGTGGTATTGAATCCCAATCATTGTGGTTATCTGGATTTGAAAAGTAACACCAATCATCTTTAATCTCCACACCTGATACTTCATCTACCGGTTCGTTGAGAACTACCCAGCACAGCTCCTTGAGATCACTTTGGATTTCTTTGGGAGCACCTTCGAAGTGTTGTATATACAATGCTTCAACCTCTGGAGAGTCAATGCTAACTTGAGATTCCTCGGCGATCGTACTGAGCCGCCCATCACTACGACCCACCTCGATCTCTCGATCGAGATGCGCCATAGCCGACGGACGGTCCAGCACTTTCTCCTCAAAATCATCAAGTGTCATTCCGACATCTCTGTCTAGCATAAAACATTGCATTGTTGCGACGAAGGACTCCTGTGGACCAAAGATTTTGTTGATGTTTTGTCTTGGATGATCGGCAACATGTATGAGCATTGCATCTGGGTTATTCATGTTCCAATTGAAAATCACATTGCGGTATCTGTCTTCCAGATCTTGCAGCTGTTTGATTTTATGTCCAATTCTTACAGTGCAGATATCATCCATTTGGAGGGAGTTGGTTATGATGAACTCTAGTGCTTTTGAAATTTTGGGCCATCGCTTGGTGGTTCTTGTCAGTCTGTCATTTACATACCCAAAAACTTCAACACGACCATCAGGGAGTTCATTCAAAAATTGATGGATGTATTCCATGGCATTCAAACAGATATCCGCATTGGTGTGTCCATAAAGAGAAACTGTTGCATAGTATTGTGCTGGGCGTACATCCTGGAGGCGATATGGTCTGGTCTGTCCATTTATTTTAAGAGCTACAATGCCATCTGCGGCTACACACTCTACGACTTCATATGGACCGGTCCAGCCACTCATGTCTTTGCTCGGGGGCGTTCGGTATAACTCTACCAAGTCTCCTTTTGCAAAACGGTTTTCTCCCGACAAGGCAGTTTTGGACCCCAAAGCTCTTTTAATACGAGATGCACTCGTGGCTGAAACCATAGACTGCAATGCAAGTTCGCGGATGCGAGCATCAACTCTCTCTTCCAAGCCGGCGTTGTCAGTAATTGGCGGAAGGCAAGCTGGCTGTCTTCCCATCACTACCTGGTAGGGTGTAACTCCTCCTACATGTGTTAGTGCGTTACCCATAAAGACGCTATTGGCAAGTAATGATGGGAAGTTGATGTCAATACCTTCTCTTATGGCTTGGGATTCCATCACATGCATCGCATGTCTTAAGATCGCTCCTCTCCTTTCGATGTACCGAGCGTGTTGGTCCTTACCTCTTACCTTTAAGACTACACCCATACGCTTCAATCTTGCTTCAGCACTGGATGAAGTCAAACCAGCCTCACTGTCGGTGACAAGCTGTTGAGGTGGACCAAAGATGGATACCCATGCTGTGTGAAAATTGGTGATTAATTGATCTTCTGTTTTGTTAGGAGTTTCCACAGCAACATGCCATCTGGTCGCTCTGCAAATGAAATGATGTACAACAAATTCTCGATAGAACAACAAATCGGTTTCTACTACTTCGTTGAAATTCATGGCCAAAGAGACGGAGGGTTGAGTGTCTTTGGCTTTTGGTGCCCACTTGCGGCACTCGCGGCAAGTTGAAATGATGTCAGGAATGTAGCTTATGACTTCTTCAGGTATGCCTGCATTTCTTAAAACGCTGGTCATGTTGGTGGGGCCTGCATGCCACCATCTTAAATGCAGCTTCCTGAGTGTTCGAATAATAGTTGGTTCATGGCTACTTCTCAAGTCTTTTAGACTATGAGTGACATCAAATCTGGACCAGTCAGATGGATGTTCACTACCTGCGGCTGCATCCCGGAACTTTCGATAAGGGCCTCGGAGTCTGCTCTCGGCGGGTTCGCCGTCATCTGGGTTGTAGGGGACAATCCTGTCTTCTGCTGGAGGTGCTGCCCCTGCGGCTGAACTACTAGCAGCTCCTTCACCGGCTCCCAAATCGGTTCCATCAGGCAGTTGGGCCTGAGAGTCTTGAACCGGAAGTTCATCAGCTCGCTTGGCTGGTTCTCTGGGATGATGGCCTTTTCGATGAATGCCCTTACGGTGAGCTATGGTCATGTGTTTGCACTCGCCTTGGGCATAAGTATGTGAACTGTCACCAGCAGGTTTCATTTTCTTACATCCAGGACATGTCCATATTACGGGGGCATCTAAAGGATATTTACAGGTGTCAGGATCACGAGTGTGCCTTGGATCATTCCTATTTAGATGTCCTTTACATCCTGGGCAAACTGCTGGTCTCTTATCTGGGTCATCAGCGGGTTCACTGCTTGGCTCGGATGCATCAGTGCTCGTGCCGATAGTTGGATAGGCATACTCTCTAGAGTTGACCAGTTCTCGAAGGTTGGTTATTCCGTCTACTATAGATGTTGCTAGTTTCCATGTCCATAGTTTACAATGGCTAGCTTTCCCTCCTTCGAGTAGTTCATGTTCATGACTTCCATCACAAACATACTTAGTCAGTGGTTCTAAGAGAGCCCTATGATTGGCGATGAATCTTGTGGGTTTCTTAGCTGGTCCTCCATCAGGGCCCTTTTGGCCTGTCATACATTGGTGAATCACGATGCTGACAGTAGTAGACAATTTTAAT